ATTTTAAATTAATAGCAATGTTTAATTAAGTTTAGTTTTTCTATTTTAAATAGAACACTTTTTATTAAAAATATTAATACGGTTCATGTTACTGCTTTATTTTGGTTTTCTTTGTAATAATATTAATACTATGCTGCATTAATTTGTGTACAATTAACTCCCGAGAACCACTTTATAAGAGAAAGAAATATTCTTATTTAAAGAGGGTCTGAACGTATAATTATTCCTAAAAACATTTGATTAAAGGATCATAAAGGAAACGTATTTGACGAATCTAAGAAACCAATTTATACTAATCCTTGCTGGAATGGATAAGCAAATATTTATTTTGATATCTATAATAATATGAATTATTTAATTAAGTTATAATTTATAATGTATCTCATATTATTGTAACATTTACAAATAAGTGGCTTTGTATCGAATAAGGATTTAAGGAATTTTCATATACATATACTAAAATCTTTCATATGCATGTACTAGTTGTCGCATGCGTGGATGTTGGAATTAGTATGTAAATTCTAAGTTTCCATCGTAACACTATAGTTTTCGTTCGCCGTTAAGCTTTCCCTGTGTCTCAATCAATAACTTATGCAGGTTATAGTTTAATATCCGAAGACAATATTGAACAGTATGAATGAAAAACAGCAAATACTCCGTACGTATTGATATCATATCTAATAGAACTTTGTAAGCCTGCAGTATATACGTATATAATGATTTGCTACGGACTTTGCTCTTACTTAATCCGACAATAACCTAAATCAGCGGACACGTACAAATCACGATTCCTATGAATTTAGTTTGTAGGCAGTAGGATGACTGATAGAATAGTAATTCATAGCAAAAACACTTCAAACATTTATTAGGTAAGTAGGTAACAATTAATATTATTTTTTTATCGGTCCTCTGCACTGTCGTGACTTGGCTGACAAAACTTACAAAGGCTAACCTCTAGCAATTGCCTAATTTGATTTAGAATAATAATTTCAAATTTGACCTTGTAATGTAATGGATTTTTTTTATTAGGTAAATGTTTATTTTTGATTAATATTTAAAAATATTAAGAATACAAAGTAAGAAGCACGATCGTATAAAAAAAATCTTTGATATTTATTTTTGTAATAACTCTCTATCAAAACATATTTTGGTAGAAATACCCCTCGTATTTAAAGTAAGTGTCTAATTAAAATGTGAATTAATAATCAGTTTCTAAATAAAACCAACCTAAATAATATTATGGTTTCATGAAAATACGGAAAATAGTATGTAAATGAAGTTTATTTTGCCAAAATCTAAAATTACTGCACTAACATAATTAGACAGCTACGATTGAATACGGAGGTAGTGTTGCAAGTGGCGCCATCTGAGCCGTACTAATTAAAATATACGATAATCCTTAGAATTGTTTTTGAAATTGGTTATAATTATTAATAAATTACCTATCGATATTGCCGCGATAAAATTGTGCGAACCTGGTACTTAATTTGAGTTATATAGGAAGAATATAAATAGCTATTATCTAATTATAGTGGTTGTTTCATCCCTACTAGTAATAGGATAAATGCGAAAGTAACTCTGTTTGTCTGTGTGTGTGTTACGCTTTCACGCCTAAACCACTGAACCGATTTTAATGAAATTTTAATTTGGTACAGAGATATAGTTGACCTTGAGACTTTTGAAAAGTTCTCTTGGAAACGCGATATAACCGAAGTCCACGCGGGCGAAGCTGCGGGCGGAAAGTTAGTGTTTTATAAACTTTTGTGAATATATTAATACTATCAGCCAATTAGTTTATCAGAGTTTAATGTTACAAACGCTAGTCATTTTGGTAAAATTCTTTAGGTAGTTGTCATAGTCACTTTTATAAAATTAATAATACCACAATAAACACATTATTATATTCTATTGAAATTAGATTTAATAGTACATAATTAATACATTTTACTCAATATTTATTTAAAAGATTCACATAAACTATGATTCTTTTGGAATAAATAGCGAAAAAATTTTGACTACCACAGTCTACAAGTAATACATATATATATTTTTAAATAATCTGTTTCTTTTATTTAAGTAAGTTTTCAGAAGGTACATTTATTTTTAAGGTTTAAATAACGGAATCGAGTGTGGTTTTAATGAGACAGAGTTGAACCCGATGATTGATGCTATTGGATACATGTTTTGCCCCCGGGCTCGACCTGATGGTCGAAGATATACGTGGGGATAAATTGAAGAATAAGTCTTAAGCGTATGACAATTGGTCACATATTTGATCGGGCAGCGATAGTACAATATTAAATCTAATAGATAAAAGTACGTATGACAAAAACATTAAGTTAATAATTAAAAAAATACATAATTATGGTTTAAATATACACTAACTTTTTTTTGTTTTCTTACGATAGGAGTAAATTAGCTTAAAAATTATTAAATTAAAATTTAAATAAGAAAAGTTTATAAAACTTCTTCAGACTAAAGTATACGATATAATATTGTAAGACAATTATCCAAACTACAGTATGAATAATACTAAAAGTTTTAATAGTCACAATACGTGCATACGTAGTGTATAGAGTTTTTCCTTTATAAACCTACATTGATACTGTGAGGAGGGAAGACTTTTGACCGGAAAATCGATTATGCTTAGTATTTAGAGTGATTTGTAATCAATAATAATCATCGCGACCCAAAATCCGCTCCTGAAAATAGGTACAATCAAACCTCTCGATACCACTTGGGACGTCCTTGTGGAAAATACTGCTCTGGGACACTAGAATAGCAAAAAGCAAAATCTTTAGTTTCGCCTTAATATTTCTGGTAAAGCTCACTTTCCAACGGCTAATTAGCCGTAGATCTCTACGTCTGTCTAAACAGAATATTCAACACCAGGACTATTATATGATTAAGCCTAGTAGCTTAAAATTCTTATGGCAACTTATTCTGCACCCCATAACTGAAAACGGAAAACAGTAATTAGGTATTATGTAATAATTTAGCCCTCATATTTCGCATACATGAAATATATTATTTTGTAATATTACATGCCTCCTAGCCCGCAAGGATTACAAATTACTCATATACCTAACGTCGAAGAAGAAGTGACTCAAACAAGTTCAAGGTACACTAGATTGATCTAACATAATTGATGCACATACAAAATATCGCACAGGCTTTCCAAACTTTTTTTTTTTTGATGACGCAGGGAAACTCTTTTTACGAGCCGTCCAACCGGCTTTGGTGGGGCCGGAAGGGATGTGTGAGGTTTTCCAACCCTCTTTTAAACTAGTATAATTCTCATCGGCCATACCTACCACTGCCGGGGATACAGGGAGGTACTTAAATATTTTGTAGTCCCAGCAAATTGCTAAACCTACGGTCTTCGTCCCTATTATGTCTGTCAAAGTGTACAAGTCTCGTCAGCGTCGCAGTAACAACCAAACCTAACGCCTAATTTATATTATTATTATTTATTTCATTTATTCAAGTAACAATGACTCAATTAAAAATAATACATAAATTGTTAATAAAAATAGTACATAAATTGGTTCTAGTCTAACGGGTTCGAGATAAAAATTAAAGGTAGGTATTAATTTTTATCTCTTTTTGAAAACCGGTCTGAACGTATCGTATTCATTTAAAAATTATGTACATCTTTAATTTTCAAGATACTTAAGTAATGAGTGAATATATAAAATGAGCAAAAAGTATTTATTACAAGAACTACCTAATATTATAAAAAATTAAAATACTATTCTTAATATTTTTGATTCAGACATTTATTGAATCCAAATACAGTAACAGATATATTTATACATATATGATCTTATGCATTTACCTCTTAATATACCAACTAAGTCATAATTATAAATATTTATAGTAATGTCTGTAGTAGGAACCAGTAAGATGTTTAAATAAAGTTAAATCTGAATATCTTCGACGTAAATTGCGTACATTTAAGTTAGAAAGATCTATTCCTTTTAAAGTCATGTGATTTATTTACAATACAGAGTTCTTGGTTTGGTTTTTTGTTCTCATAACTCATTAATAATATTCCTTATATTCTTAAGTTTCATTCAGAATCATTAAATTTTATTGGAGGTCTTACCTCCCTGTGTGATCTTATTTCTTTTGAATAATTTCTTTAATTAGAGAAACTATTAGACATAATGCCACCGACTACTTTTCACTATCGTACGCTTGCCAACACCATATATTTCATCCTCCCCTTATTCTCCAAAGTCAAGTATAGTACGAACGCTCACTGTATGGAATAAACTACCTGTTGATGTTTCCCCAAGAGACTTCAGAGAGTAGTGATTTGGTAGGTTTGCTACTTAAAGGACGGAAAATGATCATTTATCTTCGTATAGGCAGTACGTTTGTTTGCACATTGACGTTGTACATATGTACATATACATATGTACTATAACGTACTATAATATATATAGGTAACAGTTGCAAAAGATTAAAATAAGCTATAAATATCATGTAGTTTTTTACCTTACTTGGTTAGTTAGGTCTCAGCATTCGTCCTCTTACCCGGGAACGCTGTCAAAGCCAAAGTGCTTAAAGCAATATTTATAAAAAAAAACTAAGAATGTTAAATAAGAGATACGAAATGGGATTTCAACTGTTTTACAAAAAAATATCACTACTTTAATCTTAAAACAAAAGTAGATGATACCTGTCGCTTGTCGAGAAAAAATCTATAAATGATCATTCGAAAAAGTGAATAATATTTTTTTCTATAACTACTTTAAACCCCCAGTTTTTGTATGAAAACTGTTAGTGCTAATATTTCTATTGAACAAGCATTTAAAAAAGAACAATTGTCACTTAATACATTACCTCATCGACGCGATGTTGCATATACATAGATAATGAAGGGATTCAATAAATAAACATTTCTACGTTTTACGTCTGCTTGGCAAGCAGCCAGTAGATAAATTGTAACAAAATTATATAATTTTAATAAATTTAAAGGTCCAAGTATCAAAATGACGACGGTGAAAGTCGAACAAGGAAAATTAAAAGGAGCTTGTATTAGTGACTCGGAAATAAGCTACGTCGCATTTAAAGGTATTCAATATGCAAGACCACCGCTTGGTACATTAAGATTCAAGGTTAGTGATATAATGCAAAGGCAGTATTAGACATGTAAATATTAAATACAGGTATGTATGTTTAAACTATTGATACGATGTGTTTATACAAAGTTTATATTATACATCTATTAAAATATCATATATTGTCTGCGTTTATAATAGTACCTATACAGTTTGTGTTATATGACACGTGTTCTCCGTAGGCTCCTGAACCGCCACAAAACTGGGAAGGTATCCGAGATGCGACGGTCCATGGACCCGTGTGTCCTCAATACAACGAGCGTTTACAACGACTAGAACCCGGCAGCGAAGACTGCCTCTATCTGAATGTGTTTACCAAAACACTCACTCCTCCACAACCTCTACCTGTCATGGTGTGGATTCATGGTGGGGCTTTTTACACCGGCTCTGGCAATTCAGACTTTTATGGACCCGAATTTTTCATGAGACATGACGTCATTCTAGTAACATTCAATTACAGGCTTGAAGTACTCGGTTTTCTTTGCGTCGGCAATGAAGATGTTCCGGGAAACGCCGGTTTAAAAGACCAAGTCGCCGCTCTCAAATGGGTCAAAAGAAACATTAGCGTGTTTGGAGGAGATCCTAACAATGTCACAATCTTCGGATGTAGCGCCGGCGCTGCGTCCGTGTCCTATCATCTCCTATCAAAGATGAGCAGGGGCTTATTTAATAAGGCGATTTGCCAAAGCGGCGTGTGTCTCAATGAATGGTCATACAATATATACGCTCGAGAGAGGGCCTTTCAATTAGGAAAATTATTAGGACTAGAAACTGAGGACCCAGAAGAGTTATCAACGTTCTTGAAAAAAGCGCCGGTCTCAGACTTAGTCAATATCAAGTTACCGCCAATAGAAACAAAACACAGAGACTTAACGGACAGTATATTATTCGGTCCGGTTGTTGAAAATGAGGAAACAGATGTAGAACATTTCATAACCAAGCCGCCTCCGGAACTAGTAAAGTCAGGATGTTTTGCGAAAGTTCCAATAATTTTAGGATTTACTTCTGGAGAGGGAATGGAGCTGGGGAAACATTTTCCAGCAAATTTGAAATTTTTACTTAACACCGGCGCTGTGGTTCCCAGAGAACTGAAACTGAAACTCACCGAACAACAGCTACAAAATGCGGATATTGAAATTCGAAAATATTATTTTAAAGAAAAACCATTAACCGCCGACATGCTCCAGGAGGTAGTGAACTTAGAAACAGACAGGTTGTTTGTGTATAATATAATAAGATTTGCACGGTACCATAGCTACTTCACGTCATTTCCTGTTTATGTATACAAATTTGCAGCGGAAACGGAGAGAAATTACGTGAAAAGTTTCTACGAAATGAATTCCATATCGGGTAGCTGTCACGCCGACGATTTGTATTACCTGTTTCGCGTGACATGTCTAAATGTTCCTTTGCCATCGAACTGTCGACAAATTATCAACAACTATGTACAGATGTGGTATAATTTTGCAGCGACTGGGTATGAGTCAATACAATTTTGTTCCTATTTCGATATTAAAAGATATTAATTCCATGTTTTTTCTTACAGAAATCCGACCTCGTCAAATATCAACGCCGTTTGGAAACCATTCACAGAGTCACAAAGAAATTTGTTAATAATAGACAGAGAAATAAAATGCGTCTCCAATATTGACAATGAGAATATGAAGTTTTGGGATAATCTTTATAATGAAACAGATCTCAAAGTGCAATAGAAGTGATGTTAAATAGATAATTTATTTAGACTAAGTATGAATTGATAAAGGCAGTAAAGGGTGTTTTTATAAGTGATTTTCTTTTTATTTATAAATCATAATATTTGATCTAATATGAAATTGATAATGTTAGTTTAATATCATTGGGTCTATTTCACAATATTAATAGGAATTATTGCCAAATAAATAACTTAAACGCGGGTCTTTTCAATATTTTTCTAATTCAATTCAAAGTAACTGTTGATTGAGCACTAATAATTCAAAGATTTTTCAAAATGACTAATTCCATGAACAAAAAATAAAATTGTCAATTTAGGAATGAATTCTTATATTTACTGCAATCCGTCACATTTTCTTAAAAAATAAACTATATTAAAAATAGAAATATACTGCAATAATGTCTTAAAAATATCAGACAAATTATTATTTTTAGATCATCTCTATTCCGACATTAACTTCAGTTGTAGACATAAAGTGATTAAATAAGTTTCTTTGTATTTTCTCAACAATATTACAGTACATTAAACACATAATAATCACAAACACTGAGATTGTTGGCTCTTAGCTGCACTTTAAGATACAACTTGTTCTTACTTTAATGAAACACGTGAAATAGTTATCATTTGTAATAAAACCAGTGAAAATTTCATTATTTATATAAAGACATGTTTTATTTATTTCCAAATTTCATCAAATATGTGTTTGTGATTAATATGTTCCGAGGAAACACAATGTTTTTACACTTGCAATGAACCAGTTAATTACAGCCTTTCATTGTTACATATGAATATAAAGAATTAAATTATTTTATGAAGTTATTGTATAAACTATTACTGATATAACTGTTTTATATATTTTATACATTATTATACAAAAACTTTGTAATATTATTATAATTGATAGTTCTGTACCAATAGTGACCTGAACTTAAACTGTCACTATAGCAATTTCCGTCCTAAACCTTTACATACAATGTTATATCTAAAATATTTGTGTAATATCCTAGTATATTTGTGTGGTTTATAGACAATTATTTTCATATGAAAGGCTCTAACTGTACAATGTACATGTCAAGTGATTATCAACCTTGTGTTGTGTGTATAGCGTTCAGTATCGCCCGGAGCGTGAGTTGCGTGGTGGCTCGCGGCGTCGGTCGCGGGACCTCGACCTTCGGCGACGTTCCCGGGACCTCGACCTGGAACGACGACCGCCCTTACGACGAGCGTACAAGTATCTGGAAGTATAAGAACATATATATTAATACTAATCTTCATATGAGACGAGGCTTTTGCTTAGCAAGTGGGCTCTGACAGGCTGATATATATGTTACCGGAAAATAACAAGACTCGGAAGTTGATCAACTCTCGGAAAATAATGAATGGCAGTTGAAATATACTATTTAACATATTGCATTTTAGGTAATTGGTCAACTTACGGTACCTAGCCGTAATTTAATAATTAACTATATGCTACAAGTAAAATCATCCACGAATGGGCCACTCATTGCCCAGTGTACTATTTGACGATACTAATATTTCTAACATTTTTTATTAATAATTTTATCTAATCAATAAGAAGATTTGCAAAGCCAGATCAAAAACTATGTTTTTGTTTCACTGATGCAAGTTATGAGTCTTGAATCTTAATTATATTAAAAATTATGATAGATATTTTGTAAATATAATATATTGTAAATTGAGAATAAATCCATTAATGTTGTTAGTGTGACATTAAAATTGTAATATTAACCGCATACAAATGTAACTAGATGTTAGTGGCCCACTAATGGCTCTAAAAATCCAGTAATCAGCCGTCAGTCCCGTTGCACTAAATAGCACCTTAAAGCATTTTCAATTAGAGTTTAATTTATGCACAAATTATTTTAGACTAAAATCATTTGTTTTAGAGTTCCATTATGTCAAAGAGACCAATCCACCAATATAAAGAAGAACAATTGATAGAAGCTATGGCGGCGATTTGGAATGGTATGAAAATTAGAGAAACCAGTCGAGTTTTTAAGGTTCCACGAGGGACATTACAGGATCGAGTACATTTAAGGGTTACAGATTTGTCCCGTAAAATGGGACCAGAAACAGTGCTGACCAAAACTGAAGAAACTGCTTTGAAAAACTGGTGTATTGCATTAGCGAAATGTGGCTTCCCATTAAAACGTGATGATCTCTTGAATACCGTCCACAATATTATATCTGAAGATAAAAGACCAAACCCATTTGTAAATAATAGATCGGGGAATAAATGGTACCAATCATTTCTGAGACGAAATCCTGAGTTAAGTGAGAGGACGCCAGAAAATATATTGAATGGTCGAGCCGAGTCGAGCGAAGAAAGAAGAAGAGAGACAAAAAAGAAAGAATAATTACAAAAAAGAGAAGCGGAAAAGCAGTTGAATTTTAACAAAAGTAATAAGAGGAAGAAAAATATTACATGTACTATAAACAGAATAAGATGTAATAATTGTGAAGAAGAAATGACTAGCGATACCGAAATCAACGACCTGAAAAATATAGGATGTGGTAATTACCCTGCGTAGTACCATTTAAAATGCACTGAATTCGCTGGGGATATGTATGAAAATATATATAATAAGACATTTTTATGCCAAATATGCAAAGTAAGTGAGAGGCTGACTTTAGAGTAAACCATGGCTGACTTGTGGAGAAATGAGGCTGAGCACTGGGAAAAAGTGCCATAATATGATTATTGTTGATTTTTTCTATGAATCTAAAAAAAGTTTGATAGTTTGTTAATTTTTTTAGTAATTTTAATAAATAAACTTTCACAAGAAAGTGGTTGTTTTTATGCATAGTGTTTAATATTTTAAATACTAATAAACAATATTTAATTACTCACTAAAAGGCTGACTACTGGGTGATTTACCCTGAATACTATACAACAAAGTGACAAGATGATGAAGAGAAGAAAATATTTGTAAAGATTATTGTTTCCTATACATAAATACACATTTGTTTCAAGTATTGACATCCATATATAAAATAAATTAAAATATACTTGACTTGGAATGATTGATGTATCCCAGTCATAATGAAAACTAAATATAAAAATATTGTATATATAAGCTACATAAATACATAAGAGAACATACTATATAATAGTCCTATAATAACCCATATTATGTTATATATTACCTCCTCAGTTCTCTTGAAATTGGTTTCAAGTGCATGAAATTACAAAAGCCACTCCTGGTACATTCCCCCATTTCATATTGACGACAGCAAGCTTCACGGAAGTCGGTGACAGGAGACAGCTCAGCATAAACAGGCCGGCCTCCGAACCAACGGTTATTGAGGTCATTCACAGCCTTCTCGGCATCTTCTTCTCGACGAAACTATAATTGAAAGGAACTTAATCAGTTATACTCAAAAATCATATTTCCTGCTTTGTTAACACGGTTCATATATGTTAATATATGTATACACTTAAAATATATAAAAAAATTTAAATTTGCTGATTTATTAAAGCAACGGGATGAAAGTGCATCAAATAGTAAGTTACTCTCTTATAATTTATAGATGCCTGGTACTCTTTAAATTTTTGTTGCTCAAGTTACTTAAGGGACTAGGAAAATACAACTCTCAGGATAAATAATACATAGCAATTTGTTAAGAAATTTATAGTTAAGCAGTCAAAATATAAGATCAAGTCCTTTATGTTTAAATAAACGAACACTATATAATTAAGTTGAAAGGAAAATTATCCAACAATAACTGTACCTTTATATAAACATTGCCTACTAAGTGATCTCCGAGGTTGTCACAAACATTCATTTCCTCAATTTCACCATATTTATCTTCACATTCAACGAAAACATCTTCGAAAAAATTATCATAGTGCTCCTGCATTTCCTCGTCAGACACATTTGCCACAACCACTGAAAATATGGAAAGTAAATTGAATACACATTCTTACAAATAGAATTTGATTTAATAAGATTTTAATCTTATACTACAAATATCTTCAATATTTCATAAATTCGCTACTTACAATGACTGCCATCGGCAGACTTGGCTGAGTTTTGTGGATTTACATATAAATTTTGTAGCAACACAGTTTGCGAAAAAGTTGGTTTGTTATGAATTCTCGAGCATCTATCACCGTGTCGACAAGCTCCTATTTTAAAATAGAAAGAGCAATTTACCCTGTAATACAGAAAAAAGCACTTTAGTATAGAATTATTCGACTTTTATTCAAACATAACCTCCAAAAGAATTAATATAATATCTTGTGTTATAATAAAATTTTAAATGTTTATTGGATTGTAAATATTTCATAAGCACTTTATATAAGTTTGTGTAAAGTTTAAAAGAAATCACTGCACTCACTTATCTTTTTCAGTACCAAATATAGCCGCTAAATACTCGGCCATATTTCTAAAATTTTATGTTATTTAAAATATTAAAAGCTCATTAATCAGGAAGTCATGAAATTATTACAAAACTCCACTTATTTCGTTCAAAGTACAATGAATTATTTGTTTTAATATTAGCGCTAACAGGGACTCTTCAACTTATGATCTTTGGAAACAACAAATTGTTGACCGCCATTACTAACAAGTAACAAGTACAGTTAGGGACGGAAAAATCCATAGACATCGCTTGAATATAATTTTAATATAATATGTATGTAGTGATATTATAAAATGATTTCAAAGGAAAAATTAACTGTTGTAAAAACATTTTAAAAGGCCGTGATCCCAGAATTAATTGTGCCAAATATAATTTACTTCTTAGAGGTAAAAAAAAAATAACATCTGAGCTCACCGATTGCTTGTAGTATCGAAAAATGAGATTAATTACTTGCAGAATCGAAAAATGAGATTGTCTGACTGAGAAAATAAGTGGTGATGGTTACAACAGTTCAGAAACATTAATTTTATCTTAGAAAACAAATGAAACATTGGAATTTGTATTACTTGAAAAGTCAATTCGATATGTGGTCTCAATTCTTACATATCTTAAAATCGATAGAAATAATCGATAAACAAAATGAATGGATTCGATTCTATTTGTAGTCAAAAATGTTCGAAGACGACTAAACATGAGTGAAATTCTACAAACTAGATATATGAAAAAAAAGTGGATACATTAGAGAATAAATGATGTTTTGTCTACTACGTTTTGATAAGCTAAGGCTTGGTGCGTTACGAATTTCGTAATCCAAAATTAGGTATGTGTGTTAACTAGTAACTTAAAGATAAGCGCCCTAACTTCTGTTCTAACACGGTCACATTATTCGTCTACTTTAAAATATTCATTCAAATGAAGCGGTTCCGGCGAAAAACTTAAAAAATTATCTCACTATCATCTGTCATCCGACATAATATACTTTGTCTTATTAATGGTTCTTCATATTATTTAAATTATGATAAAATATTGATTTGTGGTTAGACTCAAAAGATTATTTGAAAACACAAATTGCAATTCCAGCACACAGTGAACTCTTACACACAAGAAATATGAGAGAAATATTTAATATTTAGGAACAAACTGAGGTCTAAGTAAATAAAGTGAGCTTCCCAAATTTATATCCGAAACATTTCCATGTATCACAGGGACTCTTTAGTCTGGTAGCGTAAAACTTACTTTGGTTGATGATTACTTCACTCTATTATATTTTAAAATTGGTGTTCTGTTACGTGTAAGACGATCAAAACAAAGAAATGAGGAATATTGTACTTAATATTAATTATTTATTTTTTATATACAACAATTTAAATTAAAATAAATTACCGTTAATGACACCTTTCTGGTCGGTACAAATTATAGGCATACCACAACCAATAGTACACATTATGATATAGCCTGCGACAATATTACAGTCGTATCATCTGTATCCTTTTAACGTTCGGATCTCTTACGTCACAGTGTGAATCTTAATTCTTTGATGTGTGTATATTTACACAAGCACACATTTATATTTTACTAATCTCGGGCCTGTAGTTGTACTCACTATTCTGTGCGCCTGTGAGGCGTGAGCTGTTTGACAGGGAGTGGAGGCAACGTGTTCGTGGTTGGTTGTTACTTTTTTAAAAATTAATATCCGATATATCTTTAAACATTAAGTTACTAGTAAGTTTTGTATGAAATTTAACCTGAATAGGATTTCAAGTGAACACCCAGAAGTGAACACAAATTCTTAGTGTTAAATCAATTGTGCAATTCCAGCAAACAGTGAATGGTTGGTGATACTTCTGAAATAGGCAATTAAAAATCGTTGCCAGGGTATTTGCAGGTTTATATGGGAGCTTGTTACAAAGTTACATGGAAATAGTAATATTTGTCTTGTGACAATGTCTTATAATTCGACGCTTGACGACTTTTGCGGATCAAAATTTTGGGTAAGTAGGTCTTTGACCCTGGCAGAACTACTAGCAAAAGTTTGTTTAATTTATTTTAATAACTGGAATAAAATATTTTTTTTATTTGTAACTAAACCACGTCTGAACGTTTTTTATAGAACTACAATAAAATTTTAAAATTTAGTTACGATAGTGTACGTTTCTTCAACATAAAAATAAATAATTATTTTTACTGACGTAATTTTTTCAAATACCCTTGAAGGTAATAGACTTCCATTTGATTGAAATTATTTCGAATATTATTATAAAACCATTCGACCCTGACCTGAGACATTTAAACAAATAAAGAAGCATGACTATGAATTAAACCTGTTTTATATCTTTAATATCTAAAATGTTCTCAAAGATATAAAAAGACACACTCAGATCTTCTTATTGAATTCTTAACTGGATTTTTACAGTATATGATCTCTATATTATAAAAATAACATGAGCAGAAATGATGTATATATTTCTTTTAGGATGCCAACCTATCTTGGTACACTGAGAATCCAGAGTTCACTCCCTGCTTTGAAAAGACTGTTCTTATATGGATACCCTGTTCATACTTGTGGGTAGCAGCTCTTTTAGATGCTTACTACATATACAACAGTAAAGAGAGAAATATACCGTGGAATGCATTAAATATATGTAAATTAGTGTTCACATTTCTACTGATTGTATTGAAGTTTGTGGATTTGGGTGTCATAATACACAAATCATCGAACGAGGAAGTCTTCGATGTTGATTGTTATGCACCAGTTGTGAAGATTCTTACATTTGTGAGTATTAAAATTTTTTATATTATAATATGTATAAGTTAACACTAATATTGTTATAGTCTTGACGAGAGACTGATCATGGTTTACTTAAGAAACATGAAAATGACGTTTCCATTTAAATTGATTTCTTTGAATTATATGTATACTTAATAATTTGAATGTATTGTTTGTATAATACTAATATACATATTAGAGAAAATTATACTTTACTCTGATTACTTAGCCTACATATGAACTGAATTATAAAAATGTAGAAATTTTATGAATTTGAATAATTCTTATTGCATTTCTGTTCGTTTCAAACTGTACCTATTTTTCCTTGTTTGGTATATTGTTTTATTTTAGTCATAAAAGGAATAAAACCTTATTGTCACTAAATAATAATATTAAAAATAATAATGTTTAAAAAATATTTAAAAAAATCACCTACTACTGTAGAAATTGTATTAGTATTTAAAACATGCTTAAAACCATCAAATAAACATATTGTTGGTTATAAAATATACTAGAAAACCTGTCAGAATTTGGAAATAACAATAGTCACATAAAACTGACAAAATTTATAATACTCGGCAGTATAAAGTTGACCTTGTCAGAGTTAACACATTAATGTTTTTTTTTAGAAATATCTACATAAAAGATTTGAAATAAAATAATTAATTAAATTTCATTAAGTTATATCTTTAGAGCTTCCTCTGTGTATTTATGATGAAGCAACAATAATGAAACTTGTTGAAACGTATGACACACCCATGTGACAAATTAACTTTGAATTATTATTACATTGAATTTGTATAGATAGGTAACATGGGACTTTTAGTATTTCATGAACATACTTAATTTCATTCTCAATTGTGGTTTTAAGCTTCCAAATTTGATTCAAGGTTAAATTCCAATAAGAATTAAGGACAACAAAATTATACAATTAATAAACTGTGACCTATTTGTTTTGAAACATATCACTTAAACCTTCCAGTACATATTATAGGTCAGCTTAATGCTAATTATTATGAGTGTGTAAAATAATATTGTATCATCAATTGTATAATGTTCTCTTAATTTGAGAAAATGGTTATCAGTTTGTTTAAGACTTCAATGACTCTGATTCGCGCCATTTCGTATTATGATAATTTTAACAATTACCCACATATCGCAAAATATATCGTTGTATCATTATATGACTCGCGTTTGTATTAATTTAAACATTTATATATAGCGAGATAGGTCACGAAAGATATTTTATATCCGTCACTGTACAAAACCTACCTTCAATACTTAGTCGGATGTATAAAATCAATAATCTGTGTTATAGTCAGGTACTTATAAAGTTAAGGAAAACGAGCTCTTGTTGGTTCTTTAACAGTTTTTTGTCTAACATAAAATAATAGTTAATCTTTATGCCACAAATGATAAAAAAAATATGCTTAAAGATATAAAAAACAAGAAAATTCACAACACGTTGTGGATGAGATTTTCATTCTTACTGTCGTGTCTTTTGAGATGATTATTGTTTTTTATATGGAATAATATGAAAATGTTTGGAATGTGAAGACAATAATCAAAATCATACTAAAAATAGATACGGTCTTTTTAAGAACAATATAATTTGTAAGACGAACTATACAAAATTTAACCTTCCATAAATAATTGACAGTTTCATTGTTGAATAGAAATATTTACTATTTCATTATAAAATGCCATTTTTCCGGTTCTTCCCCTTAAACTAAAGGTATAATTGTTACAATATTTTATTTTATTTTCTATCACAATAACTATTTTTGAACAAATTTGAATCAAACCTCCTTTTTTGTCATATTTCAGTAACAAATACTTACGCAAAAAAGTTCCTAATTTATTATATTACAATATTAGCGCTAAAAATAATATACCACGTAATACATCGTGTATTATAGATTCTCAATTATTCCTTAAATCAAGTTTCTCCTTATAAATTCGAATATGGTAACAAAAACATTTTAAATATAGTTTGTTTAACAGAAAATTTATTAAACAATCTAACGTTTTACGTTCCACGGTGTATTATAAGTATTATAATATTTGTTATCAAGTCGTACTTGTGATTTACGATGTTATGTAACAAAAAAATTACAACCTAAGCCCGTAGGTACTTGAGCGTCAGTAACTTAATGACCGATGACTCATAGTGTCAAATAAAAAATATGAATAAACATTAGTGCTATTACAAGTTGAGTGAAGATACATTGAATGTTGTTATAAACAATATGATTGTTCCAGGCTCTATCCGCGACGTTGCTTTACTACAACCGGAAGTATGGCATGCGAGCTTCCGGTGTGCTTTTCTTCTTCTGGCTGTTCTTAATACTGGCAGGCCTGCCACAGCTGAGATCCGAGATCATGATGCACTACGAACTCACCGAGGACGAGAACGTCCAATACAACTTTGTTAGCTATATGATATATTATCCGTTGATAATATTAATGTTTATACTGAACTGCTTCGCGGATCTACCTCCTAAAGAATCGCCTTATAAATATAATAAGGTAAGTACGTTTATTAACTTGAAGTATATATTGTCTTTAATAATGAATTATTATATTAAAATGTTGTTCTTTTCGTTCAGAATCAATGTCCAGAGAATGCCTCAGGTTTTCCGAGTAGATTGACCTTCAGTTGGTTCGATCCCTTAGCGTTGACGGGATTCAGGAGGAGTTTGGTGGAAAGCGACCTCTGGGCTCTCAACCCACAAGACTCGTCCAAAGAAGTCGTGCCCAAATTCGATAAATTTTGGGAGAGAACATTAAACAAAAGAGAAAAGTAAGTATTGCTATATAACTCTAATCGTTTTAATCAACTTAATTGATCACGGTTGCCGCATAGTAACCGAAACGTCGACTATGAGAGTAAATTAATTTAAAATTCGTTGTACATATGTACGAAAATTATAGTTTTATTTCAATGAATACTAGCAAGTCTTAGATTTCATTACATAACATTAATACTTAAATCATTCACATCTTTAGAACTTCCTCTGTGTATGGATGATGAAGCAACAATAATGAAACTTGTTGAAATGTATGACACACCCATGTGACAAATTAACTTTGAATTATTATCACATTGAATGTATATTATATATAGATAGATAGGACTTATTATATTTTTCTCAGCCTCTTATGACGAAAAATACATTAGCATTATATTTCACCACAAAAACACAGTATTTAAAGAAAATTACGACAATACGAAACTATACTATGAAGAGGCATGCCGTACAAATGTTTGTAAACTGTTGGATTCGTATCGACAATTGTATCGTTACAAATGAAAACGGATCGCTACTAATATTATAAATGCGAGAGTAACTTTGTCTGTCTGTCTGTTACGCTTTCACGCTTACACTACTGAACTGATCTTAATGAAATTTGGTACAGAGATAGAGTTGATCTTGAGAAAGAACATAGGATAGTTTTTATCTAAGACTTTTGAAAGGTTCTCTTGGAAACGCGATATAACCGAACTCTACGCGAGCGAAGCTGCGGGCGGAAAGCTAGTAGAAAATAACGGACCTATTATATATGATACGTTTTTCAATTGTATGATGATTTATGTTATATAAAGGTATCGCCTCTGCTAGATCTATGCCACATATATCACTCAAGAATATCAACTAGACATCAATATAATCGTATTAAAACAATTTATATTTGCATCAATACAATGACAATATTTATTTTTATTTATTGATAATCCGACTGCTATTGACTTGAGATATGCCTTCAATATGATAAATCACATTTAATTCTCTGATTTTATCATATGAATAAATATATCATAATCTGTTATTTATTGGTTTATTCGTATCTTTGAAAGTATTATCGAGCTATTTGTATTGATTTCTTTCGAATTGACGAATACATTCCTAGCTCTGGTGTCCCTCAGAGAAGAAAATAATCTCTTTTATTATATTGTATCTTATAAATTGGACAATATTACGATTTCACGCTAATTCGCTTTTACTTATTATTCAGTTATTTTGGTTAACTGATCATGGGTCTCAGATTACCTTATTGTTTTTTTTTTACCGAGTTAAGTGTATTACCTTGACAGAATGAAATAATATTAATATGAAGTCAAGAAATCGTTTATTGTATGATAATCGACAAAATTGACATTTGGAATTATGTGCAGTAGGTTTTCTAGTATTATGAAAACTACATTTAAGTAAAATTATGTTAACACAACTATAACAAACATTTCTTAATCATTTAACATATAATATCACATGTATTTTCTTTGTTTACTTATTTGACGTTCTTAACATCAGAATGTCAATATCATAGTTTCTAATTTGACTATATTTCCAGTGCGAACGGCACAAAAGCCACGTACAGCAAGACCTCGGCCAGCGTTAACTTCAAGCCGGATAAGGAAGTCAAACCAGCGTCCATTCTACCAGCGCTATGTTTAGCATTCGGTGGACAGTTCCTCTTCGGAGCACTTCTGAAGCTCATCAACGACGTACTTATGTTCCTATCGCCTCAACTATTGAAGTACGTAAAAGAGAAACTAATTCTCACATACTTCTATATACTTGATATTTTGTGTGTTCTGTTTTCTGCTTGTCTGACCATGAGATATCGATTTGGGTCAACGAATTCTTGGAACAGCTGAGCGGATTTAAAAAGGAATTGTAGCAGATGACAGAAATACTTTTTGGATAACTATACTAAACACGCAGCGGTCCCTAACATGTATTGTTAATTTTTTATTCTAACCCAATTCAACTAACACGTAAAAAGCTTCATTCTTCTCCAGAATTATTTGTTTTGTGATTAAATAGTCTATTTTATAAAGGTAGAAATATTTCAAATACAATATTTTTCTCGGATTGACATAGTATTAGCATAATATTGTTTTATATTCCAGACTCCTAATAGGTTTTGTGGACACGAAGGAGACAGTGTGGAAGGGTTACTTGTACGCGGTCTGTCTGTTCGCGTGCGCCACCGCCCAGACGTTACTGCTGTCGCACTACTTCACGAGAATGTACCTTGTGGGTATGAGAATAAGGACGGCTTTGACTAGCGCTGTGTACAGGAAGTCCCTGAGGATATCAAACTCGGCTAGGAAGGAGACGACTGTTGGTGAAATCGTTAACCTCATGGCTGTTGATGCACAGAGGTAGGTTTCATTTAAATGTTCAATTTTTAAACCTTCCCCCCCCCCCCTCCCACCAATTAAATGCCACAGGAAGAAATTATGAAAATACACTTCTACCGGTTGTCATTGTGCAATTTTGACAGCATTTGTGCAAGAAAAAAATTAAAACTAAATATTTCAATTAAAAGCATAATACTGTAAAAGATTTTGTCCCACAGTTATATCATATAAGGAAACGATTCAGCTTGAGATCAAAATCTGTTTGTCCTCCACCAGTAGTTAAAAGTTGTTAATTATATTGAACAATTGTTAACATAAGGCTTAGAGACAATCTTATATACGATGAATGACTACCGGTTGTTTTAAAATCAAACAAACTAGTAAATTTAATATATTTATATAAAAATGGTTATAAAGAAAACCTCTCTCAGACTGATAATAATGAGATAAAATGATATCAGTATTATCTTTTACAGTCATGTGAATCTTGTTAATATATCAAAGTATATGATATTGCAATATATATGTGTGTCATCTAGTGACGAAGCACAATATGTTTCCTCAAATTGTTTTAAAAATACTATTCACATATAGAAGATGTAATCTCATACATATGTCGATTATTACAATGTTTGTTTCATGTAAGGCTCTTGATCATTAAAAAATATATAATTATATTTTTAATTGTTTTCCTGTTGTTATTCTCTTCTAATACTGCTGAAATAAACTTTTTATATATGAACTTATATATATATATAACACAAATCTCTCTTATACTTTTGAATTATTCTCTTTATAATAATTAATTATAGAAATCATTATAACATGTCAATTTTGATAAAATTTTGTATATAGGAAGCTGACGTTCATTAATAACACATAGGCTACTTTACATCCCGGAAATCGGATAACACCGCGAGGCGCAGCTAGTTAATAAAGAAACATTGTGTAATATTAATGATTGTTCCAGGTTCGTGGAGCTGACTGCGTATCTCAATATGATATGGTCGGCTCCTCTACAAATAGCATTGGCGCTGTACTTCTTGTGGGGTATTCTTGGTCCGTCTGTATTAGCCGGTTTAGCAGTTATGATAGTGCTAATACCGGTCAACGGACTCATAGCGAACAGAGTCAAGACCTTACAGATCAGACAGATGAAGTACAAGGACGAACGGGTCAAGCTAATGAACGAAGTGCTCAATGGAATTAAGGTTATACTACACTGCATGCTATACTATATTATTATGTGAACGTTATGGTAATTAGTTTGGATTAACAAGGCGAATATAGCTTTAGTATAGCTTTAGGAATGTTGGTCTACTAGTATTAAAAGAATTATCGAGTTATCAATTCAGTATATAATATTAGTAAAGATTACTGTTACTAGCAGAAAAATAAGTAAATTTAGGTATCTATTAGAGAAACACGGAATCGTCAATTGAAAAAAAAACGAAATTACTCAATATTTTTTTGGTTTCTTACTTCTTCTCTAGTATACATACGAATTACTATAAAAAGAAGTTATCAAAAATAAATAGGGTATACGTCATAATAAGGAAAAATCTGCCCTACATATTTCGTGTTTTTGTATATAGATTGTGCAAAATCCACTCTCAAGCGGTATCATTGTTTTTTTAACACAATAGAAATGACATCGTTTTCAATAGATAGCGGGCCATTCAAGGCCTGACAACAGTTATCGTGTCTTATCAACTACTATGAGAACCACTATCACACATCTATTAAATAATCTTGATAAAACAAGGAAAAATTAAACTCATCTTGCACTACACTATATTTCCTGAAAGCGTAAGTTTTTTTTTGTGCTTATCATCTTTTTTATATACAGGATGACTGGTGAATTACTATCGATATTTGAGGACGTGATATTTGACGATCATATATGACAAAATAGAAATTAATATAACATAAATATTAATAAACTTCTAAGTAAAATTAACCAAAAGTTATGTAATTAATTACGCATCGTGTGAACACCCTACAGATTAGGTATACACACACACACACACGAGTGCGGCGGCGTGGTGTTGTATCAGCTCGCCGCCGCACACGTCCACACTTGGAACACTTGGAACGTGTCCACACTTTATTTATTTATACGGAAATTTGGTCAAAAATAAAGTACCTATTTTTTTTACATAATTCGAATGAGAATAATGTACCGAGTATTCTCCTTAAATATTGATAGTAATTCACCAGTCACCCTGTATATACAACTATTATATAAGCAATAACAATATTTTATTATATAAATGCAATAAAATTATTATTTTTATCGTTTGTATCTGGTTTTGTAGGATTTGTAGTACACTTTAATAAAGTCACATATTTAGTATACAAACAAGCTAAAAATTATTATAATGAAATTGTTTTTTTTTCTAAACGTTTTGTTTATATATATTCGTGATAAGTCGAATCCAAAATTAACATAAACAAGTTTGAACCTGTTTTAATATATATAGAGATATCATTATTGGTACGGATTTGTCGGATCGATTCTTTAAATGTCTTTTATATCAGACAACTGGTGCTTTCAAAGAGACACTGAACCCGATACATAAGTATATAAAATATATAACATTTTTTTTCTCTTATATTAAAACCTTTGGGATTCGTGTTATCATCCTTAAGTTTTATTCGATTTGAAAGACCCTTCATCAGTTCAGGAATTATGACCTTTCGATTTAAAACATAATTGTGAAAATTGGCCTTTAATGTAATAGCGTAACAAACATGTAATTGAATTTAATATGTACTTCATTCTTTGCGAGTCGGTTAAAAAGTAACCTAAGTCACTCCTTATGTCATTATCCGCACGAAAGTGAAATTCCTTTCACCATCAGACCAATAGATTTATAGATTGGTCGGAACAAACAGACGGACAAAATAATTAAATAATAACCTTATTATGTATATATCTTATTTAATTTCATATATCCTCAGCAATTAGCTGGTAATTTGATATAACAAACAAACACTTGATTTTTATTGATTTAGTATAGATCGTTGTTTTCAATTTTATTGTTTGATAATATTATAACAGTAAGTATTCATAATACAATTGTTCGACTGCACAATGTCAAACTGTGACAGCAGTACAATGACCTGAAAATTTAGTTCGACCTCATTCACGCTTCGGGTTTGTTAGTTTTAATAAAATCACATTAAAATGTACTCTATATATAAGTATTTACGACCATTTTTCTATAACCAAATTATGTTGAATGTTAATCAATAACCAACCAACGATGAACCCTAGAGCACTCAAATGCAGCTCTAATTAAGAGTTCTTTTACGAGAATACTTCAAATGTCCGTAGGAGTCAAACGAATTGTTTACATTATTTGATAAAAAATCCTTATTTTAAGAACATAGCAATGAGATCTAATATTTTGAAGAGTATTCATTCAAATGAAAATAATATTTTTTGGATTAGTACGCGTATAATTTATTATTTAAAAAATTACATTCTTCCGACATTTCGGTTACTTTGTAGCAACCGTGATCACGGGCAGATGAGACTTGAAAATACGAGTAGTCATCCGAAAAATATTAGTTTCATTTAAGAAATAGCCATTTTTATATGTTAATATTCAATAATAGCATAAATATATTTTTTTTTGCAGGTCCTAAAAATGTACGCGTGGGAACCTAGTTTCGAAGGTCAGATACTTAAAATAAGAAATAAAGAAATGAACGTTTTGAAACAAACGGCGTATCTTAATTCAGCCACCTCGTTCATATGGTCCTGCGCACCTTTCCTGGTAAGTTAATATCTCACCATTATACTTATAAAATTCTTTTAATTTTAATTTTTTCAAATATTAAAAAGTTATTATATCATATTCTAATTATGAAATTATATGTTCTAGCAAAAACTATAATAATTATAGTACATTATCCGTCTTATTTAAATGTTCTGAATTTTTATGATTTTTTAATAAAAAATAACCGAATCCTTTAATACAATGTCCATGAAACGAAATAATTTCACAACATTTGTGCTAGTTACACAATACGACAAACAAATAAAATTAAATAAATAGAAAATTTTACACAACACATTGTAATACGTCACTTTAAATATTTACTAAGACGCGATACAAAATGGAATTCACATATCAAGAGGAGAAAGCTAACACACAAACACACACACACACACACACACACACAAATCCTATCCTAAAGTAGAAATATACATGTATTATACAAATTATATGACCAAAAATATTATTTTTTTAACTTTAAGGAAGTCTTAAATTTTATTTTTAATGCTTCATATGATATTCAAAAACTAATTCATCAAAATAGATAAGGAAAGACATTAAACATACATTACCTTGTATGAACATTACGGAATACTAATATTATTTATTATTTTTTATTTATTTTTTAAATATTATTAAAACAAACTTGGCTTTAGAATTCTTTGCTTTGATACATGCAACACTGTAAATAAAATTACTTGGTATATAAAAAAAAATATCTTACTGAAGTGTCTCCCGCTCATACAAGCGACATACAAATGTTATCAAGTAATTTATAATATTAAACATTAAAATATCAATATTTAGACATCAGTTAATCCGATATTACACCATATACATATAATAGATAATATAAATAAATTGAAAACAACACAAGCTTATTGATAAACGTGCGATGAACTTTGTATGTTTTAAAAGATTAAACTGGGTCAAAATATATGTATAAAAATATATCTTATATTACATATCCGTTTAAAGTAATACAAGATCGTATTTAATACACAATTCTCCAAAGTTCCCATTGTTATCCATTGTTGACATCAAGGCCGCTTGCCGCTGCTTGATTTTAACATTATTATTATTTTCAATGAACTTCACCTACTTTAGTGTATTATTTATATCTTTTAATGTCGATGTTTATGCAAGACGAGGCTGTTTTTTTTACCATCAATCAGCATTTATATGATTACATCGCGTACATAATGCTATAATAAATATGTTATATTATTTCAGGATGTGACGTCATTTTATTCTTTTTTTTTTTAATCATAATATAGAGGCAGAATATATGAACCAGTGTTCTAAATAAAGTTGTTTCTTTTCAAGGTGACCTTCCTAACTTTCTTCACTTACGTTATTTCTGATCCAGTAAACCATGTGTTGAAACCTGATAAGATATTTGTATCGATGTCCCTGTTCTATATAATGCACCTGCCGTTAGGGTTGCTCCCCATCATCGTGGTGTCCATCATAGAGGTAGACACAGCGTGATATCGACCTTATTCTCATGAGGCTATGGTTCTATTTAGACATCACACTAACACACACCCATCGCCACCAAACGAGCTCCACAAGTTTACGATGTATCCGATACGCAAATCATTCCAATTTTGAATTTTGGAATAGGTATTTTGAATGTCGAACGACGTTCTATAGAGTTTTTTGACTTTATATTTTTCGTATGCTTCATTTTGGTCCTACCAGTTCTTTGAATAAATTATCCTCAGGTACGCCAAAGAACCGAAAACCGTGATTCCATTTTTGAATGTGGTCGATTTTTAAAATTCGATCTATTATTGCGTTGATTTTTTTTATATTGATACAACGTAAACACCGAAATAAGTTTCGTACCGCCACAGATCCTAACCCGTAGGACTCTCGTCTCTTGTAGATCACATTAATTCTAAGTTCATTAACTTCAATATAACTGGTCGTAGGTGTCGCTGATGTCATTTGGGTGCTTTGTTCTGGTAAATGATAAGGAGGTATTGGATTCAAAGCGCGCTTTCGTAGCGTTGTCTCTCTTCAACATCCTACGTTTTCCACTATCCATGCTGCCTAACGTTATATCGAATGTAGTTCAAGTAAGTTGAGCATTTAATATAAACATAGATCACATCTATTAACAGCTAACGTTGCATGATCGGTGAATGGTTGATTACATTCTATCTGGAAGACGAAGAAAATGTTCACTAATAATTTTAAATTTGGAACGATAACTTTTAAATGTGTTCTATTTTTAAATTTTTCTCATCAGTCTAATGCAGTGACGTTTTCTCGTCTCCTAGACGCTAGTTATAAGTATATAATAGATATTTTATTTTATAGACATCAGTTGGTATAAAACGTCTGAATAAATTCATGAATTGCGACGAATTGAACCTCAGCGCGGTGGAACACGATCCTAAAGAACGTAAGTACTATTTCTTTTACTATTCCAATGTTTTTAATACAATGAAAAGCAAAAGTGTTTAATCATTGTAAGCTCATTTTTATATTTATTAATTATGATCGCCGTACTCAATAAATGTACGCCGATGACAAAGTTGATAAAATAAATTTGAACTGTAGTTATGATTTAGTTTGAAGTAGGTATATAAATGTACTAATCCTCGACCGCGACTTCTTTTCCTTTATCAAAAACTATAATATTTTTCATCGACACTATCTAGAATAGAAATAAAAAATGTATAATTGTTAATTTAGAAACGATAAAAGCGTATGTAGTCGACAGTGTTATTTTGTACTATGTATGTATACTGTTGACGTGCGTATTCATTATATCAAAAGCACTATACTGTTCTTGTTAACTAAGCAAGGTATGTTTTTATTTAAGTATGCTAAGTTACATCCAAAGACTGCAACTTAATGACAGTCTGTTTAGCTTAGATTTTTTTTTTATGTGAAAGGTGGCAAACGAGCAGACGGCCCACTTGATGGAAGGTGGTTACCGTCGCCCAAGGACATCCGCAACATTTTGTTGCGGATGCATTGCCAACCTTGTTTTTTGGGGGCAGGGAGGGGTGGGAATAAGGAAATGAAAGGAAAGGGTAGGAATAGGGAAAGGGCAACCGGCTCTCTCACTCATCAGACGAAACGCAGCCAGTAAAGGCTACTTCACGACGATCTTCTGTGAGAGGGTGGTACTTCCCCGGTCGAGCCAGCCCATGTTCGAGCTGTAGTAACTGACCACAGCTAGGCTCTACCACCTAAAAATTTTAATTCGTATGCACTAGTTTTAAGTCAGTTTTGTAAACTTAAATAAAAATAAATATATGTATATAATTTTTTTTTATTCATCAGCGAACCCTATCGTCATCGAGAACGGTCACTTCACATGGAGCGATGAGTCCGAGCCAGTGTTGAAGAACATCAACCTTCAAATACCACGCGGAGGTCTAGTAGCGGTGGTCGGAGCCGTTGGTTCAGGGAAGAGTTCCCTACTGTCGGCGCTATTGGGAGAAATGAACAAGATCTCCGGACGTGTTAACACTAACGGTAATAATTTATATATTCTTTATTGCACACCAATATAGACAAAAATAATAGGAGAAAAACAAAGAAAAGAAAAATGTATAAATAGGCGTCCTTATCGCTAAAACAGCGGTCTCTTCCAGGCAACCTTAATAATGTTAATTGATTATTTATTAAAACTGTTAAAAAATAGCCTTAGGCGATAAACGCACTGTCTTAGTAATAATCTATTCACTGTAATTGCTTATGTTGGAATCATAATATATCACATAGAAATAGAAATCTCTAAAAAAATATCTTGAGTCGTCAAAATCTTACATGTAAGAACATCACTAGGGTCTATATTTAATTTATTATAAATTTATCGATTTTTGGCAATCCATCAAACTATATCATTTGTTTGAGAAATGATAATAAATATTGCTAATTTAAAATCACTTAACACTATTAAGATGTATGTGGTAGTTACAAGTTCTAAACAGTCTTATTAGAGTGATTTACACCTTAAAACTTCAATCAGCAAAATGACTTTATTATATATGGCTAATTAGACCACTATAATAAATTATTATTAGAATTTTTGAGAAATTTTACGTTTTTGGTTCTGACTTAAGTCTATACAATCGGATTTCAGGATATTCAAAAATTTAAGTCGATACCAAATCCAAACCAACACATAATGAAATTATGTTGCTATTTATATATACTTATGTACTGTATATTTATTTTATTATTATTTGTAACAGGTGTAATAGCGTACGTGCCACAACAGGCGTGGATACAGAACGCCACGCTCCAAGACAACATCCTGTTCGGCAAACCCTTGGAGAAGGTTAAATACAACAACGTCATCAACGTGTGCGCTCTCAAACCTGACTTCGACGTACTTCCGGGGGGAGATCAGACAGAAATTGGAGAAAAAGGTATTATACATATATTCTCCAACGATAATTTGTGCATAAGAGTAGGGGTATGTCACAGTATGAGAGACACACTTTATTTACGTTAGTCAGTTACATGAAGGCAGCCCTAGTAGGTTCTTTTCAAATTTGGTTAGGTAGAGAGAGGAGCTTGGACAGTGGAGGTGAGCGTATAACGCGCGTTAGATAAGGGGTCCTTTAAACCTACACTTGAGTCGCAAGTCCCAGTCACTGTTGAAGCTCCTCTCCCTGCAATGATGGACCCGGCACCCGCACGTTGAATACATCGAGTGCTAAGAGGTTTCGTCTCTTGTCTCACAGAATGTTATGTCCAGACTAAACAGTTTTTCTCGTCATATTTGTTCTAAGAGAGTACTTCACGCTACCTTCCGTCTCATATTTATCCGGATACGACAGCGCTATATCGCAAAACACATGTCCATTGTCCACCTGTGTGATTTTAAGGCTAAAACAACACAAAATATTCCGTTTATCATTTCCTGTTAACATTTTATTCAGAAAAAGTAAAAGTAAAAAAACTTAGATATCATTATAAACAGTAAAAAATTCGTCTAAATTTTGACTATCAATTACAATAAAACATCGTTATAAACTGAACTCTTGTGCCATTGATTAACAATCTTTAGAGTATCTAAACGTAATCGAAAATAGTCGATCTCAGTTATCTTGTTCGTGGTCAATGACCTTGTATTATTTGGCACAGTATATTATGCATGTCCTATAGAAACACAACTTAAAGTTCTCGCTGACTGACTACCCTCGCAACTACTCAAAAAGTAGATACCGATTTCTGCTAAGTCACACAGCCTATAAATTCTTCGACCCGTCGAAAAACCTTTGTTCACATACAAGGCTCAATATCACTTATTTTATCAGTTCCTACAATTTTTCCTCTACGTCAAGTACCCCTCGACCCTCAAATACTTATCTTATACGATCGTGATGGTACTTGTAGATATACCTGTTTCTAAGAGATTTTAAACATACCAATCTTTATCTATTATCTAAGTTCTAACCTACTCTAAAAGGTCTCCGTCATCATGCTTCTCACATTTTTGGATTGCGTTCCTAGTTTTTTTTTTATGAATTTCTACCTAATACAGCATTTGGACGTTACGATAAATATTTTTATCACTAAACCTTTGAAGTTTTTGACCAGTCTTTTAGCAAGCACTTTATAGAAACCATAACTCTCGATACTACTAATCGCACTATTTTTTAATCTTTCCAACCATAGAGCATAAGCATAGACATCGTGACTTGCATTATTTTTTGGCGGATAAGTGCTAAAATGAAGAATGGTCGTTAAAAAAGTCTCTGTACATAAACAGTTGGTTAAATTGTGCCTATACTAAAATAGCTGATATGTTAGGGCCACGTAGAAACTGAATGAATAAGACATTTTATTTCGTGCTTATAGAAGCGACTTCTTTCTATATCTCTCTTCTTCTTCCTGGCAACCTACCAGCTTTAGCCAGGGTCTGCCAGACATCCTTCTATATCTCTCCCGTTAAAATACGAATCAAGCCTTACTCGACGATTGCTCATCGGAAACACCTTTCCCAAACTTCAACTCCAGTTTAAAAACGTCGTTCTTCTTACTTTAACTTTTAATCGTTTGAAAAACTGCTGACAATTTTTCAAGAATTTGTTGTTTTTGCATTTCCAAAGTAACCATCAGTCCATTATAGAATTGCTGTATCCTGTGATGAATGTTGCATTGCTCGATCTGAGTTTATAATCGGATGTTGCTAAATTCTTAAACCTTATTTATTTTTTTCGACAAAGTGTGGAAGTAAAATGGATATCCTGCAAATCATAGATCACACTATACTTATTCAATTCATTATAACTGCATTTGTTTGAATTTTACGAAATCTGTTGTAAGTTTCGTGATTTCGTTTCATAGAGTGTTCAGTTCAAACAGAATACTTGCTCTAAGAGTTAACCTCGCGACCTCATAGCTTTAAATACCTTATCGCATGCACTGCATATATATGGCCCATGTACTGCTCAAAATAATATTCTGTGCTAAAGATGGTAATGCACTTGGGATAACTTAGTTTCATTTATTGATGTACAACATCTATATTAGAAGAAAAATTCGTAGCCTCGAATCTTCATCTCAAACTTAGCATTCGAACTTGTATAAGTTGTACTGACAGCTGTAGAGCACATACTTATAATACACAAAAGATCACATGGAAATGATTCAATAGTAGTTTTTATCACATTAGATGGTCTCTAATTAGACTATAAAGGACTAAGTATACTAAGCCCAAAACAAATTTCCTTTATGTCTTCATCTTCTTCTACCTGGCAATTTCTCAGCTTTAGCCAGCTGCTGCCGTACATATTGTTAATAGGTTTGGCTAATTGTTTTTACGACCGGCCGCCTGCCTGACATCAAGCCTCTTTGGGAATAAAACATATTTCCTTTTCGTAATTACATTACAACATATTTTGTTATGGATATGCATATATAATAAATGTTCCCAGGTATCAACTTATCCGGCGGTCAGAAGCAGCGTGTATCGCTAGCCCGGGCGGTGTACTACGACGCGGATAATTACTTCCTGGACGACCCGCTCAGTGCAGTCGACTCACACGTCGGCAAACACATATTTGATAAGGTAGCGATAATATTCAATTAATTGATATAAGAAATAAACAAAATCTCACTTAACAGACAATAGTAAAAGTCCATAAATACGGTGGAAAAAAATTCTACTTAATTGAAAAGAATTAGAAGATTCGTTTTTTTTTTACACCTTAAAAACATATTTATGTAACTTTACAGTAGTACGATAATTTTGAATTTTAAATCATTGTTGTAACTGATTAAAAAACTTTTGATTTAAATCTAAACAAAAAAATTTATATCTAATTTATATCTAAAAAGATTTATATCTAAATCAACAAATAAATGTATTAACAAAACTGTGTTACACAGGTTATAGGTCCCAACGGTCTCTTAAAAGGCAAGACTCGTGTGTGGGTGACGCACAACGTGTCGTACTTGGCGCAGACAGACCTCGTGGTTGTGTTGAGGGACGGAGTGGTCTCCGAGGCTGGGACCTACCAGCAGCTGTTAGAGAAAAAGGGTGCCTTCGCTGACTTCCTCCTGCATCATCTCAGTGATAAAGAGAGAACTACTCCTGAAGGTTCATATAACTATACAGTATAGTGTACTGTATATACAGTACAGTCACGTGACATCATACTACATACATTATTATGATATGTTCCAGTGTGAACTACATAAAAATGAAGGATGAATTATAGCCTATAACTTACTCTGATGTTTGAAGTATCTTATTACAAATTAACATCAAAATCCGACCACAATATGTTACGTGAATGAGTAACAAACATGTATACATAAATTTATTATAGTATTACTTAAATTAATTGGTCGTTATATTGTACTGTACTAGAATATATGTAAGCCTTTAAATGTATGTTTGTTATAGAGTTGGACGTTATTAAGCAAGAATTAGAAAGCAAGTTGGGTTCAGAGTTCCAGAACAAACTACAGAGGGCGCGGTCTTTGTCGGAGAGTACTTCGGAATCAGAACAAGCGACGGGTACGCATTATATAATAATTATAACACACACAAACATGTATATGTGTTTTTATGTATAATATATATCTTATATAAACAGATTAACTAAAACCTTTATAAATATTCAGGCGATCGCAGTGGTAGCGTCAAAAGAAAAACTCCAGAAGCTACACCGAGTGAGTTGAAGGAAAAGAACAAACTGATTGAAGCTGAAAAAACTGAGACTGGCAGTGTAAGAACTATGTTAATATATAATAGACATATATGTTATTATATGTTGGGAACATTAAGAACCAGATGTAGTCAATATTAGCCTGTGATGCACTCTGTTACTATTTAAGCATGAAGTGGTTGCCTGTAACTAAGGTAGCACATAACATCTTGATTGTAATAATTTAAATGTTTGTATTTGTGTATACTTTGTTGGCGATCCAATAAATAAATAAAAAAAAATAATATTAAAGAAAGCCTCTTATGTCAATAACTAGTATGAGAACTTTTGGATAATCTTTTAATGTTATATTGTTAACTATTTTGAGGTAAATGGCAAAAATAAATGTGTATGCTCTGTTACATGGTTTAAAGTTACATAACATTGGTATCCATGGCATAACTAAACAGATATAATTTATTCTCAGCAAAATTCCTTGAAAATACATTCAGAAGAACACTTTTATTGTATACTGATATTTATTAATACTAAACATATATTATCTGAATTGTATTATGACGATAAGCACATTTTTTAGTATACCATTTGTACATTGCAGGTTAAATGGAGCGTCTACAAGCACTACTTGACAAGCGTTGGATTAGTAGCTTCAGCACTAACGGTGCTCATGAACCTGGTGCTGCAGGTGTTCCAGGTCGGCTCCAACTACTGGCTGTCCGAGTGGTCCAACGACAACTCTATGGTCAGTAATACAGAATAGAGTGATATAGAAGATATATAAGTCGGTGGGAGTGAGTGAGAGAGACTGAACTTTGAGAGAAAGAGACACAGCATTGATGACTTATCAAGATATTGGAACCAGAAAGAGATGTAGAATATCTTTATATATATAATTCTTCTGTGAGTGTGCATGTCACTGAACTTCTCTCAAATGACTGGACCGATTTTGATGAATTTTTTTGGGTGTGTTCAAGGGGATCTAGAAATGTTTAGATTCACAATTTGTCCGCTGGACAATGTTTTTTTAATTAATTTTTAATTTATCAGTAGTTGTTGATACAAACGTATTTTTGACATTAGATTTGACAACTAACTAATATGTCAATCATTCTGTCGCACTTCAAAACACGGAGATTTATGGCTTTAATAGGTTAACTCCAAAAATATAAATAAAAAAACGTAACAGATATTTCTTGATTATTGGGCGATACGAAGTTCGCCGGGTCTTCTAGTAATCTATATAAATATGTGTTTAATATTTTTTTTTTTTGCAGCTGGTAAATGGTACTGTTGACAAAAGCAGGAGAGATTTATACTTGGGTGTGTACGGAGGTCTTGGGATTGGACAAGGTGAGTCTATATACATATAATATTACATTAAAACATAAGTTTATGTGGTATAATGAATGTATGTTTGTGTTGTCCAATAATATAACCTATTAAAGGATTTTATTGAGTGTTCATATTGGAATAATTTAGATTACCAATATACACATTGGGAATATTCTAAAACTGCATTTTAAGTTAATATGCTGATATGTTTGATGTTTTCCTTTCCCCTTCTGGTGTATATAATGTCTATTTATTTATTTTTATTTATATATTTCTATGGTGTTTTAAGTCTATATGTAATTCAATTGTATGAATGATGGCTGTTTTACAAATAATGAATACATTCTTTACACTCACCTTCAAGTAACATTATAATTATTTTAATTATTAGATGTATATCTCATATATTATATGTTAACGGGTTCGGCGACTAACCTCAGCATGTTGTATATAAAAAGATAATTTTTATTGCATGAAATTATTCCGTTTATATAAGGTCGTTAAGGTAGCTTCTGGGTTTTTTTCTAATTATATTTTATGAATACATAATACGCAATACGCATGCCTCGTACTTTTCTGTATTACAACTAGGTCTTGTATTTTATTTACTGCATTGAAGTAAAAGTTAAATTTAAAACATTAGGCTGCGTTTCCATCAGATGTTTGACAGAATAAAACAGGAAAATTAATAAACGAATTAATTGAAAAATAATTGTACGGTATTTTATACAGAGTTGATAGAATTCCTTTGACTGACCAAATTTATAAGTATTTGTTGACGAAAATGCTGGCTTTATTTGAATTATTTTAGGAGTCAGATGAATGGTCGTAATGTATAATAAATAGTAGAAATTTGTTGGAGACGCAGCAATCGGCTTTAATATTTTTGTCTCCTTTTGTCTCGTTTTTTTTTTTGCCAGCTGACAAATCTTGAGTATATAAAAGATGCATCTCTATATCTGATAATATATTTATTTAGTGTATTACTGAAAGATTAGTAACCGATTTCAAATACAATGTCTTAGACCAGGGCTGTCCAAAGCGTGGCCCGCGGACCGCGCGCGGCCCGCGGTTCGGATTACTGCGGCCCGTAGAAACTTTTTTATCTTCTTTGTTTAAATACATCCATGAGAAAATACTGGTAATAATAACGATATTATTATTACCGGTCTCTATATAGATTTTTTAAGGTCCACCTATTTATTAAGTTATTTTTATTGTCCCTGGGTCCCATCGAGTTTGGACACCCCTGTCCTAGACGAACGTTCCTCGTCAGTTTATTAGTGTATACACTCGTAGAGCATATTATTTTGAAGTCGGTTAGCGTTGCTCTTACAATACGTGTACGGTGTTCGGTGAATGCGGCCGTAGTTGTGTCGGTGTCGGTGTCTTCGCTGGCGCTGTACCTGGGCACGCTGTGTGCTGCGCGGGCGCTGCACGCGGCGCTGCTCGCGGGCGTGCTGCGTGCGCCCACCATCGGCTTCTTCGACTGCACGCCGGTCGGCCGCGTCCTCAACCGGTTCAGCAAGGACGTGGACGTGCTGGACAACGTGCTGCCCATGACGCTGCGTGGATGGACCTCCTGCTTCTTCTCGGTACACCTCCACTTGTCCAACGAGACAAGATAAATTATGTAAACAATAATGAAAATGTATTGAAGATGTTAACACTTTGAGGATGTTATTGAGATATGCTTACCGATAGTGAAAACGATTTGAGATATTTGAGAATTAGTTTTATAAAATAATCTATATGTTTTATGGTCACGTTGTCTTAAACATAATTTGGTATTGTTGATTTAGAAGCGTCGTCTTACATTTCATAATAATACATTTCTATAATTATTATATATATATTTTTTGTGTATGTGGGATCAGTTTACTTTTATTATTTATTTACTATGTTTAATCGTGTAGTAGTGTATTTTGTACCTGACACATTCATTGGTCTCTAAACGCCTCACTAACGACCGCCATGGATTAATGTTCCGCTTGCTAGTAGATCGTTGTTTATTTCCGTAACCGAGCAACACTAGAGCATGTCATGTGTTAACGCACCTAATATCATGTAAGCCTCCGTAGTAGTCGTCGACAGATGGCGTTATTCAGCCGACACTCGCCACTAGCATAGACGGTAGTAAATAATGTATTCATTATGTAGAGCCTGCCTGGGATTCGTTGTATGTAATCCGTGGACGTTGTTGCAGCCATTGCATCAATTTTCGCTGATTTAATGCCATTCTTGGCGGGGTGGCGCGCGGCGCGGATACTGCACGAGCTATTGTTGGGGAAAGTGTTGAAAGCCCCGTTGCAATTCTTCGAAGTGACTCCACTCGGCCGCATACTGTCTAGGTTTTCTAAAGACGTGGATGTTGTCGACACCTCCCTCCCGTCGGAACTGTCCGACGTCATGTATTGCGCCTCCGAGGTAAATTCAATATGGGATATGTCGTTCATTGTAGCTGTTGGTGGGTATCATGAACATTTGTAATAGGTTTGTTGAGTTTTTTTTATTTCATTTTATTAACGGCCATTTGTCGCGTAACCGGTGTTCATCGCTGGCACCGGTTCTATACAAATTTACATTCCAGGGGTCGGAGAGGTGAACCATTTCTATTTTTATTTTCTGCTTTCTGTTACTCGTTACGAACTTCTCTTTTGATAATCATTTTATGTTGTTTGTGTTTTGTAATAATTATGTTTTTTCTGTTTTTTTTTTCTTTATTAACACAACTTCATAAACTGATCCCATGGTACATTATCAATAATTGTGTGTTCGTTAAAACTAAATAACTTCCACTTGTTGTATTCGAATATTTTTACTAATGTATATATTTGAATGTAATGTTTTCCTGTACAAAGGTTCTTGGCACATTATTCGTGATAAGTTACTCGACGCCCATTTTCCTTGCGGTGATTCTTCCTATCGGGGTAGTGTACTACGTGATTCAACGCTTCTACGTGGCCACGTCACGGCAGCTCAAGAGATTGGAGTCTGTTTCAAGATCACCGATATACTCTCACTTCGGAGAAAGCATCACTGGAGCACAGACCATCAGGGCGTACGGCGTCACGCAAAGGTATTAGTTAATAGTGTACTAACAACATTAATAACAAAAAAGTCGATCAGAATTAATGTATAATTTTTTACACCTAGTACACCGGTACATAGTACAATGAACTATTATAACTAAACATTAAGTAGGTAACGTTTCAGTGAGTTGACATACTTGTGATATATATAATAATTTTAAACCGTTCTTAATTTCTTATTTAATAATCACAGCATACATTTGAGTTCACTAATTTTAAATATAAATAATTAAGGCATCCATTTAGTTTTCATGACTTCAATTACATACAAGAGGTGACTACATAGTACACCGGTACAATGGCCTACTACATCTGATCTATATATGATGATCCATTGATCCAATTCAAACCATTGATCCAATGATCCATTCAGGTTCATCGAGGAGTCTGAACACGGCGTGGACCACAACCAGTCGTGCTACTACCCGAGCTGCATCGCCAACCGCTGGCTGGCCGTGCGTCTCGAGATGATCGGGAACCTCATCATATTCTTCGCGGCCCTGTTCGCTGTACTCAGCCGAGAAACCATCAACCCCGGCATTGTGGGATTATCTATCAGCTACGCGTTACAGGTACGTCTGTTTGAAATGTTTCAGCTTTATAAAGAAATAGTATAATTGCGAAAGTTTGTGAGTGTGTGTGTTTATTTATTATTTCTTCACGCTCAAACGGTTGAACCGATTTTGGTAAAATTTTGTATACAGGAAACTGACGTCCAGGAATAACACAGGCTACTTTACATCGACTTTTCCTGATATAAGCAAAAAACCATATTTACTTACTCGAGAACTCAACTCCTAGCCAAAACGACATTATCGCTATGTACCTTTTACCGGCCTTTACGGGCACGATCGACAGCCAATAAGCATTCCTTTCGAAAAAAAAAGAGTTATGATCGACAATATCTTCTATAAACAGTTTCGTTCTGTATTTAATTTGTTAAATACTGCCAAACTATTCATGTTAACGTAATTTTTAATTTTTATGACATCTCTCTTGTTTTGTAGATGTTGGGTATTGCCCCATTTGTGGGTTTTCTTTTATATATTACTAGTGCGAAATTAACGCGGACGAAGTCCCGGGCAAATCTAGTATAATATAATAAAAATAAAAATTTGTTTATTACTGTAACTTAAACCTAAAAACAAACAGATACGGCTAGGGACTTCCTTTTAAGAAATATAAATTTCATTTTATTATATTATTAATTTTTTTTCAATACAGATCACACAAACCCTGAACTGGCTGGTGAGGATGACGTCAGAGGTAGAAACGAATATCGTAGCTGTGGAGAGAATCAAAGAGTACGCGGAAACTAAGCAGGTGAGTTCATGAAAATATTATTTTCTCTTGTGAGTTGTAATTCATCAGAGTCTGATCAAATGGGACCCCATAGGACTCGAGTGTCTTCTAATCAGCTACTAAATTAAATCAATATCAACAGTTATTATCTTATTCTGTGTTTCTGTACAAGTCAAGATGGTAATGTACATATAATATTTTGTAATATAATCAGAAAAGAAGACACAAAATATATATTTGCAACATAATAACGTATAATATTGTCTTATACAGTCATTGTTAGTGGACACAAAGTATTAATTTGATATCACCAACTTTTAAATACGAGTCTGCTTCTTCTTCGTCATTTTAATGTACAAATCTTATACAAGAGAAAATATCGTTATTTTAATATAATATATATGTTATCTTTCCAGGAGGCGCCATGGACGGTCCCAGCAGGCCCGGGCTCCACGTGGCCAGAGACCGGAGCCCTACAACTAGAGAGGCTGTCCTTAGGGTACCGCGCCGAGGAGCCCGCTTTAAAGGACCTCACATGTGTAGTGGCGCCCGGGGACAAGCTGGGCATAGTGGGACGGACAGGCGCCGGCAAGTCCACGCTCACACTGGGACTGTTTAGGTATCATCAAGAAAAAACAACGAAACTATCCTCAAATAATCAAATAATATAACGAACATGACTTCTATACGTATAGTTTTTGTACGAAATGTATATATTTTTTTATGTTATACATTTTCAATCTAACTTTTGTAAATGTGTCCGTATTAATTAGTAATAATATGGTGGCCAACGTATTTAATAATTTCAATATACCACTCTGTAGTAATGCTTGCTTGCATTAGTCAAAAATATCTTAATTATTTCGAATAGATGAAAAAAAGTCTTCGAATTACGTCAATCATACAATTACAATTCAATTCTATACACTGGGACTGTTCAGGACACACGCGCGGAACGATTACACGTACAGTGGGACGTGTGGATCGAGCCTAAATATACATAAACTGTAATGCTATGAATATCTTTATAGTAAAAGAAATCTGCTGTTATTTCTATTATGCAGAAGTTAAACGATTATGTACCAAAACATAATTTAATTTTATCATTGAATATGTTTCAAAATCTTTGTCTGGTGCTCTTTGGCCTTGTCGAATTGCTACTTTAATCTTCTTAAACTATGGTATTTATATATACAGCTACAATATTATTGTATAAGTTTTGTCCTATTGCCCACAAAAAAAAACAATTAAAAAGTATAAGAATATAAATGTTTTAACGATACGTCTACTTACAGGATCGTGGAGGCCATGAGCGGTAAGATTATGATAGACGGGATAGACATATCGACGATCGGGCTTCACCAGCTGCGGTCCAGGATCACCATCATCCCTCAGGACCCGGTGCTGTTCGCGGGCACGCTGAGGATGAACCTGGACCCCTTCGAGGTGTACTCGGACGAGGACATCTGGCGCTCACTGGAACACGCGCATCTGAAAACGTTCGTACAAGGTGAGGACACTACGCAACACATTTATATTGATTATTGTGTTACCACGAGTCTGCATAGGAGATATATCTATAAGGAGCATAGGATGCTATCAGTCTAAGTTTATGAATTAACTGAAAATTCTCCATGTACACTTTGATCAAGAATCAGAAATATCTGATACACTTTGATCAAGAATCAAGAATTGAATCAAGAAATATTTGTTACGTTTTTTTAATAAATAAATTTCGGTTATACCTTAGCCTCAGAAACACGTGGTGGGTATGCTATTATTAAATAGTCGCTCATATATTACGTTTGTATTTTAACATAGCGCCATCTATTGAATACTTAACTCAGTCAACAGATAATTGTAATAATGACAAATAATTTGCAATAAAATAATATTGTGACTATAAATTGAGATGTAAGCTATCCTATCTTTTAAGTTGGATCAAAATTGCACACGGAATGCAAATCAAATTTAAAATCGGTTGAGTAGTTTAGGAGACCATCACGGACAAACACGTGACCCGAAATTTTTATATATATAAAGATAAGTGACAATAGTACAAATAAAAGCCGTTGTAACACATAATACGTGTCCAATCATCAAGGTCTCCAAGCCGGTCTTCTCCACGAGATCTCTGAAGGCGGTGAGAACCTATCAGTGGGTCAACGACAACTGGTCTGCCTGGCGCGGGCGCTGCTGAGGAAGACGCCGCTATTAGTACTGGACGAAGCCACCGCCGCCGTGGACCTCGAGACAGACGAACTCATACAAGTGAGGATAATTATATCTGAGACTTTAACTAGTCAAAAAAACTAATGTTTTCTAATATACTGCGACCGCGATTGTTGTACAGTACCGAAACGTATTTAGTTTTTAAAACGTAGAAATCTAAATGTATTAGTTTTATTCAAGTTTGAATATTTTTGCATGCATATTGTTCTACCAGTTGCACATTAATGTGCATTATAGTTTACTGTCCATTTGATATCATACAGTTCCAGCAATCATAAATTACTATTATACTAGTCATCATATTAATCAGTTTAAGTCAGTGGTGACCTAGTGGTTTAAAGGCCCGCCTCCCATGCATGAGGACGCGAGTTCGATCCTGACAAATACCAATGTGATTTTACCGAGTTATATGTACTTTCTAAGAGTATATAGACATCACCGATTAATGCATTCCCAAAGAGGGTTGATGTCAGTCGAGCGGCCGGTCGTAAAAACAATTAGACAAAACTATTCGCAACATGTAAGCATACCCTGGTTAAAGCTGGGAGATTGCTAGGTAGAAGAAGACTATTATATTAATCGATTATTCAAATCCTTTACAGAAAACCATAAGATCCGAGTTCGCGTCGTGCACAGTACTAACGATCGCCCACCGTCTGAACACTATAATGGACTCGACGCGCGTCATGGTGCTGGACCGCGGCCAGCTCGTGGAGTACGCTCCTCCTCAACAACTACTGCAGGACAAGAACTCCATCTTTTACGGCATGGCCAAGGACGCCGGGCTCGTTAACTAAAGCATCATAGAGTGCAGCACCTGTAATGCACAACACGTTGTGCCTCATCGTTACTGTCGTCACAACTCGTAACACTATTTAATGCACGTATATTTACATGGATATTATTTTTAAGTACATAGATCTAACTGTGAGTGTGGACATGTGTAAGAATCCTTGTGTTCACACTGAATAACTATATTGAGTGATTCGGTTCGCGGTATTTAAAATTAATTTTGTTATATTTTTTACAATGGTATTTCTCGTATTGCATTGAATGTCTCTTTAGTTACCATAATGCCGCCCATACGTATTTAATATAAAATATTATGTAATTTTGAAGTCATGAAAACTAAAAGGTTGCCTTAACTATTTATATTTTTAATTAGTGAACTCAAATGTATGCTGAGATTATTAAATAAGAAATTAAGATCAGTTTAAAATTATTATATATATCACAAGCGTGTTAACTCACTGAAACGTTACAATCTACTTAATGTTTAGTTATAATAGTTCATTGTACTATGTACAGTCACATCTTGTATCTGAGATTTTGTTACTTAATTTACATGGGTTATGTTTTACTCGAATTGAATACTTAAAATATCGAATATTGATAAACTCGTACTTAGTTCGTTAACAGATGTTTGTTGGATGCAAGTGAATATAACTTAAGTTTATAATTTCTAAGTATATTGTAATTTTTCATACAAATTCTTAGAGTACGTTCTTATCTTGCCTATGTGTCTTAGTGGGATAAAAAAATATCGTTTTAATTACTTGCATTTGTATATATGACATCTTTGATACAATATTTTTTTAAGTTTAAATAAAGACATTTCATTATTTTATATAGTGACATCAGGTGCAATCATATAATTCATTGGTTTATAAGAAACCCCCTTTATTTGAGTAAAGGTGTGGGCACATTGTTACTATCAGATTCAGTGTTTAATTTATATTAATATATAGTGATACATTTGAACAGGAAGGATTATTTACTTAACATCATATAGACTGGTTCATATTTACAAGATATTTTTATTGTATCCTATGGAGTGGTGTCGGTTAATTTTTCCCAAACTTTTAACAATAAGTGTTTCAAAATGAAAGCCTTAATGTGTTAAACATTCACACGTGTTGATTTTTTTTTACAAAATGATTAATATACTTATGATAGTTTTATTTTGTTGATTTTTACTAATTAGGTTATTGGAAGAATTTTTACACAGAACTGGATAGACATCTACAAATAAAGCTTTAAATTGGAAAATTAATGTACTTAACTTACAATAATCTAATTATGGGAATTACTTAAAAATTGCCCTTATATATATTATCAATACTTAAATTGTACCATGTAAACAAAAGTGCATTTGTATTGTAGGGTCATTTTATTGATTTCCTTAAAACAAATTCGACTAAGTGCCAACAGTGAACTGTGCTTATTCCATAGCAATTGATGGTATTGTTCTCACTTAATAAAAACAAATTATGACATAATAAAAATAATATTTTCCTAATTTTATTATAATTTTCTACAATAATATAAAAATTGTGAGAAATAAAACAGTCATTACAAATGGTATTGAGTTTGTTATGTAACATTTATTTTTATTTATTGTATCATTAAATATGTATATATTTAACATTTAGGTATTGTCACGTTCATTTAACATGTGGCCTTGTACACTGTTTTTGATAAACATAGTAAAGACCTTTTATGGATATTTTTATCACAGTAACAAAAGCAGTGTATGAAATGTGTTCTTTATTAGGGTATCTACAGTTTTCATTGTAACTATAAGTAACTAACAAACAAGCCCTGCAAGTAATGTCTTGTAAGTTGAATAATTGTTATGAGCAATAGTGATACAGGAATAAAAATATTTGTATTATAAATTGGAATTTTATTATTTGGTTTTTGAAGTGAAACTTTTGATGTGACTTCCAACAAGGTTGCGTTAAACGTTCAACTCTCCTGGGGAGGGGAAATGGAAAGAGACGGAGCGATAATAATTAATGAGTGGGTTAATTGTAAGCAATGCTTATAAAGTTTGACTTAAAAAATAATATGAGTTCACTAAAAATCGATTTTTACCCATTCCTATTTTCATTTCCTCATAACGAACTCTTCCGCACAAGGATTCCAAGCACAATTTTATTTTTCAAAGATTAATTAATTTTATCTACATATTAATTTAATTATACCATTCATATGGGTAATGATATCTGATTTTAAATCATTTATACACGTAAACAAGTGGCTTTTAAAAACTTCTTATATTTTATTGTTTAAAGTTCTTTAACATACATAAAACAAATGAATCAAGACATTTTACACTATTGTATTTAAAGCTTTACCAAATTATATTTGTAGAATTTTATTAAAATCCGGTTTTCTACAAATTATCAAAGTACATACTAAATGTTTTCGACTGTCTTTTGCTATGTTGGGTCCTTTAACTGGAGGTGGCTTCCAAAATATAACGCACGTCTCAGCTCTACAGGGGTTGGGACACAATATTTATTCTATTAACTGAAGCTTGAGGGTGAAAACACCCCCATTTATCGTCTCTCTAATATACACCTTTGCTGTTTTGGTTCGAATTTGAAATAAGAAGTATTTTTGTTATTCTATTTTCTAATTCTTTATACCTATCACAGTTTAAAAGGTACCTATTTATTATTTATATTGTCAAATTTTGTTAATATTTGGCGTAGGAGGAATAATATACTAAAATCGTTTTTAGTTTTACAAAATATCTCGACATGGATTTCGGGACTAACAGAACATGTTTTTTTTTATAATATGTATTTTCTATTTTTTTAGGAATATTACCGTAGTTTGTTAAACTTCAAAATTCAAATAAGAGTTTTAATTAAATGTCAATTTTAAAATCAGAAATAAGATAGTGGAGAGACAGTCCTGTCCCAATAGCTACTACTGTCTACTTGCTTTACTGTACCACTGATGGAGGTTACCAAAAATGAATTGCCAGTGGAAAAATTATATATTTAAAAATTCATAGTATCAACTCCAGAAACAAAAGAATAGAGTGAATTGTAATTTATTTTAATAAAATAGAAAATTAATATTTAACAATGAAATATTTCTCAAATTCTTTGTATGGTAGATAAACTATTTTATAATTATCTCATTAATGTTATGTGAATAATTTTAATAATAATCATTAAAGAATTACCTATTGAGGTATATGTAATATAAGAGTCCTAGAACTTAGAATTAATGGAATATTGAAGTTTAGTTTTTGTATGACATAATACATATTACAAATGTAAGTTCCTGACGCCTACTGTCAAAGAACATTTAAATTATTTGTAGTTGAGCACTTTCTGTAAAGTTTAATTTATGAAAAAGAATTAAATATTTCTACAGCTACATATAAAATTTTAAGACCACTTCATGCTCAATCATATTTGATACAGAAATGAAGACTATTTAATTAATAAGTTCATATTTAACGAATAAAATGGACATCATATTTAATATTTGTAATATAGAAGACATTGAAAAGGTATGTATTTAACATCTAATGTCTTTCTTATAGTGCACATAGAGAAGTTCTATTTAACTTGCTTACTTTTAGGTTACTGGAGATATTTTCAGTTGCTTATTGGATGAGAATCATCCTAGAACAACAAATATAACTACATCAATTGGAGAAAATGATTTTAATAGAGCTAAGGAAGCCGTAAAAAATATTTTGAAAGAAACAAATTGCGACACTGAAAGAGTGAACAAGATTTTAAGCGAAAAAGGTTTTAATAAAGAATTGATTAATGCCTTTTGTTCATACATTGAACAAAGAAAGAACTCTTTTCTTGCATTATTATTGTTACAACATAACAGTTTATTTGGTGAAACTGTAGTCACATTCGATTGGCTTGTTAAATTAGTGTGTGGGATCAGTGAACTTAAAAAGATCAAGTATCCATTGCTACAGTTAGCAATGACTACAACCAATGATAAACAAGTGCATACTCATCGGTCATATGATATAAGCAAAGAAATGTTGATAAAATTAATTGATGTGTTGGAAAACATTGAATGATACAAAAGACCTGACTGAATTTCCCATGGACATAGTACAAAATTAGAGCAAGGACAAAAATGATTGTTTCGTTCAGTACTAGCTCCATACATTAGATAGACATCACAAAGAAAACTTGATTATGAGCAACATTTGCACTACCAAAATAAATGTATTCAAGTTGTATTGGATGTATGTTAAAATATAAAGTTAATAATCAAAAGGAACACAATTTATTTATAGCATACATTATTACAGTATATGTATTTACTAGTATGTACTGGTCTTTAAATTGTATCACATCTCAGCCATATAATTAACAACTAGATATTATATCTTCTTACAATTTTGGATAATCTTTATAGCTTTGTGATTCAATATTTTTTTGCTAGATGCACAAAAGAATCTAGTGAAGGAGGTATATAGGGCATAAATATATTATGTAAGTTTGTTGTTAGCAAAATAATATATTGACCTAATGTATCTTATTAAAAAGGAAATAAAATGTGCCTCCTTTGGCAAATAAGTAGTTATTAAAAAATCCCTAAAATTATGTATAGTAAGTTAACAATTTACATGTATGTCACATTTTCATCTGACAAATTTCCAAGTAACGGTAAACTTTACAAATAGGTACTACAAGTGGAATAAGCTTACTCATGGTAGCTCCATTGTTTTGTTAAAGGCTCAACACTTCCAGTTAATAAGATCTTAGCATCCTTTATTGTTTAATATTATGGTTAACCTACATGTATAAATTTGCATTTTAAAATATTATTCAGTTATTGTGAGAGACAATATAGCTCATAAATCACAATAACGTACTTACTGGCACTGGTTCTATGGAGTGTTGGTCAAACAAAAGAAAAACGACTTCAGTTTAAAATTTATTGATTAGAGACATTCACACATCAACATCGATTTCGTAAAATTGAATATAAATAATGCGCAAGATGTTTAATTACATAGATATACTAAATTATATAATAATTACATTAGAAAATAAAGAGATATGAGCGTCGTACAAATTAAATGAGCAATACATGAATGTTTACAACTGCTGAAAAATACTATTTTAATTTTGTATTATTCGGATGAAATGAACTGACATTACCTTCGATCGAATCGAACCTTTTCGATATTTTGTGCAGACTTTCCTTTTTATTTTTAAACTCATAACATTAAAGTAACTAAATATCATTTTGAGCGAATTTTAATTCTAAAACCACACATTTTAATATTGTATATAAGACTAAAATGAAGTCTAAATTTGACGGTGACAACTCTTTCTGCACACTTCCGTCGGCAGGTATTTCATAGAACCTCTTACACTAATCAATTACACCTCGTTTCTTTACATTAATAGTTCTAGTAGTAAACGTTGGAATATATTTGACACTTGAAGCACTTGATATGGAATGTCTCACTCATATTTACTGCTAATATACTCGGGAGATAGTTTTCCACTCATGCAGATGTATCACCTCAAAAATCGTTAAAAAATTGTATAAAATTACAAAAACGGTTATGAAATAATTAATATCAGACAATTATACAAAGTGACATTCGTTATATTTTGTATAGTCCCATATCAAACTCTACAAAGGTATATTCATCTAATCGTAGGTAATTGGAAACATATACTAGGCAGCGACACCTCACAAGTCACGCCGCACCACTAACTTGTTACAATACTACAAATCTAAATAGTATATATTCAATTGATTGTAGGTTTGTATATGCATAAAAATTGTATAGATTAATCAAAAAAACTTGGCCACTTCGTTCAGGTCCAACAATTTCTAATGAAGCCCTCACAGTTCCGAACGTAACGAACGTAACGAACTACTCCAACGTGTCACATCTCACTCGGCGTGGGAACGACGTTAATACATACTTGAATAAATTTATATTTGTCTTGCAATACGAGAGAGCTCAAACCAAACTAAATTTTATACAACTTATCAAATAAAGACGCAGAATAATAACATAAGTGCATAAAATATACTTAAAGAATTAAATGAAATTAAATTCATTTTTTCTCACTTATAACAATATACAAATGCAATTTTAAACTTCAATCAGACAACAGAATTTAGGCATATAAGATTTATGGAAAAAAAACGTAATTATTCATATATACATAATAGTCTCACGATATCATTATAAAATAATAATAAAAAAAAAACTATAATAAAATTTCGAGAGATGTATTAAGGTTCGGGAGTTGAAAATGTTCGAAGCTTTTACGTATTCAAAAAAAGCTCCAACACGAATCGCCTACACGTGTTCAGCACATGGCTAATAATATGATACAACAATGGTACAAACACGTATTTTTAGTTTTCGGTATCATATGATCATGTCGCCACATCTCACAACGACTCCGCTCACAGACGTGCTCATGACATGTATATAAAGAATTCTATCATCGGGGCAATTCATTAAAATCAATTATTCATATCAAAGAGCCAATCAATTAAATAAGTTGGGTACAATTTTCCTAGGACACATATAGATATATAAATGATAAACTGAAGGAGTCGTGATCGCACCAGCGACCCGAGCGACCGAGTCGGCCGTCGTAACTAACACCCCTGTAATAATGGCACCAATTCATCGCACCGTATACTGCCTACATAACTTTGTTATTTTGTATATAATTATAAAACATCACCCCTAGCGAATTTAAAGTATATAAAAACCTTAATTTTACAAAAAGCAAAGCACGCTAAACTTAAACTATGCTCATCCTATAAATGAAAGGTCACGTTCGAACCGAAATCCACATTAATCTGACGTCAGAGATAATAAACCGAACTTAGTTCGATATCAAGCACTGTAGTGATCGGAAATAAATTAATGGCGCGCAGTGGGCGGACGCGAGCTAGTTGGCCACGGCCACGTCGGTGGAGGTCTCCTGGAACAAACAGACAGACATGTTAAAAAACACTCGTTAAACTCCGTACATATTACATCCATGTAACTCTCATACCATTTCAGTGTTAATCTCCGGTACCGTCGGCATCTCGGGAATAAGTTCAGCGATCTTGTCTGACGCTACAATCGGATCCTGAAAAACACACAACAAATAACTAAAAATGCTATCGACATTTTTTTATTCAAAAACATTTAAATCTACAAGTTTTAATACACATACATACATGTAATGCAATAAAATAAACTCAAATGTGCAAGATACGTTAATTAACATATATACAGTGATTTTTTTACCATTACGAGTTAAAAACATGTGACATTTTTTTAAACAGACAACGATACGATAATATTAACAAAAATAATACAAATGAGCATAAAACAAAGCGTGTAAGCATGCAAGCCGGCTAGAGGCGGGGACACAGCGTGAGGGTGCAAGGTTAGAATCGAGACTTCGACATGACATGAATCTTTAAACATTCGATGGTACATATAATTAGCGTCGTTCTTCAGCGGCCATGCGTTCACTAATTACTCTACTCCTCTACTACTACCCTCTGTATTCACCTGCGTTTTCTCTGCGTGTTGATCTATCTCACTGTCTCCGTTCATCATTACTTCCTCGTGTGTTCCGTTACACTCTACCGTCTTTATTTCCGTTTTATCTTTCGTAATCTCCTCGTCTTGTTCGTCCTTGGTGTCGTTGTGTTGTGAGTCTACATTGTTATCGGTTTCTATTTCGGGACTCGGTATTTCAGATTCGGGACTCTCGTAACTGGCTGGTGCATTTTCTGTCTTTTCCTCGCTGTTTTGCTCGTCTGCTTCGTTGTTTTCGACCTCGTTCACTTCCCGTTGACTTTCCACTTCGTCGACAACTATTTCGGGTGACTTTACTTCCAAGGTGGCTGCCGGCGGGTCGGCTTGAGCCTCATTAGATTCGGATACTTCTTTCACAGTATCGTGGATCTCTTTAGTGTCCACTACTACTTCCTGTGGTTCACTTTCCATACTTTCCTCCTTGACCTGTTCTACGTCTGTTGTATCAGCCGTATTCCCGACTGGCTCACTATTAATTTCTTCAACCTTAGGTTCCGTATCCTGTGTGTCGGGTGCTTCCGTATCTGTTTCATGTTCAGCTGTCGGTGTTTCTATGGGTGCTGTGTTTGCAGTTATTTCAGCATTATTAGCGAGCGAAGCGTCTGTCAGTTCCGGTGCCATGGTGGTAGCGGCAAAGGAGACCACTGACGAGGGAGGAGGATTTGCGGGGAGTGGTGGAGGCGTAGGCTCAATTAAAGGCATTTGTTCAACACAAACCTCTTTTTTAACGGTAATTTCAGTGGCTGGGACAATTTCGGGCTTTTCGACAGGTTTTTCCTCGGGTTTGCTGGTATCACATTCCGCGGGTTCCGTGGAGTCCGCCTTGGGTTCCTCCAGTGACAGACCATTAACTGGCAGCTGTTCGGGTTCAACGTCAACTTTGGGTGACTGTGTGTTCTCAACTAGTTTGTTGTCTACAACAGGCTCGTCTGCAACCAGAGCCTCCTCTTTGGGCGTCTCCGGCGTGCTGCTTCCATTCGTCATGGGTTCAGTGACCGGCGTGTCTGGAGTCTTCTCTTCTTTAGCTTCTGTTTCAGATTTAACTTCTTCCGCAATATCATTCTTCTCGCTGTCTGGTGTCGTTTCTGCAGCCTGGAAAATTAATTCAAATTAATAAAATGACTTTTAGGTTCAAATAAAAGTAACAAAAAACTCTTTGTTGAGGTGGAATGTTGACTACGCAGAAATAAATGAAGAATACCTTAAAATCTGCCATGGATAATGTTAACTGAAGTTTGATCTCATCAAGATCGCATTAATAAGTGAAGTTGTACAGAGACGCGTCTTATACTTTATACCCAAGTTTTGTAACAAAATATCGATCCTATTCTTAGTAAGTGGTCGCCCTTCAACAGTCCTGATCAAAACATATTGTATTACAGATCGATATGCTAGGGCTAACACGGGCTTATTAAATACAAACATGTATTTATTAAATTATGCATTTTGTAAATAAAATTGGTTAGTCGTGAAAAAGAAAAACGTGTAATTTAAAAGTTACATATTTAAGACTCGATTGCTTTTACAAATATATAATCTGGTAAATACGTATGTATTTCTATTCCAATTCTTGATTTTATTAACGGTCGTAACTTTGTAACGATGCTATAATAAAGTTTAGTTTTATATCAAAACAAGTCTAATTGTATATAAAGTTTATAATATTATAATCTTCTCTGTATTTAATACACAAACTACTGTTATACATATACCGACAGCTGCTCGATGACAGCAAGCCGTGAGCGGTCACGTCCCACATTTCAAACTACCGACACACAATACTCTCTACAATATAATATATAATACAGAATTAATTTTAAACGAATATAAAACTTTCAATCGAATCATAATTAGAATAATAATAAAGACGGTTTAATGATAATATAATATGTGTATGTAGTTTTGATATTATCTTTCTATAGTGTTATATATACACATATAGTTGTTACTGTAAAATCATACTGCTTTGTATTCCATATAGATATAGGAGCGTTTATAACAATGGATTACGGTGATGTGTCGTTGTTTCCTGCCGCAGGAACCGGTCCGCTAGCCGAGCTAGACTGTCATATATCAAATATGATCGATCATTGACCAGCTCCTAACAAATTGTATCCATGTACTTACAAGACTACCGAGACAGATCTAGTGTGAAATTTAAATCAGTTATACAGGAAGACTTGCAATTTGATAAACAGCATTGCCTTTTAGTGACAAGGAATATCGCACAAAACAATAATAATACATTTTATGTCATATATTTAAATCGTTTTATATAATAGAACAAAGGTCTATATTTTTGAGCGACACTCACGTCATTATAACAATATTTATACGCATATAAACTTAAGTACACAATACGCATTCAAAGATGTTTATTTTTATAAAAAAAATTAATCTTAAAAAAACCTGATTATTATAAACAAATATTTATTTTCAAATATATGCCACGCATATTGTGTATATTATTACACACTTGACATACAAAGAATAAAGTTTTAAAAGCCTTGATAGGGGCAGATATATGTGATATTTCTTTAAAAGCAATAAATGTGTTCGTATAAACAATTATAGAATACATTTCTAATAAAGTCCCCTTATTACATGTTTAGGATATCCTGCGAGTGTTACGAAACGTGTTTTCTTACCGGAAGATCTACTCGACGCTGGTGAATACAAATTAATTTACGTTAAATCAACATTTGCTACAACATTTTCATATACATATGAACCAAATCAAAATATAACTGATTAAGTTACACTCTATAGTTTCCATCGATACAATAGAATATATTATATATAATTTGGATGGCATTCAACAATAAATGTCCATAATCATTGTCCCAACATAACACACAGGAAGCCAGCTACCTGGCATTGTTTAACAGATACGTAAACAATGTGCCTTTTTTTTCGTATGATCCGTACGTTTCACTTCGTTATTTGTTAACCGCTGGCGGTCATTGGCACGCCAAAGCTGAGCTCAAACTACCCAACTATGGAATATATTATGACAATCGATAATAATTAGTCATCACACAGATATTATTTGATTTATACGTATGTATATTGCTAAATAATATAACTAGTACTATTTGTTGTTCTGTATTTTGTATATCTATATTAAATGTACCAACAAAAATATAGGGGATAAGATTTAAGTTTAAGAAATATAGATTAACACCTACGATTTTGTCAGTCTTCAAAGCATAGCAACGAAAATTAATTACTATTTATCAACAAATCTCCTCCTCATTCCTGTATATTTAGGAGAAAGGACTAATTTTATATCATAATACCTCAATTACAATATGAGATCCGTACATATTCTCCACTTCAGAAGTATAAAAAATTTCCACTGGCGAGCGTAGTTAAATAACCACAAAAGACTGTAATATACTTTATATTGTGATAAGTTATCGACAGAAAAGCAAATATTACTGCTACTGCGTTTACTGTGTGACAATAAGAGACTTGTAGATCGAGCTATTAAAGGTATCAAGGCAAATATTAATCACCTTTCAGTACAAATAAGATATATTACATATGATAAAATTATTAATATGAATTTTTTGATATAACAATCATCGAATATCAAATAAAAAGTTTAACGTTGGTCGTACCATTGAAACCGTATGCTCGGTGCTTACACCGAGTTTGCATCCTCATATTACATACCGTTAACAGTATTACATTCCAAAAACTTCGCATGTTATAATATTAACGTATATACTATAATGAAAAACTAAAAACTATATGTGTGAACGACAACTAGTGTTAAGCGTATTGATGAAAAATCCCTACTAATATTATAAATGTGACAGTAACTCTGTCTGCCTGTGTGTGTGTTACGCTTTCACGCCTAAACTACTGAACTGATTTTAATGAAATTTGGTACAGAGATAGAGTTGACCTTGAGAAAGAACATAGGATAGTTTTATGCCAGACTTTTGAAAAGTTCTCTTGGAAACGAAATATAACCGAAATCCACGCGGTCGAAGCTGCGGGCGGAAAGCTAGTTAGTTATAAATATTATGTATACTTTTAATAAGAAAAAATAATTATAATATCTCCAACGTATGCTCTCTGACCTTCAAAGCATTACTAATACCAATGATACATGGATATGAAGCATTAGTGTCTCGCCTAACTGTACGGCGTGATTCACTAAGTGACTCCTCAATACAATACATTCTAATCCTCATACATCACATAGTATAATTCATACTAACTATTACATTAGTATCACATGTAATAAGAGCGCGTACCGTTGACGCTTCGTCGACTTCGCTGGACTCTATTTATCTTACAATATTAGGTCACATGTGCTTGTATTGTCTCAAACTATAATAAGTAATAACATATGCGTGTTAAAATACTCACTATATACATATATATGTAAGACTATAATCTAAAGCGTCGTATGACAGACGGACGGTTATAATTTGCATGGGCAATAAATAACAGCGGAGATAGTATCGTATAGCTCTCAAGTTTATAGTTCGCTATCAGAAGAGGTCGTTGACCCCGAGGTCCACGTTACGACCATCTATAATATACATTAACCAAACCTCTATCTAACTAGTTACCTTCACAAATTATTATTTATCGAATACAATTTGATATTTTTACTATAAAATAAGAAAAAAAATCTTATTTAAATATTTTCCCAATATATATGTGAAGTTTATATTTGTAATGTTGGAACCGTGCTATGAAACGTAACGCTTATAAAATAGTACATTTGTAAAACTCTTACAATCTCATTCGAAAGTAGTTTCATTTCAATACATCAAGAACGGTCCCGTAATAAAATTTCACAGTCCAATGACTGGCAGAAGCTGTGACTTGTGCGACTCAGTGAAAATACGTTATATTCACTCTCATTTGGTGTATATGAAGCATGCATATTACATGCACGTTACACAAACAGTACATGAAGATAAGTTTGATTCAATGCATTATTATATGAGACGGTTACCCAACGAGCTCTGTCCGTTCACATAAATAACTCCGTACACAATATGAGCGGTTCACACAACAATGGCGTTATGGAATTGAAAAAGGAAACGGAATCCTTCCTTGTTATTTCAAATATCTATTCAATGGACGTATTATGAAAATATGCGAGTCGATACATCGGCTGGTGCGGTTTGATAAACATGCAACACGAACTTGTGGATCTTCGTGTTACTTTGCGGGCGACGAGTCTTAATACAAATAACGCTATCAAATACATAACACCATTGTCATACGCCGTTCTTTAACCGAGCCCGTATAAACAACTTCCATTTATAGATTATGGAGATACATTATTTTTTTTAGTTCGCCGCCTCACCGAATTCGGGTCTCCGACATCACAGCGGCGTAATGAAGGGGAACGTATTTGTTTTTATTGTTTTTATTTGATATGATTTTACGTATTAAAATAGATTATAACGTATATGTAAGGGTAGAGTGTGGTCGGTGTACTACAGAGCGGTTTGCCCACTTCAGGCCTCGGAAACCTGCCCCGGACAACTAATATTATTCCGTACACAAAACAAGTTTTGATGCAAAGCAAGGAGCCCATTCGCCTCCACGATGCCAATTTGACTTTTAGGTTAGAAGTTTAGAACACACCAAGCCCGCGTAAGGTTGTATGAGGAGTATCGAATTATAATTAACAACGGCACGATCGAGGGAAATTTAAAAGTTAAATAAGGACGATTTTATTTAACACGCTATCATCATGCAATATGTTAATGTGCGCCAGGCGATAATTTAGCTTTTGTTTAAATATATCTACGCATACATATATGTGTACATAAATTTTAAGTGTGTTAGTGTTCTCAAGCAAAATCCCCTCGCGAAGTTAACGACCGGCATACACGTGCTGTACATTAAATATAAACAGGCCGATATTAAAGTGCTATCAATAACTAAATAAATTGGTTATTTTTATAATAATAATTTGATAATTCTCAAGATCTATCTTAGGGATTATTCAAGTTAATATCCTTATTAATATTTGTTAAGTTTCGTAACTTAAGGCCGAACATAAAACTCAAGAGATCCAGGAAGCGGTGGGCCGGCGACCACTGAAGCAATATGGCGAAAGTTGTAATGCTTCGAATACCAATGACCGCTTGCATGTTTTATTCACAGTATCGAAACTTGGCTTCCACACTAACAAAACCGTGTCTCAAACATAATTCGCCAATTTCGTATAATAAATACAGGTGCGATGTAAAATTTAAGTTCAGACACCTGACGCGATACAAATTACGCTTCAACACGAATTCCTATACCTTAAATGGACCATACGAATTGTGTCTGAGTAGTGAAATCATTATGCCATACAGTGACCGAAGTATTCAAACATCAATTAGGCATTCATATAACATTTATTTATTACACTTTAGGATGTGGCATATTGAATTACAATGAATGCAACTCGCTTACAATGTCTAGAAATCGTTCGTCCTAACACAACGAGGTTAAATCTACAACGGGCATATCGCCTAGCTTCCTCTTTTATATATTTTTTCAGTACCCTCGCAGTGAGCGCCGAGCTAGTGTATTTCACAACCGAACATCATAAAGCCGTCGTATAACCGATTACGGTCGATTTAACACTTGGTTTCACACAACCTCGTTAGTTTCTCTTGTTGAGGTTAATGTGTAACAATTAACAAATGTTAAAGATTCAATTGAAATATTCCACCAATTATAACTGAATACACGAAAGTGGGTTACATCGCTATATTGAGTGGTACATCTTGTGTGACTGCGTCTCTGTACCAACTTATTGATCGTATTATCATGACGAGACGTTTTGAAGCTAATGCGTTAAAAATGACCCTTTCACCGCTTTATAAGTTTTTGTGGGCCCTTTGTTGATATCTAGAGGGGAAAGCTGTTTGTAGTACGTCGTTTTTTTGCTTAACAATCTTTTCCCTTCGACTTCGTCTGTATCAGTTTATAACTCACCTCCTCGGGTACTTTTTCTGGTTCGCCGTTAGTTTTGTTCTCATCATCTTTTTGTTTCTTTTCTTGTTTCGGTTTGTCTTTCCTACTGAAACTGATGGACCTTAGCGACCATTTCTTCTTGACCTAAAAAATATAACAAATTTGTTAACAAACATCCAATAAAATTGTAGTTATATAAGAAAAACTTTGATAGTAATAATGAAATATTGAGTAAATATTATATTATTTCATAGATTACGTGCATCACGCGATCTCAAATAGATTTGTTAAAAAAACTTCATCCACAAGTAACATTACGCGAACATTGTTACAACTATATAATACTATATCCGTTATAAACGTCAACTTTTCCAAACTATTCATTTGACTCGCTCAAAGCCGCTGATTAAAGTGTAAAGAATGTGACTATTATTATTACAATCGTCATAAAGTCATCGAAAGACGAATTAAACAATTACGTTTATTGGTTGCGGCTATAAACACTGTGGGACATTTAAAGAGCTGGCATTATATGCGACTTGTACAATTAATTATTTTACGTACTACATCTTGAAATTATACTTAAATCACTAATGTAAATTGGAATGTGGTTTTTTAAAGTGTGATTCATCAAAAAAAATAAGTTGAGGATACATTTTCGTTATAAGTAGAATTTTTCTAAATATTAGCTTTTAACGTATAAAAATATACATGATTCAAAATACGTATATTTTATTATTATCTTACTTCCCCTGTATCTTGAATACATGATGAGAAGCAAAATATTTTTCGTTTCGTATTTCCTAATGCCAACTACAAGTAGACACAATACATCCAAAGTTTTTCCTGTTTTTTGTTTAATAACCTAATTTAATACTGATAATATGCGAGCTTTATGAATGAAAAACTGTTAACTTGGGGTAAACAAAGAGAATGACTCGTAACCGATTTAAATAACTTGACAAACAATAGATTTTTAAAAAAGAGTATAAAACACGAACCGTTTTCAATTACAGTATAAAAAGTCATAAAAAAAATCTTCTCAATTCGCCGTATAACATGATTATGATAATATTTGAAATCTATTGATTTAAACAAATATGATTACTATATTTACTACTGATAAAAGTGATTTATGTCAGTTTGCTTATCTCATTACTGTCAGATGTTAATATATGACATCTTTATGGAATGAAAGAAAAATATATAGGGATATAAGTCGGAGGAATTAAAATTTTCATACAATATCATTTACAATGTATTATCAACTAATATTATAAATGCGAAAGTAACTCTGTATGTCTGTTACGCTTTCACGTCTAAGTCACTTAACTGATTTTAATGAAATTTGGTAAAGAGATAGAGTTGACCTTGAGAAAGAATATAGGATAGTTTTTATCCCAGACTTTTGAAAGGTTCTCTTGGAGACGCGATATAACCGAACTCCACGCGGGCGAAGCTGCGGGCGGAGAGATAGTTATCATTATGTTCAAACCTTCTCTTTTTTCTTCTTCCCGTCGTCGGGAGAGGGTGTGGTCTCTCCGTTCTCCTTCTGTTCACTCTCTCCGTTCGTCACTGGAGAAGCTTCCTTCTCCTTATCTTCTGCTTGTTCTTTATTCTCTTTCTCAGTAGTAGCATCCTTCTCATTCTCCGGTGTTCCGCTGTCCAGTTGTTTCTCTTTCTCCTATATTAAAACATTCTCATATTCATCGTCATACTCACATTCTCATATTCTCACATTGTTCTCACTCATAAAAATCACATAAAACTTAAGTTAAACTTGTGGTAGGTCTACATATCGTTGTGGGAATATAGTAGAATATGAAAGAGAAAAAAACCGTCTACCGTAACACGTTTTAGTTCGTTAACATTCCTATATAAATAATAAAATCCTTATTATGGATAGTATTGCATTCCACGTGTTATATATAATATCTGTATGCTTACTCCAAGTTTGGATCGTCACACTAAATAAGGAGTTTTAAGAATTTTTCACAATTCATAAATTACAGAAATAATGTAGATAGATTATTGAATGAGAAACGGGATACTATTCGTATGTAGTGTGACGGTGAAAACTTGTGCTAAACGTGTATTCAAGTTTGAGTTTTATTATTACGGTGATGATAGATTCAAACGATAAGTGATGGACCCCTAGGAGATTCTATTTTTGGATTTCTATAACAAATAATTTAAATAGTATTGACGTGGGAACGCTGTGTATGCGGGTCGTCTGTGACGCTGTAAACGCTTAATTGCAATTTTGGACACCCTCATGATTTTATACTAGCAATAATAAAGGCCCATAACTATTATATAAGAATTCTAATTCTATGCGTTTTGCCTTTAATATTAATAGGCTGATCTTGACTATATTTAGTTTGTTTAGATGAAAAAAATTATTGCCATGACACGCAAGATGAATCCTCATTTTGTATATAGTACTAATTCTACTAGTTTAAACGTGTAACCTTCAGTTTTAAGAACATCTATACAATAGTTCTTAGCTATTCCATCACCAAGAAGATAGCAACACAAGAACGGTTCTCTTGTTAAACTAAAAAATCCATTTAGATCCATTATTTGATTTGAAATTTAAATATAATGTTTCTTGTTTAGTATGAAAAATGTATGTACTCGAGCTGGAATTATTTTTTATTCCTATGTACTATGATATATCGCGTCACGGCAGTCACGAAAGCATAAAACATATGTTTATCATCATCGCATGTTATAGTAATTAAGATTTAAATCATTTTGTACCTGTATGTCGTGTATGTGCGCGTCTCCGTTGAGTTGCGTCTTCAGCGCGTCTTCGTCAGCGAGGGGCTCCACGCGGCCCTCCCCGCCCGCGCCGGCCGCCGCCACCTCGCCGGCGCCTTCGCCCTCCTTACCACTGATGTCCACCGAGCGCTTGCTCTGCTTAGCACCCATCGCTGATACTAATAGCCTAGTCCAAAAAAATATTCTACTTTCATTCACGCACTAAACGAGCAGCGACACGCTCGACACTCCGTTATATTTATATGCAAAGTATTTGTGGAAAAATTTAATCATCTCTCCTAGTATTTATAAATAAATTATGATATGTATATCGGGAACAATAAGTCAGTAGTGTGTCCGATTATAGCAGCGTCATTAGGTCAGGGTGTTGGGAACAAACTCGAAATATATTCCAACGTCGGATATAGCACAAGATGCATCGTTCAGGGCGGCCGGCACAGACGAGCGTTCTATAATAGTCACAAGCTACGATAGACTCACCCACGTAAAAAAATACATTTACGACTGCGTTACTAGCTATAAAATATACAAAACTACGTGGGTTTGTGTTTACATACTTCACTCCGGAGTAACAGACTGTATATTTTTAATTTTCTCGTGCTATCTTTGGTGAAATTAATAATAGCGTTGTTTGTAGTTTATTATAAAATAATATATTAACAGTAAAAAATCAGAACATTCTAGAGACAAGTTTGTACTAAAAACGATATTATTAGTCACGTATCCACCTTATCTTTGTACATAAACAACATTTCCAGACAATAACAATAAAACTTAACCGGAGACAGAACAACAGCAAGTTATTTTTATAACAGTTTAAACTTTATTTAACAAATCAATCTCATATTCATATTAATTAATCCTGATCTACCATTTAATATACTTCATATATTTTTTATTACTTTGTCAGCGACTGTTTTCTGTTTAATATTATCGCTCGGTTCTTACTTATAGCGTCGTTCACAATTCTTTCCGCTTCGATACGCGATAAGGGTTTATACAATGGCGTTGCTCATGATACCATTACTTACAAACCATCAAAAGTTAGTTAAAATCGAATCAAACCGAGGTGAACGACCCAAGTCCCCTCTACTAACTTTTTTTTTGGACTGTCATGTCATCCCGGAGCTATGGTAGCCGTAACAATGAGAGACACTTAGACTTTAGAGGCACTTTTGGTTTATTTAACGTTCCAGTACTTGGTGGCGACCTTGACTCGCGCGTTCAAGGTCAACAGCTCGGCAGCTTACTCCCGAGTACGCCCGCGAGGAATGGTGAGCGTAAACTAGCTCCTCCAAAGACAAAACCAAACCCAACTTGGTTACTTGTAGGACAAGAACAAAATAAGAAAAATCTATTCTTTTATTACATATACCTCGAGATATGGAAGCTATGTATGTTTTTAATAAGCCAAGGAGTAGTTTATAATAACAGCTTTCCATAATAATTACAATAAGTGTCATATATCATACAGCTGTTGGCTAAACCACAAGTAATCATATATGGTGTGTAAATAATGACACACACAAACTATGATACACATAAAATGTTTTTTCTTCTCTGAACAAATTCCATTCTGATAAACAGTCATTTACAACTGTGCATGGTGATTCATACTACATTGAATTTATTAATAAAATTATGAATGGCCATTGAGGAAATAATTAGAATATTTTATAATCAAACAATGAAAATCAATGCCCATGCCTTTGAGTTATTGTTTGAGAGCTCTGGCAAATAAAATATATTAGAGGATAATTTTATGTGTGCAATCTTCAGTAATTATATTTTTTTATATTCCTATGCCCACATAATGATATCATTAAAATATTTCAGATCTATTAATCATGAAAAAAAGATCATTTAACATGGAAAATTATTGTAATAAAGAGTTTTTATTTACATCTGTTAATTATTAAGGAATGCTATAAAAAAGATAAGAATAACAATAATAACGAAATACATTTTTATAAACAAAATATCATAGTGATAAATAACAGAATACAAATTTAATTATTCCTTGCAATATGAAGGCTATATACAAATACTTTGTGCAGAGTACAATAGGGTGTGTCTTTTAGGACAAACTTGAAATTTTCAACAATCTATAATCTTTTTGATGTACCTAAAATATCTATGATAATGATTTTTAACGTACTGTAAGTTATATACTGTGGTAAAGTGCAAGAATACACATAGAAGCAAATAAACATCAATAAAACGGGCATATAATTATTAATTTAAAGGCATTTGATATGAGTATAAATCATAAAATGATAATTTCTGTTATTTTCGCACTGAGACCGACCAAGAGAATAAATGAGACAGTTTTGCAACCGAAACCTTTGTTAAGTGATTGTACCGGTTGACTTACAAAGATGATTCATCGTTCGATTCGATTAGTAAATGCACCAAGACTGGGTTTCCCGGAATAATGCATCTTGGTATAAAATTACCAATTACTGATCGTTACTTATACCGGCCATAATATACGCAACATTAGCTCCATAACGAATATTACTTTAGATACATTAAATCCAACGCGTGTTACTGCTTTCTACCTGCTATCACATTTGTACAGTCACAATAATTAAAATTCATATTTTTAATAATTATGATATAATTAATATGGATACTTTCTCAACTTGTCTCAACTTTCTAAATCAAAAGATTTTAAAAAATTTAAATAAACTGCAACACAACCGACTAAAACAGCCGGCTGACTATCTTTCTTCTTAAGCGAAAATAAGTATATATAAAAAAGAATAATGACAAAAACTAATATTTATTTTATTTTTACCTTCAGGCTTTATAATCCGAACAATGGAAACTAAGATTTTACACCTATATATAATTTTTATTCACTTCCAGCACTCACAGCCGAACACAATATGGCGACAAGACAAAATCTCCACCCACCGAGAATAAATTCAAAATTGAGTATCTTTGCGATTGGTCGAAATAAATGAGACGCTTAGGTTTTACCAACCTAAAATATCCAATAGTGCAACTTGACGGCTTTAATAGTTACAAAAACGCGTTCAGAATAAGTTATTAAGGTTTTTATTTCATTTATGTTGGTATAATACACGTAATAAATATTTTGCAACTAATAATATAAATTTATTTATTTAAGTATATTTTGGAATATGTTTTCCGTATCATAAACAAATAAATTTATTAACAAAAAAAAAGTGTAAAATAGTTAATACTATTTTAAGAATGACATTAACAATTTGTTATCTTGCTGTTCACTTCGTATCCCACAAAAACGAAACTGTAAAAAATAAACTTTATTACTTTTATGTCTATTGTTATATAATTATTTAAACATTTTTTCCTTAACATTAAATAATTTTATATTTAAAATATTTTAATAAGATGTTATTTCATATTTATTGTTTATGGTTTTTGGCTGTATGGCTTATTGCTTTTGTCGAACACTATGAAACGAAAAGTCTAGTATAGTCTATGGTTGAAGGCATCGATATGTCGCGTTTCCCGTATTGCCCTTGACTTCATCTTTTTAATTGCTGTTTTTTTAATTACCTATATTATTCGTCGAAAATTGAATTACGCGAGTTCCATTTCATACTTTAAAAGTGTTTTTAAATTGGTTTGTGTGTTTAAACTTGTGGTGAAGTGTTAAATTCACTTAGCGTCACCTGACCGAACTCATTGTCATTTCCCGCCATTGTGGGTTAACTAAAACTATTTTGATTTTCTGTTATTATAACAGTGTTTAGATGTAAAAAAGTTTATTTCTGTGCTCTTTGTGCCTGAGTTATGTCATTGCACGGTAATGATGTTTGTTTGCTAGAAATAGAAGATTATAACTTGTACGAAGAAGAAGCATCGGATCACGCTATTTCCAGGTAGGTGTTACCGGCGTGGTTATAGTTATTGCGCCTTTAAAAGCTTATTTCGATATTTTTCGTCGATATCAACAAAGTTTCTTTCATAATGACAATAATTGTAATGTTTGTGTTGTGCTCATCTGATAGTACGGCCATATGAGGCCGCTCCCGCCCCGTGCCGGTGTATAGTCAGCTGTTGGGCCGCCATGTTTGGACAAATCAAATAGGCGTAGTAGACGCTTCAATTATAACACACTATTAAAATATCAATGATATGTCATAGTATGGCAGCGGCTGAACGTAGTAATATTTTATTAACATTTTTAATGATGTTTATATGGAATTTTTACATGATTTTCGTACATTTTTCTTAAAGGTCACGTATATATTATTAGTATACACATTTGTTCATTCATCATTATGATGAGAGTTTGCTTGTGTTTTCTGGGTATAATTTTTTTTTATTTTAGTTACTCGATATTTTACCTTCATAAATATTATTAAAGCGATTTATTATATTATATAAAATATTGTGAACAAAAATTTATTTGTAATATATGTTCAGTTATTTAGATATCTTTGTACTATAATTTCAGGAGTGAGAAACATTCATCAGGGAGTAAAACCATGGAGGCAGAGAAGAGAATCCGTCGAGAAATAGCCAATAGCAATGAACGTCGGAGAATGCAAAGTATCAACGCTGGTTTTCAAGCTCTGAGGACATTGCTACCACGCCATGAAGGGGAGAAACTTAGTAAGGTATAGTAAACATTTTACAAAACAACAATTTAATTTTTATTTAAGTTGTTTATATTTTATCTAACTCAAATTGTAATTTTTACAGGCTGCCATATTGCAACAAACTGCAGAGTATATATATTCACTTGAACAAGAAAAAACAAGACTACTGTCACAGAACTGTCAGCTAAAAAGGCTACTGAACCAACACGAGGGTGGTGAGATACCTTTGAAGAAGAGAAAAAGTGAGATAATAACTCATGTACCTTCCATCATACCAGACTCGACAGACGATGCGGTAACAAACTCAAGATCACCCGAACCTGTTGCTGTGATAACTGTTTCAAACGTGCCACAGAAGAAAGACATTGACAGCGGGGACTTAAAAATTCAACTGGAAAGAGAGAAGCGACTGCGCAGACTAGTAGAAGAACGGCTTCACACACTAGAGGCTCAAATGTATCCGGAGGCCACTAGAGAGATCCAACATCCTGTGGTACCGGTTGTGCATTTTGAACAAACTGACATCGCTGCGGACTGCAAACAAGAAAAGGATGAAGTAGAATCTAAGCCCGTAGAGCCACCGATAGTCGCCCCGCTATTGGAAGCAGCTATCAAAGCTGAGCCGAGGGTGGAAGTGGAAGTATTGCCCGACGCAGCCCAGGATGCGTCATCTCGTTTATACCTCGCAAGCACGAGTCGTCAGAACTTGGAGACCATTGTGGAGGCCATCCGACACCTTGAAGGCGATCATTTGTTCAGAGAGGAGTCCGGGGACGCACCGCTCGCATTAACAAAGAAAGTCGAACGCGTCCCACCGCAGAGACCCGGCGTCATTGTTGTGAAGCATTCGTGATTTCATTAAACTAGTCTATAAAGTCTTAAATACGGATTGACGGATTGCTTCTGTATGAAGAGCGCTGACCCTCGAATATAGGTTTTTTTTAATTATTATTATTATTATTTTAGTTGTGTAATTGTCTTTTCCAAAGTGACAAATTGATAAGTCTGTGTTTTTTGTTTATTTTAACATATTGATGATAGGACGAGGAAGGTTATTTTGGATGGATGAATTGTGACATAAGTTGATTGGCGCTGTGCTTAGTTTAGTCTCAAATATAATTATGATGTATGTTTATTATTTTCTCAGGCTTAATACACAGTTTAATGGATTGTCAGACTGATTTGTTTAGGAATAGGTGGAAATGTGTATAATTACATGAAGCTGCATGCCATAGTATGTACAGTTAAAAATATAACTTATTAGTACAGCAATTTGAAAGATTATTCATGTAAGAGCAATAATTCATATGAGATTAATTCTCATCTTTTATCACTTTGGTGAACAGCTTAATACATACTTAATACTGTACAGGCGTGTGGCTATTTTATATAACCTTATTTGTGTTATATCAGTTGTCATCAAGAAAAATATAAAATGAAAAATATTATGTTGTTTATGAAGAAAATATTTTTTGAAAGTTGTATCCATACAGCATCAGTTAGATCTTAATTTCGAAAAGAATTATGTATCTTGAAGAGTTTTTTATAAGATCATAATTTAAAGTTAAAAAAGAGTTGTTTTTGAAGCCCGGTGATGTATGTTGTAACATATTCCAGTGCTAACTTTATGAATGGTATTAGTAAGTTATATATTTCACCCCTTAGTGAAGCATTCCATGTGGTTCGAGTCTCCTTAAGATAAAATCAATGTCTTTTGTGGATTGATGTTTAAATTTGTAATGTTTGATAAAATAATAACAATGGATTAATCTTAATTGTAGGCCATTGTTCTGGATTGAAGTTTATTAGATAGCCATATTACTATAATGTTTTCTATGGAACAAAATTTCCAAATATACATTAATGTGAAAGAATCTCTTAGAACATTTGAGATTTGCTTCATTTATGATACTTTAAGGGAAGTATTAGAAGCGTACAGCTGTTAGGCAGGCCTATGCTGTATATGTCTCGTACATAAGACAAACGCTAGTTAACATATAGGATTCATACTTTAATGTACTGGATGGTGTGATTGAATCAGCCATCGATTTTAAACTCTTAGATCAATACAGAGAATGTTTGATAGCATTACTTTACTAGCTGTAGTTACAATGAGTCCTCTAGCTCATGACTTAGGGTATGTAATCTAAAGTGATTTTATTTGTTTGCTTCAATGTGCTGAATATTTTTGTTATAAAAATTTAACCAGCAGTGCTTTTTGTTAATGTATATTATTTTTGTTTGTAAGTTTGAATGTATTTTAAGTTAGACTCAGCAACAGAGTGTCTGCATTGTGTTTATACAAGATAGCGCCGTGGCCCTGTACGTGGGGCCATATGAATTTATTAAGACTGATCATAATTCATTGTTAAGTTACGCTAGTTCGATACACCATGATTGTCATATGTGTGTGTGTGCGTTTTATTCTTTAGTTATTTATATGTGTGTATGTATACAGTATGTATTGCACCGCGACCGACAGTGTCACTGAGATTCTTTTTATCTAGCAATAATTGAGTCAATCTTGATAAGTGAAATTTTATTAAAAATAATAATAATAATATTAAAGAATCTCACTGGCGCTGACGGTCTCATCGAATAAGCCGTTAAACCCATGACAGTGGTTGTAATTTATTTTTTGCATTTATTCCCATAGAATGGTCTAATTCTATATGAAAGTGAGCTGGCAAATCGCGTTCTGGTGTCACAAGCGTTTCGTTTATGTAACAGTATAAATTTTGTTACTCTAATTATTTTGTATGTCGATAATGTTTATTGTACGTACAATTAAATAAGACAGTCGAATTTAACGATGCAATAATTAAATTGCAATCCCGATATATAGCTAGACGGAACTTATTCCCCACTCTGTTTCTGAGTCCCTAGCTGTAAGGAGTTGTCTGCCTACCGCCTTTTACATTACGTCAGTATAGGATAGTAAAACAATGTAACATAATGGACATGGTTATACTATTAGTGTAGTCAAAACTATATAGTTATTAAGAGATTTTTAAGTCAAAGAAAGCAGTTAAAATGTTTAAAATGTGTTATTATTTATGTCTTAAAGTATTAAAATGGTTATTTCTTATTAATTAGTTTGTAAATGATAATCGACGGACGTTCGCAACATGTCTCGTGTCACGTGACCATGTAACCAATATAAACGGAACATTATTATTATTTCTTCGATGTTTGTTAATTTATGTGTAAGTTTGTACATTGATTATTATAGATTTGTTTCATACAAAATTATCTGCTAATTAAGTTGAATGTACTCCAATGGCGATGTTCCATTGGATGTTTTTATGTGTACAAAAATATTATTGTAAACATTTTCTACACTCTATCTCCGTATTTATTCCGATTGAAGAGAATGTACGTTCATTGAATATTTCATAAAATTTAAATTACAATAATTATTATTATTGCATTTTATATTTAAAAAAAAAACATTAGTTCAATTAAAATAAGTGATTAATTTTTAAGAAGCTCATAAATTCAGTTAGAATGGGTCGCATGGGTTCAGTGATGGGGCGAATGTTATTATTATCTAGTTAGTAATCAAACCACCTGCTTTTACCATAAATATACAATTAATTTTTGTAGTCATAGTGACGTCAGCGTTGGCCCCATCGCTGAAGGGCTCACGAGTTCCTATACATTATATAGATAGTTACTTCATATTTTTACAGTTTGTAATTAATAAGGATTATGGTTTTTAGCTTGTGATTCAATTCTATACTCAAATAATATCTATATGCTTAGCACGTGTTCTGCATCCTGACTACATACGAGGCGTTTAACGTGAATACTATAATGTGAGACGAATTGTGAATGAAACAGTTAATGTTTCATATGTAGTGTGACGATGCAAACTATGTGGAAGCATACAGAACATTATTTATTTTCCTTTTATAAAATTATGTTGACTCGTGAAAGTCGATCGGAGTGATGGTTACAAAACGTGTTCACATAATTGACTTTTCGATTTAATTTATCACACTGTATATATTCCGATAATTTTATTAATATGTCCGATTGAAAGTAAACAGATATTTAATAAACGTGTTTTGTAACTGTCACTTGTAATAATAATAAAAAGGCCCTTTAATTATGAAATAATGTACCGTCCTTTGTATAATATCAAACAGCGTCAGGTTACATCTAAAAACCATGTCCACTGATAAAGTGTAGAAAACAACGCATCTTTCCTTTTTGATATGAACTTGGTATAAATATTTCTCCTGATTTTAATTGTACCACATTTGACGAATATTTATAAAATATTGATATTAAAGTGTTTCATTTACAAACCCCTTTTTGAACTATAAATAATAATTATATTGATGTATTCGGCGAGTTGGATGGGCATTTACTAGTAAAGCGAAAAAAATTTTGGAGGGAAAACTCGTCCTATTAAGCTTTCGTCATATGGACATAAAAAAAAACATGAACGTGAATATAAAATGGCGGCTTAGTAGTCTTGAAGCTAGCTTTAGATTAATGATTTAATTGTTAGTAAATACATAGTGCAATTATCCTTACATATTGATATGTTTATTAAAATGAGTATGTAGATATTTAAATAAATTTATCTTGCTTTAAGATATTATTTATTAAGCAACATCAAGTTATACGCAGATTGCAATACAGCCATTGTCAAAATTATTGATTTTCGCTAAGACGGTACGCGTCTATCCGACATTTTAATACATTTTGTCGATCCTGCATAATGTTGACTTCTATTTCGAAACTTAGTGTTTTCATTATTTCAGCTACTATTGATTTTATTATCGCTTTGTAAAATTTGGCAATCATGACTAATTTATTTGCATTTTTAAGATGCGGGTTCCCGAATGTTATAAATTTTAGACTAACTACGATAGGTAGAATTTATAATGAGCACTCAATATTTTTATTTTCATCTACATATATGCATGGTGTTAAAACCAAAAGATAAAATAAGTGAATGAATCCTGATAAAATATTTTTAGGTATGCTATATACCATAATTTTTGAAAGCTGTTATAATATTTTGTAAGACATAGTAATTTAGAAAAAGTATATCTTATTTTAGCATGAGAATAATATTTTGAAAAGGTTAATTAAATATAATGATATTAGTGACTCATTTGTCATTAACTACTCTCCTGGTAGTTAGGTGTGTTTGAAATTGTAATTAAAATTATTATATAAATAAGACGCGCCTGTATCAAGGAATTAGCAAGACCAGTTCTATAGAGGGTAAATAATTTTAAAACTCCCTATTAGCTCATAAGTATATATCTTTTAAAGAGATGGAAATGTTTCTTTCATAAATCCTCACATCTTTATATAAATAAAATACATACCTTTATCGTTATTTAGAAGACTTAGTCTAAACAAGACAACTTAAAAATAAAATATTTTAATTATTATCAAAATCAGTATGTATGTTGAAGGTTTTCATGAAGAATTTAAAAAAATGACACTTCGTTGTCGTCATTAATTTCTTAAGGAAACTCTTTTAACTTAAGTTGTTCAATTATAATATGTCCTGAAGCCGGTTTGCTCGGTAATTTTAATTTTGTAGCGTCGTTCGACCGCTGGTCAGTTGTAACGTAGGTCGTAGACAAATAAAATACACATGCATCCCAACCAAGGTTAGTTTACTCAACTTTTCAAGATTCAAGAATTTGTGTACCGATTACCGTAGTACTAGTCTGTAGTCTACTCGGTAGTCGGTAGTAGTGTTTTATACTTTGTCGCTGACGGACGTGTCGGTAGCTTGAATAAATGCTCTTGCTTTTGGCAAAATACTCTTGACAGTTCGCAAATTAATTATATAATTGTGATAATAATACAACTTGTAACATTGTCATCATAACAAAGTAAGTTTATAGTTACTTTATAATTATTATACAAAATTTATTAAAACACTTTCCTGTGCATCTAGCACCTAACTACTTAATTGCATACTACTGTTGTTTTGTTTTAGTTTTGACCAAACCGGAATAAAATTTGTTTTTTTTTTTGTTAGTTGCCAGTATATAAAAAGTGTAATCTGGACTAAAAAAAATATTCAAACAATATTTAAGATTCTGTTACATTTTTTTTATTACATTAAGTACTTATTTTTTTAATTTATATATAACTAGCTTTCCGCCCGCAGCTTCGCCCGCGTGGAGTTCGGTTATATCGCGTTTCCAAGAGAACCTTTCAAAAATCTGGGATAAAAACTATCCTATGTTCTTTCCCAAGGTCAACTCTATCTCTGTACCAAATTTCATTAAAATCAGTTCAGTGGTTTAGGCGTGAAAGCGTAACAGACAGACAGACAGACAGACAGACAGACAGACAGACAGAGTTACTTTCGCATTTATAATATTAGTAGGGATTTTATTAAACCGATGTTGACGGTCTAGGACAGTGAGTTCACACAATACGGAAACGATTTAATTAGTATATTATGGAAATAGATACAATTAGTTCAAAGTTGTTGATATAATTATGATAAGTTGATACTTTGCTTTTAAACAATTATTTTATATAATTTATTTGTAGGAATACGCTGAGGATATTTCTTCAGATGTAATTTGATTCCAGATTCATTTATCATGATATTTTTTCGACCAAAAGAAGCTATTCATGTATTTCAATTAAAACGTATGTTTATCAAATAAAAGGAGATCCCACGAAATTATTTTTAATTATTTCATAAATAAATAAGAAATCAAATTATTTCCGTGTGCTGACCTAGACCTCTGGTGGGTTAAAATGATAAAGACATAAAGATTGTAAAAGTTATGAATGTCTAGTATCAATGAAATAATTGTTGCCTTAATTTATATTAATCAAATTAATTGTTTTATTTGCGATAACAATATTTATTGCTAATAAAATTAAAAATGTAATATAAGTTTATGACTCTAAGTACCGAATCTTTATGTGAGCGACATAAATATTTTAATTATGGGTTATAGAAAAAAAATTTTACTCTCGAAAATTATTTAATAAATGTCTCCTTTCAATATACATCGAAGCATTAATCAGCCGTTCATGTGTAACTTAGTTGAATGTAAATAAAAAAAGTTTTGTTGAACTTTCAGTTTCATAGACCGCAAAAAAAATCCTTTGTTTTATGTAATCTGTAATAATATAATTTTCTTTTGCGACTCACGTATTCGAGACTGTGAATTATAAATTATGTTCTATAAACATTTTAAACTAAATACGATTACGAAACCAAGCGGATTCTGATCATTATTCATACAATACATATAACAATACATCATGATTTGTTACTCATCTATTTTATACAGGGTGACTGGTGAATTACTATCGATATTTGAGGACGTGATATATGACGATCATATATGACAAAATAAAAATTAATATAACATAAATATTAATAAACTTCTAAGTAAAGTTAACCAAAAGTTATGTAATTAATTACGCATCGTATGAACACCCTACAGATTAGGTATACACTCACACACACATATACGCGTTCGCGGCGTGTTGTTGTATCAGTACGCCGCCGCACACGTACACACTTGGAATATCTAGAACGTGTACACACTTTATTTATTTTTACGGTAATTTGGTCAAAAATTAAGTACCTATTTTTTTTACATAATTCGAATGAGAATCATGTACCGAGTATGCTCCTTAAATATTGATAGTAATTCACCAGTCACCCTGTATATCAACATAATATACAGGGTGACTGCTGAATTACTATCGATATTTAAGTAGCATACTCGGTACATGATTCTCATTCGAATTATGTAAAAAAATAGGTACTTAATTTTTGACCAAATTTCCGTATAAATAAATAAAGTGTGGACACGTAGCCAGTGTTCCAAGTGTGGACGCGTGCGGCGGCGTGCTAATACAACACCACGCCGCCGCACGCGCGTGTGTGTGTGTATACCTAATCTGTAGGGTGTTCACACGATGCGTAATTAATTACATAACTTTTGGTTAACTTTACTTAGAAGTTTATTCATATTTATGTTATATTAATTTTTATTTTGTCATATATGATCGTCAAATATCACGTCCTCAAGTATCGATAGTAATTCACCAGTCTCCCTGTATATATTTTGTAATACCTTTTTTTTATCTAAAACATACCTTTATTTATTGAGGTATTGAATTTTTATAAGAAATATCATAGAATTCATTCAAACAAGTGATCTCAATGTTATATTTCATTGAAACTTCCGAATCCAACCATTTCTCCATAACACTAAAATATTAAATATTATGTCAATGAATTCGCTATAAATCAATTTGTAAACACGGATAAGGATTTCGACAAATGTGTTTAGATAAAATGTTATCGCAGCGTTAATTTTCCCATTAAATAAAAGTGAAAAACATTTTGTAGTTTGGAATTTTGAATATTTTTAGAACATTAATTATGTAAACAATAAAATGAAATTGTGAATGATTTCATTACATTTTAAGAAGGAAATATTTTTGTTATATACAGGTGACTGGTGAATTACTATCGATACTTGAGGACGTGATATTTGACGATCATATATGACAAAATAAAAATTAATATAACATAAATATTAATAAACTTCTAAGTAAAGTTAACCAAAAGTTATGTAATTAATTACGCATCGTGTGAACACCCTACAGATTAGGTATACACACACACACGCGCGTGCGGGGCGTGGTGTTGTATCAGCACGCCGCCGCGCGCGTCCACACTTGGAACACTTGGAACGTGTCCACACTTTATTTATTTATAAGGGAATTTGGTCAAAAATTAAGTACCTATTTTTTTTACATAATTCGAATGAGAATCATGTACCGAGTATGCTCCTTAAATATTGATAGTAATTCACCAGTCACTCTGTATATGTATAATATTATATTTAAGTACTTGCTATACTTCTGTTTTGTTTCAGGATATGTCCCTCAAAGTTTTAAGCGCCGGCTGTCTGTTATGGCTTTTTCTTATAGGAATAGTGAGAAGCGATGATGAAAGCAGGTAATTAGATTTTATATAGAAAATCTTAAACTAATATCTTCTTCTTCTTCTACTTGGCAATTTCCCAGCTACAGCCAGGGTCTGCCTTACATGTTGTGAATAGTTTTTGGCTATTTGTTTTTACGACCGGCCGCCTGCCTGACATCAACCCTCTTTTGGGAATCAACATTAATCAGTGATGTCTAAATACTCTTAGAAAGTACATATGATTCGGAAAAATCACGTTGGTACTGGGCCAGGATCGAACTCGCGCCTTTCTAGAGTAACTATTTATTTAAATAAAATATTTTCGTATACGCGATGTGACGTTTCGGTTACTTTGAAGCAACTGTGATCACGGGCAGACGAAATCAGAAAGGCTCACGTTATTATTTAGTTCAAAATAATAAAAAAACGCGTAGTAGAAAATCCGAAAATATAAGTTTTATATAAGATTTATAAATAGCTATTGATTCTTAAACTCACTTAAAGGATTTCATTCACGTCTGATGAATTGAAAAAGGACGGCCTGGCTGATGCTGTTAATGATTTTGGTTACAAGATAATGACCAAAATGATAAATGAGAATTCTGATAAAAACATCGCTTTATCCCCAACTGGTGTTGCCGGTGAGTTACTTTATTAAGACTATTAATTTAGACTGTTAAATGAGTAGAGTTTGAAATTGTTGGTGTTAAAATTAGTAGCATTGTACAATACGCGTATATAATACAAATGTTAGTTTACCTTCATTCGCATGCAAGAACACAAACGAATTAGAGGATACTTTAGATTAGAATAAATAAATAAAAACACTTTATCGGATATTAAGATTAATTGTCAAAATTCCAATCAATGAACGGAGTCAATTTTTTTTTAAAGACGAAGGAATAACGAATTATGCCTTAAGTAATAAATAAATTAAAAGATATTAAATTTTAATTCATGTATTTTTTTTAACCAAACCGTGTGAATTATATATGTATGCGGTAAATTGTATCAGGTTTACTAGCCATGAGTCTACTGGGCAGCGTGGGGAGGTCATATGATGAACTGGCGCAGGTACTCGGATTTTCTCAAGGTAACACAATACTACGTACATCAATAAACTAATATTTATTATTTACTAGCTGAGCCCCGCGGTGTTACCCACTGATTTCCGGGATTTTTGGGATTTCCGGGATGTAAAGTAGTCTATATGTTATTCCTGGACGTCAGTTTCCTGTATACAAAATTTTATCAAAATCGGTTCAGCCGTTTGAGCGTGAAGAAGTAACAAACATACACACACACTCACAAACTTTCGCAATTATAATATTAGTAAGATTTGTCATATTTTCCATTATTGGTATATTTTTCTAATAAAATCTCGTATCCAATACAAAATTCTCATGATCTTACACGCAAAGCTATTAAAGGATAAATTCTTTAAGATAACTTCGCCTTGGATTGACACAATGTGGTTTTCCTTTACATTTTAATTGTTATAAATTATAATTTAATACGCAAGGCGACATTCACAGAATATTAAAATAGAAAATTAATAAGAATTTTTTAGGTTATTTAATAAAATATAGAGAAATTAATTTTATAACAAAAAAAATCCTAATCCTATCTATAAAATTGATATTAATATTTCTTTATAGATGTGAGCAAGAATCGTCAGAATCACGAGATGTTTGGGGAACTGTTGAATGATTTAAATAACAATGAAACATCTAGCAGAACTATATTCTCGGACGCTCTATTCATCGAAGGGAAATCAAATCTCAGAGAGGCGTATAGGAGTTACTTGTCAAGGGTTTACAACGGCGACGCCATTGCTGTCGACTTTTCTGACAGAAGTACAGTTAGGGCATTAATTAATGAGTGAGTCAATTCATTCTATACTGATTACTATGTCGTAAGCTTATTGTGAACTGACGCCATTGTCCATGGTCCATTTAATACCGTTATGTATTCAAAGCAACAGCTCATTTTTTTGTTGTGTTTTAACAATAAAATGCCCTGAATACATATGATTTGCATAATATTATTTTTATTCATATAGAACAATATTCTAAATTTGAGAAAAATTTAAGCTTATTCTCATATAATTTGTTTTTAGATGGGTTAGTAACATGACTAAAGGAAAAATTCCGGATTTCCTTAAAGAATCACTGCCAGCTGACACAAGGGCGGTGTTACTTAGCGCTTTATATTTTATTGGACAGTGGGAAACCCCGTTCTTACCCGAGTACACGTTAAAGTAAGTTTAAATAGTATAGATAATTGGTAATTCCATTTGAGTCAACACAAATAGTCTAATACAATCCTAAATAGCTTTAAAATAAAAGAAATAAACAATGAATACCTATTTGACAATAGTATTTTTTGTTGCTTTAAATATTCTACCGTAAAACAATTTACAAACCACACCTTTAGTGCGTAACCACTAATGACTATTGTAAACTTGGTTAGCCTTAAAAATACTTAGTGATTTATAAATATTTCAGAATGAATTTTACGACACCCAAGAACGAAGTTGAGGCTGACATGATGTTGAACTTAGGAAACTTCAAACACTTCTACTCCATAGAAGAAGGTAACGACCGTTATAGAACTGAATTTTAAAATATATATGACGATTAGTATTTATTTACAATAAAAAAAAATATATACAATTTTCACACTGACATACTTCTGGAAATAATTTAAAAGAAATTAAATTCTAGTCATATGCAATTGAATAGAACAAAACAAATTAAATTTCATTGGAACATATCGAATATTTTTATCATCACTTTTGTTTCGGAACAAATCGTTCAGAAACTGAAACGAATAATATTTTATATATGTAGGTTAAATTAAAAAAAGTAAAAATTTAAAACTTTTATAATATCATATTACAGTCACTTTATTCCAAATAAATTTTGCACAAAATCAATTTTTTTTTCAGGTGTTCACATGGTAGCCCTTCCTTATAACGATAGCATCACAACTATGTATGTTTTAAAACCCAGACGACCTGACAAACAGAGTATAAATGAATTATTAAACAGCCTTAATTACACAAGAATAAATAAAATGATCGAAGAAATGTGCAATCGAAAGTCCATAATAAGATTTCCCAAAATGGACCTCAAGGTTCACGCAAATTTGGAAGAAGCTTTAAAACAATTAGGCATTCAATCAATGTTTATTCCGGGCCAAGCGAATTTCGCTCTTATGATAGATGGGTCAAAGGCTATAAACAAAACGGAAGAGGAATTATTGACAAGAATTAATGATGGCGACGGACTGTCAAAAATTAAAGATTTAAAAAGCCTAATCGATGCACTCCCGAATCCCGGAGTTTATGTGGACTCCATATTGCACGATGTCCGAATAACTATAGATGGTTTGTGTATTGTATTAAAATTAAAAGTTTTAGACACTTTCACAATGTGTAGTTGACCTTGATTTTTAAAGAGGTCAACGTTTTTTAAAAGGTTTAGCGCGATTTTTTTTTATTTAGTAAATAAGCGGTTAAGTCATACTAGGATCGCAAGTAATGTTTGCTCATCTTATAAATTAACCGTCCTTGTATTTGGTTCTCGCATTCCTCTATGTTTTAGTAAGTTTAAAATTAGAACAGAAATTTGAGGATCCGCAAAAAATAATAATTCCATGAAATTTGTTTTTGCAGAATATGGGACGGAAGCGGTCGCAGCGACAAGTGGTATTTTGGCAAGGACGGCTGAGACGTTTTATGCAAATACGCCATTCTACATGTTCATAAGAAATGAGAAAACTAAACTAGTCACCTTCAGTGCTGTTGTCTATGATCCTACTACTTGATCGAGCAATGATTTAAAATTTACATAATCTAATTGATTGCAAAATAAGTTTTAAATTAATCCGACAGCTAGATCATTCAAGTACCTACATGATATTATGAAACAAAATAAAAATATACAATTTAACACTGAGATCCCTACTAATATTATCAATGCGAAAGTAACTCTGTCTGTCTGTCTGTCTGTCTGTCTGTCTGTCTGTCTGCTACGCTTTCACGCCTAAACCACTGAACTGATTTTAATGAAATTCGGTACAGAGATAGAGTTGACCTTGAGAAAGAACATAGGATAGTTTTTATCCCAGACTTTTGAAAGGTTCTCTTGGAAACGCGATATAACCGAACTCCACGCGGCGAAGCTGCGGGCGGAAAGCTAGTATCATATAAAAAGATCTAATTAGGTACAATGGCTGATGTATATTTTAAATTATTTATGGTTGTTTTTTTTTTAATATTTAGATAATGATTTCTTATTACTTTTTAAAATCATTTGCATTTAATTCTCACCTACATTTTATTTTGCAAAAAAAAATTCTTAGTTTATAAAGGGTTTAGAAAAATCCCTACTAATATTATAAATGCGAAAGTAATTCTGTCTGTCTGTTACGCTTTCACTCCTAAACCACTGAACTAATTTTCATGAAATTTGGTATAGATATAGAGTTGACCTTGATAAAGAACATAGAATAGTTTTTATCCCAGACTTTTGAAAGGTTCTCTTGCAAACTTTATATAACCGAACTCCACTAGGGCGGAAAGCTAGTGAAGAAATATAAGTATGTAGATATTTATAAAACGATAACCTGTAGAGTAAGGAAAAAAGGGTTTGCATATACAGTTACAAAATATATTTAAATATAAATAAGTATAGTCTATACATAGTTTTTTTGCTTTTTTATATAAAATAATTAGTAATTACTGGTTAGTCACTGATTCATGTATTAAAAATTTTATCCTTTAAAAATAAAGATAAAATAAAACAAACATATTAATATTGGAATTTATTTACATATACTGCATTTACTCCTTAATTCATGCATCATACACCTAACACAAGTGTAACATCATATTAAATACATACAGTTTTTCATTCATAAAATTTAATTCTATATTGCCATGTGTGACAAAAGGCAGGATATTAATATTTAAAAAAGAAATTAAAACATTATTTTGAACCTAACTATAGGAATGAGCGAAATTTTAGTGATATTTTGGAAGCCTTCAGTTAGTACTCTCTTACTTAACCAGAAAATAAAAGGCATTTGCTATGAACTGTGCATATTTAACATTTAATCTCTGCCGGGCTTAATTTACTACTTCAATACCTTTTAATACATGGTAAAATATAAAATAGAATGGAATACATTTAAAATGTGAAACTACTGAAAATCAGGTTGGTGTATAAACATGTCAATTACCATCACATTGTGTGCCCTTTAAAAACAAGATCAGCAATGATGATGAATTATTTTTATTTCTAATACAAAATAAAACATAATATATATACAGTGTAAACTCTATATAACAACACTGAAGGGACTGTTCATTTTATGGTGTTATTGTCGTTAAATAGAGAGAAGAAAAATTAGAATTAGAAAAAGATAAAGTTTATTTCAGACTAGTGTTAATACTTATGTAAATAAAAAAGAATGTTATTCGAACGCTATTGCGTATAGTCTGTTATTTTTGTTTGACGTCTTTTGCTGCACCAGTAAAGTTGTTGTATTTTTTATATGCGATATTGAGGCATCTTGGTGAAGAACGAATTTCTTAGAAAGTTCGTCGGTATGCATGACTCCGACAGTCGAGTTTATTGCGCTAGGATAACAAAGCGACAAAAGAATGTACACAGCTGTGCAGTTTTTACTAATTTTAGCAACTTAAAAGGTACTTTCTATTACTTAATTGTTGTCGTTATTGAGAGTAGGTGTGATGCTATATAGAGTGTATCATTGTATGGTAGACAAGCTAAACCAACCAAAGTGAAATGATTTTGACACTTTAGAGAGTTTGTCGTTAAATCGAGTGACGTTACATGGAGTCTACACTGTATATTTATTGTTATAAATAGCCCCTTATTATATATTATACCTATAGAATAGAAGCATTTCATGTATTTCCTTGTAACTTTTCTAATCTATCATTGAGGGTCTGTCTCCATTGATCTTCTGACACGCTCTGTGCCCACTCGGGTATGGAAGCTTGTGGTAATGCAAAGTTGGCCATTATGGACATAACCTTTGAAAAATTTAATAAAATTATTTTCTTCAGTAAACTCAGTAAAACAAACTCTTACAACAATAACTATGTCAATTTTAAAGCTGTGTTTATTACATAGCTTTACTTATTATATGGGCTCAAACTTTTATTGATCTTATTATCTTTTTAATTTTAAATTTTTAAGACACAACTCTAGGAAGATATTTTAAAATTAAATGCTTAAATGTTAATAAAGTAAAAATAGTACCTGTTGTACTCTTTCACTATCCATTTGAATTGTATCATTAGGTCGAGGCATACTCCACACTTCCCTAGTTAAAGCAGAGTCCATTGGTTCTATATGGGGTATATTATTGACTGGTGCTTGCACTTCCGCGGTCTGGAGAATATATTTTGATTTACTTCAAACAACATTTTTTCAAATTACAAATAAATTCTATAGGAATAAGAAGAACATACATCAGTCTCATTGTCCGAATCGTGATCTGAAAGCACGGCTTCTGGCCCCTGAGGTAAAGGTTCGTAACCGAAGTGCTCGTTCTGTTCATCATCACTATCTTCGTTACCATTCGTTATAAGGTCATGACGTGACGGAGGTATCACATCTTGGGACGAATTGTCGGGAGGATCAGGGCCTTCACAAACCATGATGAATTATAAAATTTAGGATAATACAAGGACGTTAAACAAAATAACAATATTATTAAATGCTATGTTTAACTGTCAGACGGACAGTGAATAATGAATATGCTGTTGGTTCCTTAGGGCTTACACTAATTAACTACTTAATACTAAAATTATCTAAACAATATATACACTTTGCATTTCAGGTTTGTTCTGAAAATTAAAATTTTTAATAATTTAATGACAATTAATAAAATGTTGTTTTTTTCATTATTTTTTCACAGAATTTATCATTAAAATCTGAAAATACTAATTGCGATAATTCCTGATTTCTTTTCGCCGCAGGCAGATATGGGAATTAAATCATTATTATAAAATTTTGATAAATTTCCTAAAGAATATTGAATGGTCATAGATTGGAACTGTAATGTGCAATTCCCAAAAATTCTTCAAGATATATTTATCCATTGTACTGGAAGTCAGTTTCATGTGTGAATTGTGAGTTACTCAATCTGTCAAGCAATTGTCAGCAAAAGCCAAAAAATATATTTTCGCTTTTAGGCCAAATAATAAACAATCTTCAAAAATTGAGATATTAAGCAAGTTGTTTACTTCTTTATTTATATTGATTTTGCTAAATATGGCTTGGAGAAGTCATGGTATTAATAACTTGGATATGGTTCGCAATCTTAAATGTAAGTAAAAAAATTCTTGGTTTTCTGATACTTATTTGTTGTACCAACAAACATTATTTCCAAAGCGCAAGATTTTGGTCATAATTTTTTTTTAAATATGATATAACTATATAGATTTTTTTTTTAGCGAATGGGATAATAAAATCAGATACTGTTGCTAATGCAATGTCTGCTGTAGATAGAAAAAACTATTGTCCTTATGCACCATACCATGACTCACCTCAATCTATAGGATTTGCTGCTACAATAAGTGCTCCACATATGGTAGTATAAGTACCAAATGTGTAAAAATGTTATAGTTTAGGAAAAAAATTATTTGTTTCTATACATTTTAGCATGCACATGCTCTAGAAAGATTAAAGAGTCAATTAATACCTGGAGAGAAAGCGTTGGATGTGGGATCAGGATCTGGCTACTTAACAGCATGCATGGCACATATGGTCGGAGAAACCGGCAGAGTAATAGGCATTGAACATATACCAGAATTGGTCACTTTGGCAACTAAAAATATTAACCATGACAATCCGAAACTTCTTTCTTCTGAGAGAATTAAACTTATCGGTATGCTTATACTATAAAAATAAAATCTTATGCAGTTATTGATTTTGAGAAAGAAATTTATGTTATTTTTATGTAATTATGAAGTAAGTTATGATTTACGTAAATATCTAGTAATAATATTTTTTTAGTTGGAGATGGGCGATTGGGTTATCCTTCAGAGGCTCCTTATAATGCCATCCATGTTGGGGCCGCTGCACCTACTTTACCGAAGGCAGTAAGTTAAAGAAATATGTTTGAAAAGATTGGTATAGCCCTCAATGTAATGAGTTTCTATATATAATGATTTATATGTTGTCAGCTTGTTGAGCAGTTGAAACCAGGGGGTCGCCTCATAGTTCCAGTTGGACCGGAAGGCGGAGATCAATACCTCACTCAGGTATAATTAATATTTTCTTGAAACTTGGTTCATTTTCTCTATTATTCATAAGCTTTAGATTGTTTACATTATTCATATATATTTGTATAAATATATGTATGTTGTAATAATTTTTTTAGCCATTTTATATATTTCCAGGTGGACAAAGCACTTGACGGTTCTACTACAGTGAAGAAGCTCATGAGTGTTATTTATGTTCCCCTCACAGACAAGAGTCACCAATATCGTGAGTGACGTTATGTCACCTTTGTAGCGATCTGTGTTGTTGCCTTGATCATAATTCTTTGCTTCCTAAAAGCCCTGTGATTTATAATTAGTTCGAACATTTAACATTTGTATATATTATGTAATATAATTACAAATTTCATATCATTCTATGACTTGGTTGTAAGCTACCAAAGAGGAGTAATTAAAAGTAATATTATCTATGGAAGTTAAAGTATGACTTTTCCAGGTCTCTGGAAATAAATTGCCTCTAAAAAATTACCGTATCAGCAGCGTCATATTGTTCAGATTACCCAAGAGTGAAACGGAGAGAAAGTGAAATATATTACCCATGCTATTCCCCCATATTTATGCAATAAAAAATATAAATAAAATTTATTCTTTTAATTCTTTGTCTCTCATGTGTACCTAGTAATTTTTTATATTCATTAAAAAAAAAATTAACAGCCTAATTAGATAGGTTCAGAATTTCCCTGAAGTTGCAAATTTGGGTCTAGGGTAAAAAATTTAATTAAACAATGGATAACAAATTAATTTAATAACAAGATTTTTGCTTATTTTTAATCCATACAATGAAAATGTTAAATATAAAGAGATTTCATTTATTGCTTTTAAATTTCCCCCCCAACTTCCTTTTACCAAATGGCTTTGTTTTGTCAGAGTCCACTGGCTTTGCTTTAACATGTAATATTGAATATATTATTTCAGCTTCATTCTTATTTTCTACTATTTCCTGTAATTGGTCCTGAAATTAGAATAAATATTCAATTTTTATTATTTAACAAAAAAAAATCAGTTATATCAACAAAAACTTCATTCAATGTTCTAATGAATCACATTTTAATTTTATAAATAATATTTTATATGAAGTTAGGTTTTAGCTTGTTTTTTTTATGTATATACATACAATTTCCATACCTTTGTCAGAGTAATTAGATGGTCCAATGAAATGCCCCTGTTCATAATCCTAGATATATTTTTGGAGGTCACTCCTGGTAGTTTTTGGACGAAATCGTGAACAACAATATTATATCTCTCATAGTTCATATCATCGGCTGTGTTTTCACCACTCAGAGCTACTACTTCATCAACATTAGGGTTCTTCCTGCCTTCCTACAAACAAGACCTTTATTGTATTAAAAAACACTTTATTTATTACTAGCTGCGCCCCGCGGTGTTACCCACGGATTTCCGAGATTTCCGGGATGTAAAGTAGCCTATGTGTTATTCCTGGACTTTAGCTTCCTGTATACAAAATTTTATCAAAATCGGTTCAGCCGTTTGAGCGTGAAGAAGTAATAAACATACACACACTCACAAACTTTCGCAATTATAATATTAGTAGGATTTAAAGATATCTTACTTTGAGTTCATAGAATAGTTCAGCTGTAGCATAAGGACTCGGCGACCATACAAGCTTTAAACGCGGAAAATGTATTGTAAGTAGCTGTAATTTTTGTTGTATATCAGCACCAGATAAATCCGTGGACACAACAAAATTACCCTGGAAATTAGCAAAATCTATTATTCCTTTTGAAAAATATTCTGCACACTATAATAGAATAGAATTGGAATTACACTAAAGACGTTAAAATTTAAATATTAAATTAGAAGTCCATATATAAAAGCTAACCTGTAAATTGAAGGGTTTATTCTGATCAAACTCAATAAGTAGTATAGGTCTGGAGTAGTTCCGACACATCTGTGTACATTGTGTGTACAAACGACCGGAGTTGAGTGATCCTATCAAATCCGAGATGGATTTCCTCTCGACGCATATATCCGGCGTCAGAATATAGTCACCTATCTGAAATATTATTAATTTTAAATTTAGGAAATAAATTCTGAATTAAGTGATACACAGTGTTTAATGACTCTTATATAAAGAAAAGGCTCTATGTACCGAGATAAATTTAAATAAAAAAAAACAATTACTTATTAAAAAATAATAAACCAGCCTGACACTGCCAATTAAAGTTTATTAAGTAGCCAACCAATTTATTAAGTCGCTTATATATCTCAAACTGTTTCATATATTACTAGCTGCGCTCCGCGGTGTTACCCGCGGATTTTCGGGATTACAAGGATGTAAAGTAGCCTATGTGTTATTCCTGGACGTCAGTTTGCTGTATACAAAATTTTATCAAAATCGGTTCAGCCGTTTGAGCGTGAAGAAGTAACAAACATACACACACACTCACAAACTTTCGCAATTATAATATTAGTAGGATAAAAACTAAGGGCTAGTTAACACACCGCGATAGTGACGGGGTCTATGTTGATACCACGTCGGTGAAGAAGCGCTGGCAGGTCTGAACGGAACTCACGCATGTCTACTATGACACGCGGCGCTACTGACGACGCTTGACCACCTGGAAACGAATGACAGAATTAATATTTGAGTTTTGACCCGCTGTTAAACTAGAATTCGTACAGCTGGAAATAGATTAGGATTAAAGATCATGATGTATTGTTCGGACTAAATGGCAATTTTGGCCATTAAGCTGTTAATTGTTATGGCCTCTTGAGTAGGCATATTTATATGAACGACTGTATGTGCTTTAAATATACGAGGGGAGGTCAATAAGTTCGCGGAATGAGCGGGAAGGGGGTTGAAATTTAACACGAAACTATTTTTCCTTTTCAATATAGTCTCCCTTAACCTTAATACATTTTTCGGATCTCACAAATAATTTATTAATACATTCGAAAAAAATTATTTATCTTGGCTATCAAAATAGGCCGAAATTGCGGACTTGACTTCTCAAATATTATTCATCGCAGCTTTTTTTTCATTTTTGAAAACAAATAATAGTCGCTGGGGACTAAGTCTAGACTGTAAGGTGGGTGGTGTAGTTTTTCGAGTCCGCATCGGTGAATGGCAGCCGTCGCAACATGGCACGTGTGGACTGTTGCGTTGTCGTGCAAAAGGAGCACACCTTTTGACAGCTTTCCTCTTCTTTTTTCCTTGATAGCTTCTTTCAATCTATCTAATAAAGAAGCGTAGTACTGTCCCGTTATAGTCACACCACGATCTTTATAATTGATCAGCAAAATACCTTCTGTATTCCAAAAGACAGTCGCCATGATCTTTCCGGCCGATTGTGACACTTTAAACTTCTTTGGAGGAGCTGTGCCTTTTTTATGCCACTGTATCGATTCTTGCTTCGATTCAGGTTCATAGTGGTGAACCTAGGTTTCGTCACCAGTAAAAATCCGGTCCATAACTTCGTCCTTATTCTCTCCACAGAGCTTCAAAAACTGGCGAGAACACTCGACACGCTCGCTCTTTTGAAGTGGCGTGAGCATTCTTGGAATCCATCTTGCACTGACCTTAGTCATCCCAAGATGATGATGTAGGATATTAAAAATGCTTTTTTCAGATACTCTAACCATTGCTCCAAGCCGTTTCTTCTTCAACCAGGCATCTTCCAATATAAGTTTTTCTACTTTTGCGACGATTTTCGGTGTGGTGGCCTCAATCGGTCGTCCGGAGCGGGCGTCATCTTCAATGGACTCTCTTCCTTGTTTAAAAAGTCCATGCCACTTGTAAACCATGGTTTTACCAGGGGCAGAGTCCGCGTAAACTGATAACAGCTCTTCAAAAATTATCTGAGCGGATTTTCCTTGCTTGGTGAGGAACTTAATAACGGCGCGGTGTTCAATTTTCTCCATACTCACTGACTTCTTCCCGATTCACTTGTTTGCAGGTCAACAACTCAAAAGTTAATGACCCGATTTGGTTCAAACTTGGTATATATACTATTAATGAGGTGTTGAACAAGTTACTACCTGGACGAGTAAATCAACCCCCTCCATCCCCTCCATTCCACGAACTTTTTGACCTCCCCTCGTAGCATTGATTGGACATTAGCAAAACATTTTTAGGCATTCAAGGTGTTATGTTCTCTTAAGTATATTTATATCAACGACAATGAGTATTTTTTTTTACGTAAAACTTCACGTTTTTATGATATTAAGCTCAATATACCATTTCTTAATGTTTCTATGACTTTGAAGAGTAAATTATGCTTAGAAAAAATGAGCCGGTCCGTAAAACATGCGACTTTAATGTTATATTTAATACTGGTTAAGAACAAGCGAATACTTGACTTGCTTATGATTGATGGTTTAATGAAAATATGTGATGTGATCTCACTATAAAAACTGAGGTCTGAATAATATTTTTCCAGCAAAGTTCTTAATAGTCTATTATTTCTTCAAAAATAATAAATGTATTCACATGATAGACTTCTTTACACTCTCATCCAGACCTTGTGAGATATCTTAAGTAATAGTATTATTTGTTATGATTAGGAGTATAAATAAGTTTCCGCCGTTTGATTGTAGATGGCGCCTCACCGTTTTTCGGTTATTTTTCGCAGATGATAACTGGCTTGAAAGATAGTTTGGACATTCAAGAACAATATAACCTATTAATATCATTAATTTTACATTGGTAAAATATAATTTTTATAAGTAGAAAATGTCAAAATTTTAACCAAGTAAGCGTCATTTACGGGAAATATTAGTTTACTTCTTTTATTTAAAGAAATCTGCTACTGAGGCGCATTAATTACTCATAGAAGCATATGGTGAGGGTGCTTTGAGTGAGAGAACGTGTCGACAGTGGTTTCAAAAGTTTAAAAACAGTGATTTTGACATAAAAGACAAAGATCGCAGCGGAAGGCCAAAAATTTACGAGGATGCAGAATTAGAGGAATTATTGGAGGAAGATTCATCTCAAACACAACTAGAGCTTGCTCTAACATTAGAAGTCACTCAGCAAGCAGTCTCACATCGTTTAAAATCATTAGGAATGATTCATAAATAAGGAAATTGAAATGAAATGCTGCTAGCTAGACATAAAAAAAAGGGTTTTTTACATCATATCGTAATTGGTGATGACAAGTGGAAACATTATGACAATCCAAAAAGAAGGAAATCATGGGGATTAATTTGCCTCGCGTCAACATCCACAGCAAAACCGAATATTCACGGAAGAAAATTTATACTGTGTATTTGGTGGGATCAGCTAGGCGTAGTGTATTATGAGTTGCTTAATTCGAGCAAAACATTTACTGGAGCCCTCTATCGAACTCAATTGATGAGATTGAACCGACCTCTGAAGGAAAAACGCCCTCAATACTATTCTAGAAACAAAAATCTTTTTCTGTATGACAATGCTCGTCCACATGTTGCAGCTCCCGTGAAAAAGTACTGGGAAACACTTGATTGGGAAGTGTTACCCCACTCGCCGTATTCACCAGACATTGCACCGACCGAGTATCACCTGTTCCGGTCCATGGCACATGCTCTGACAGCGCAGCGGTTCACATCTTATGAGGATACCAAAAATTCGGTTAATTCGTGGAGAGCCTCAAAAGACAAGGAGTTCTTCAGACGTGGGATTAGAACGCTGCCAGAGAGATGGGAAAAGTGGTTGCAAGTAATGGGCAATATTTTAAATAAATTCATATTACGGTTCTTCTATAATAAATATTTAAGTTGTGTTAAAAAACTGCGGAATCTTATTTGTACTCCTGTATAGTATAGCAGTTTGTACCTGCTTTTCTCGTATTTATAGCTGATTCGTTTTCTTCGACATTTAAATTAAAATATTCATCAGTTTTCCCGTCCTGATACGAAGGTACCACCATCACCTGAAAATTAAAATCAATTTTAAGTCATTTTAAAGAAATTATTATTATACTTTGAAAGATATTTTTTTAGCTATGGATGTTGTTAAGATTATTATAAAAATGTTATATATTACTTATGCTTGCTTGATATTGTTAAAATAATAATATGATGTCAAGCGTAATGTAGATAGATTACTTTATTATATAAGCTGTCAATAAGTTTGCTACTTAGCACAATACATACATGACATAGTTTATATAGTTTTATTTAATACAACATATAAATACTCACACTCTTAGCTTGAATAAGCATTTCAAATGCTTGCTTCTCCCTCCTCAATGATGTCAAATAGGATTGTTCTTCAACAGTTTTGTCGTGTATAAGAAAATATACTTTAGACTTTGGTTCTTCGGGTTGTTTCTTACATTCAAACAATTCTATCTGTCGTACGGCCGATACGTCACTTTGGTATAGAATAATGTATTCAGGCCTTAACGCTTCCAATGTTTGTTCTAATGAGAAATAGTTTCCATTCTGCTTGAATGTCTGTATACATATCAACGGTTTCTCAATTTCCAATTGTGTGAGATCTAAGTTATCCAACTGTAATATAAATGTATAAATTATCTTCTATGTCATTTGTTAGAATATTCAATTAATAACATGTTATAATTTTAAGTCAAATGCAAATTGTAGAATAAAATATTAATACAGAATTCTATACAGCGACTTAATAAAAATTCTTTTGCAATTGCTTTGTACTTTTCTATTTAAATTTTTATAAGACTATTTGGCTCCAATTATTTTGAATTATACATAAAACTAATACATATTATATATTACACCTGTGAAATGGGTTCAAACATACTATCTTCTGCCGTATTTTTATTCAACTCCATAGCCTGTGTTAATGTCAACATATAATTTGATTTGACATCATCCAATTCTTCATCCAAATTACTATCATCTTTATTATCTTTGACGCTCTCTTTTTCTGTTTTTGTTGGAAATTCTTCTTTGAGATTTTTATATTTGGATGACACGGATGTTATCTGTATGTCTCTTCGGAATGCATTATAGAATAGATATTTATTGGCTCCCATAGTCAAGACGTTGTTTAGTTGGAAGCATGTCTTATTGTTCTCACACAGTATAAGAACTTTGGTATTATTAAGCGATCCATTATTCTTCTTTTTCACTTCATCTGGTATTTCAACTTTTAATAAATCACTCAAGCACTTCCATTTAGGACAGTGCTCAGGGTCAAATTCTAAAAAAAATAGTTTTTTTTTTAACTCAAGTGCATATATACCATAATCTCAAAAGAAAATATTATTGAAATATAAATTCTATATACAGGGTGTATGAAAAACTGTGTCAACCCTTGAAGGCATGTATACATATAAGTATAAGCTTATTATAAAAAATAGTATAACTTAAAAAATATCAAGCAGACGTCAGTTACAGTGCATAGGCAAAATAAATTTTAAATCGACATTATTTGAATAAATGTTCCAAACATCTGACCCGTACAAGGTCAAGGCCCCGTATAGTCGCGACGACGCATGCGTGACCATTGACCGCAAGCGCCGGGCCGCCGGCGTTATTATTACTTTTTTGTTAGTTGTTCGAATAGAGATTTGAAAGTGTAAAAATTAGTTATATCGATAAATATTCTATCGACATTTTCAATATTGCTATAAATAGTTATGCTTTTCACATTAAAATAATTTCATTTAAAATAACTTTTATTAATAATAAATATTATAATTTGAAACTTGTTCAGGTAAATTAACTACATATGTTGTATTATTAGGATAAATCGTTAATCTATTTCTGTTAAAAATGGTGTTTTACAATCAAACATAATATTAATGTTTGATATATCAAAATAAGTATCGAAATAATATGAATATTAAATATTTATTTATTGTTATGATTTTTTAAAAATCGATATTTTCAATAATGTGAAAGTAACTTCAAGGTCGTCACTAGTAGCGCGGCAGGTGTGATGACGTCATTGCGTGTCATCGTGTTATACCAGGGTTTACAAACATTTTGTTACTCTACATATAATAATCATTTAATATTTAATTTTATTATTTTTATTGAAGAGTTTGTAAATGTAAGTTGTTTTATTGTGTTACATTATCGATACTGATAACGTAGTTAAGAGGGTTGACACAGTTTTTCATACACCCTGTATATCATCACCATAATATTGTGGTACGTCTACTTAAATTCATAAGATAAAAAAAAATCTTTAGACCAAATGGATAACAAGAAATAAAATGTTAAAATAATTTTACAATATCAGCCACAATAAATTTTTACTGTTTCTCCAACAAACAAGAAAAAACTTCTTAGACAATATAGCTTTTCTTTATAAGAACAATCAAGATTCAAGAGTACAGTAATATAATATATTAATTGCCTTGTACAATTATTTTTTGATATTAAATGCCTATAAAAGAGCTATAAAAACTTAATAATGAAATAAAATAATATTTATAGAACATTGTCATTAATAAAAGTAGTATTAGAACTCATTACTACCGTGATTGTGTTTTAACTAAACTAAACTATGTTAAGTAGTCAATGTAAAGTAAAATATATACCACTATTGTTGAAGACTCGAGATTTTGCTACCTTGAACAACCTTTCAGCCGAGTCCAACAGAATCCAACCTGAGTTGACCTGAGCATACTCTGATGTACGATACTTACTGACCAGCCAATAGAAGGATACAGAATCCTCGTGGATTAGATTACTGGTGATAAATATTATAATATTTATTCATATAAAAAAAATCCTTAATTAATACCAACTCTCACAAAAAAAACTGTTTAACAGAAAGTAAGACAAAATGAATAGTGAATTTAATATTTTTCTGTGAAAATTCTAATTTTATATGTATGTTTTCCTGGTGACAAATACTAGTCATTATTATAATATTTATACATATGAAATAGAAATTCCCTAATTAGTACCAACTCTCACAAAAAACTGTTTTATCAGAAAGCAAGACAAATGGTACTTAATTAAATGTTTTTCTATGAAGATTCTACTTTCATATATATGTTTTATTTATACTTACACTATCAAAGTCCTTAAAATTTTCAAATCCTGTATGTATTCCTTTGTTCTGTTACTGAGCTGATGCCACACACAGTCAAGCTGGGATTGTAATATTTTATGGAACTTCTTAGTTATGCAATTTTCTGTTGTGATTTCCTACACAATAAATATATACAAATTACCTCTATTATTTTTATATATATTTAAAAATTAAATTATAGTACCTAGATTATGTTTTATTAACATTATTACGAAATATTGACATATAAATAAGGTAACAAATTAACAACCATACATGATTATTATGAAAATATTTAATAAAATAAGCAGAAATTCTTCATCTCAAATAACCCGAATAATACATGATTATAATCAATTCATTAATCTACTGCTAACTCAAGTCACTGCTGGAGAAAATTTTGTATGATTCTTCGAAAACCTATCTTTATGAGTATTTATAAATAAATTTTCTTCTTTTTCTTGTCTTAAAATTGCTATTGTTCCTTATTATAACTTACTTGCATGTCCAGATTTCTGTTAATGCTCTTAAGTTGTTTCACAGTGTAATTCATTATGTCCAAAAGACATGTTTGTATTTGTAACATATTTGGTGTCAATGAAACATGTATCTCTTCAACCTCGGCTTGTCTACTCTTAAGACTTTTAATGACTAAGCCGTGGAATCTATAGACATAAATATCAAATATAGTATACAATAACAAATTCACACATTTATATGAGTATTAGTACTATTTTACCTCGGCCATAAGTATAATTCTTTGACAAAAACAGCTCTCATAACTTTTTCCACTTGATGGTACCCAAATGTGAATGATATGGGCGAGTTTGAAAATGCTTTTATAAAGCCTGTCTACAACATGTATTATTTATAAAATATGTTACCAATATATCTGTTTTATATTTAATATAAATATACCTTATTATTTTGTCTAAATAACCTTAGAACGAAAGCCTCTTGACATGATTCCAGTACCGTGTGAGCTCTCAACACAATAATACCAGTTATATGTGTTACTGGTACTCTCTTTTTTAATAAATCAACTACTAATATTCTTGTTGACACAAAATATATGCCACCCTCTAAATAAGCTTTTTCCCTGAAAATATAATGGAAAAACTATTATTACAAAATAATCACTGGTCCATTTAACTGAAACAATAAATTTCTAATATGCAACATGCATGTAAATTTTAATATAACATTTTACTCGATATTTCATTAACTTTATAACAATCATATCATTATAACCATATCTTCTTAAGACATCTTGTTTTATCTAATAATTTAAACTGTGAAATGAAATAATAAATGCTCATCATATGTCCAAATATTATAGTTTCATTTAAAATTATACTTGCAAGATTTTTAAATATCGTCATATACAGGGTGACTGGTGAATTACTATCAATATTTAAGGAGCATACTCGGTACATGATTCTCATTCGAATTATGTAAAAAAAATAGGTACTTAATTTTTGACAAAATTTCCGTATAAATAAATAAAGTGTTGACACGTTCCAAGTGTTCCTAGTGTGGACGCGTACGGCGGCGTGCTGATACAAAACCACGCCCCCGCTGCGTATGTGTGAGTGTGTGTGTATACCTAATCTGTAGGGTGTTCACACGATGCGTAATTAATTACATAACTTTTGGTTAACTTTACTTAGAAGTTTATTAATATTTATGTTATATTAATTTTTATTTTGTCATATATGATCTTCAACTACCACGTCCTCAAATATCGATAGTAATTCACCAGTCACCCTGTATAGTCACATATATAGTCACCTCTCCGACCCCAAATTTGGTAATACTGATAAATTGAATTTCTCACTGAAAAATTTTTCTTCATGGTCACTGCTATTTATTATTAATACTAAATTTCCCGGATCCTTATAAACCCACAATAAATTGGAAACAATGCTATTGTAACTTAGTCCTCTGCAACAAAAAAAATTATAAATTTGTAATGTAAGAATTTAAATATAGTATTCGAATTCATGCAATTATCTTTTTCACATATACTCTAAAATCTAAATAAAAATTTAAATAAAGAAATATAAAATGGAAATTTCATTAAAACAAGTTAGATTTTGCACTTGAAAGTTTCAAGCTGCATTCTACGAAATATTTGCTTTGAAGCAAATTAAACAATTTTTCATTATATACTTTCTATCTTTTTGTACTATTTGCATTTCCAGTTTGATACGCAGTAAATATCTTACTTGGCCATAATTAAGAGGGCATCGTTTTCAAATATATCCGTAAAAATTTGTTTTTCATAATTGAGTAGAGGGTATTTTGTCTCAATATCTTGTGATAACTCTTCCGTATTTTGATTTTCTTCCATGTCTTTAAAATGTTCTTCTTAAATATACAAAATATGTACAAGATTTGAATAATAAGGGTTTAGTGTATAGTCATAAAACTTATCACAATTTATTTAAAATTAATGCAAACGTAAAATTCATGAGTAAATAAATAGAATTTGTTAAAAACTTTTACTGTGCTTTCTTTACAGAATTATCAATTAACTTTTTTAAAAATAGGTATGAATAAGGTAGTATTATTTTGAAATTACAAACTTTGACGTAACTTGTTCAAAGTTTTTGTATCCCATTCTCTTTGGATACTACCAATTTGAGGATTAATCATTAAGTATAATAATTTTAAGTCAATAATTTTATTAATGAGTAAAGTTTGACCCTTTATGATATTAAATATATTGTTAGAGGCTTAAGAAAATTATTTATGTAACTTGGATTTCTTTAAGTTTTAAGTTAGCACTTAAATAAGCCCATTTTTATGATTTAGATATTTATGAATGAAAAAGTAATAGATCGAGAAAATTACTTACTTATTATAACGAATTAGATTATTTAAAATTTGGTTTATAGAAAATTTTATTATTAAATATAATCGAGGTATAACCCATAATATAATCGTAATATCCTCTAAAAATAAATTATAAATTATATATTTCTATGTCATATCTTAAATTATTAGTATTAGTTACCGTTTTTTAATACCTGCTTTGGACAGGATGACCAATATTAAAAACATGTTTGTTTTGTTGGTATAACCTGCCGCTGACTTCCATTTCCTCTTACCGTTTACACCGGATCCGCCATTTTGCGTCAAAGCTCTTTTCTGAGTGCGTCGCTATACGCAATTGTGTTATTAATTAATTTATTTATGTGTTAAGTAGAAGTGAAATACTACTATTATTGATCTTGTAGTGAAAGGTTGGTTTAGTTGTTATTTAGTTTGAATGAAGATTGTATTTTGTCTCGTTGAAGTGCTTTTGGTATTTCTGATACATACTTTCACCTAAATGTTGTATTATGATTATAGCATGCAAATGCACGCTATGAACCAATACCGAGGATTTGGAGGTCCACCTCAACCCCAAAGACAAGGCGGCCGTCGGGGCAATAATCGAGGCGGATTCCGCAATTCCCGCTTTGAGCATAATCAAAACCAGCGAGGGCATAACTTCCACGGAGGTCAACGTCCCCACATTGAGGTCAGTTCAGAATTTTTATTTCATTTAAATAACGTTACCTTCAAAATAAATTCATATGACAAAGTTCAATTTTGACTTCTCTATTTGTCTTTTTACGACCGCGGCCATATTTAACAAGCGCCGCGAATGGCGATATTACAATACAGATGCCGAGTCATCAAGTTACCAAGCATTCAACTACCTTAGGTTTTATATATTTTGTTTTTATAAACTATTTAATCGTTGTTAATTTATAAAATGAATCAATCATAGTTACTGTTATGTATTATTAATAGATTTTTAATTGCATGATATTAGGAATAAGTTCTTTAAGATAAACTTTTCGTGCAGCCTGTAAAACAAGGGCCCCAAAATGAACCGCCACCACAGCAACCACAACCGCAACCTCAGCAGGAGAAGAAAGAATCCTCTCCTCAACAGAATCCACAGACTCCACAACAGCAAGCTCCAAAGCCCCAGCCACCTCAACAAAAGCCGTTGCAACAGCAACCAACTCAAAAGCCACCTCAAAATCCAGCACAACCTCAACAGACGCCATCTCAACCGCCAGTTAAACCTGAGTCTCAAGACCATGTTGATAAAGCTGCTCCGGAACAGAGACCTCAAAACCAAAATCAAAACCAGGGTCCTTATCAAAAGGTAAATAATATTATTTACAACTACACATATAATTGTTCCTGCAATTATATTTTTAACTTAAACCTAATTTGATTTTCATAAATTACTTTTCTTTTTAGTTCCATTCAGATTAATCCTTTTTATGTAAGGTTTACACTTGTTTTAGGGTCAAATAGCTAGACTGATGGACATTAAGCAGGAGCAAGGTCCCAATGTAAATATCAATGAATATCATTGGGATAATTTATATGGATTGTTATTAGCATATTTATCTATTTCAGAATGTCAATGGCAACTTTGGTGCTAACAAACAGGGTGGTTGGAGTCAGGGAGGGCAGGGTAATAAGCCAGGGGGTAATTTTGGTCCAAAAGGCGGTAATTTTGGTCCGAAACAACAACAAGGGCAGGGCCCAGCTCGTAACCAGCAGAGGAATAACATGGGCCGTGGACCTCAAGATGGAGGGAAGCCACAACAAAGAGAAGTAAATGATTTAAACTTATAATTTGTATAGAAATATTTTTTATATTTACTAATCAATTCAATCAGTTCTCACAGGAACAAATGCTTGCTAATAAACTCAAAGATCTGGTGGGCCCATTGAATGACATACCTCCTATTGAACAACCGGAGGTCAAATTTAATGGCAGAAGTCGTTTATATATTGGTAATCTTACAAACGATGTTACCGAAGAGGAAATATTAAACATGTTTGGTCAGTTTGGTGAGACAGCTGAACTGTTTTTGAACAAAGAGAAGAACTTTGGATTTATAAAAATGGTAAGTAATTGAATAAATTTTTTGTAAATTATTTTGTTTTATATTTGATGGGTTTTACTAATTTTTGTTTGTAATATAGGATTATAGAGTGAATGCTGAAAAAGCTAAACGTGAGATTGACGGCAGAATGAGAAATGGCAGAAACATCAGAGTAAGATTTGCACCACACAACAGTGCCGTGCGCGTTAAGAACCTGCCGCCGTTTGTATCGAATGAGTTACTGTACAAGGCATTTGAAATATTTGGCAAGATTGAGAGAGCCTATGTCAAAGTTGATGACAGAGGAAAAACTCTTGGTGAGGGCATTGTAGAGTTCGCCAGAAAGCCCAGTGCATTAGGCGCCATCCGTAACTGCACTGAAAGATGCTTCTTTTTAACTTCGTAAGTACAATGTATGTTAAGTTTATAAGTAGAAATAAACGTAAAATAAATACTTATAATGGATAATCATTGTAGATCTTTGCGTCCCGTCATTGTGGAGAGTTTGGAGGAACCTGATGAATTTGATGGCTATCCTGAGAAGAATTTACCAAAGAAACATCCAGAATTCTTACGCGCCAGAGAAGTATGAATTGCAGTATATAAATAAATTTATAATTACAGATGTAGGATATGTGTTGTTATATAGTAACATTGTTTAATTCTAGATGGGCCCACGCTTCTCCGAGCCTGGTAGTTTCGAGCATGAGTATGGTACCAGGTGGAAGCAACTCCATGAACTACACAGACAGAAGGAGGAGGCTCTGAAGAAGGAACTGGCTGCCGAGGAGGAGAAGCTTGAAGCACAGATGGAGTATGCTAAGTGAGTCACTGCTCTACATATATACTTGTACTAGAAACCCTTAGGCCCATACTCTATTTCATGATAAAAGGTAATAAGCTATGCAGAGTTGATACTAAAGTATGTTTTACATAGATACGAACATGAGACGGAGCTGCTCCGCGAACAGCTGCGGCAGAGGGAGCAGGACCGAGAGAGGCAGAAGAGGAGCTGGGAGATGGCGGAGAGGGCCGCGGACGAGAGGAGGGAGGCGGAGCGGGCGCAGCTGTTGAGGCAGGAGGAGGAGCTCAGCAACCGGATGAGGCTGCAGGACGACGAGCTGCGGAGGAGGCAGCAGGAGAACACGCTGTTTGTACAGGTACTACACGCGCACACACACACACACACAGGACGAGCAACACGTTATACTAATGTGCTGCTTCTTGGATGATATTTTCAAGTAATGTCTTTAGTAGAAAAATATTCTTTTACTGCAAATTATCTAACAAGATACAGCCTTGGCCAAAAGTATTAGGCACCCCAAAAAAACCTTACAATTATAGATCAAAACAACTTTTACTTTTCAAAGCGATTTATTAATATTAATAACATATTAAAATAAACAAAAAAAACTTAAAATCTAGTTGGTCCACCTTTAGACTTAATCACTGCTGCAATTCTATTAGGCATGCTCCCAACAAGTTTAGTGCAGTCATGCCTTGTAATGGCATGCCATTCTAGCACCAACGCATTTTTAATGCCGTTTTCGATGTAATGCTGTACTCTTTGATTCTCCGCTTCAAAAGACCCCAAAGATGCTCGATTGGGTTAAGATCTGGGGACTGTGCAGGCCAATCCAACAAAACCATGTTGTTGTCAGTAAACCAGCGCATTGTATTCTCTGATTTATGACAAGGTGCATTGTCTTGTTGGAATATGACTCCCTCTAGGTTGTTGTCGCCGAAAATATTCGTTAACGAAGGCGCAAGCGCATTCTCAAGTACTTCTATGTACTTTTCACTGTTCATGCGACCTTCGCAAACAAACATTTCGCCAACTCCGTCGCTAGCCATGCACCCCATGATCATTATACTTCCTCCGCCGTGCTTCACTGTTGGTACGACGCAATCTGGATGGTATCCTTCACCTACACCTCGCCTCTGGAAGGTCACACCTGGTCCAAATACCTACTAAAGAAAGAAAAAATAAGGTTTTTTTAAATGATCATAACCTTCAAGATTTAAGAGACATAAGTCAGTCCTCACTATTACTCATAATTAAAAGAGTAATTTTAACTTACCTCCAAGTTTCACTTGTTAGACCACAACACATTGGACCAATCTTCCTCGGTATAATGTTGGTACGGTAGAGCCCACTCAAGACATTTTATTTTGTTTGTCTCTTAAAGCCAGGGCTTCTTCCTAGCTTTGCATCCCTTTAGGCCGGCTTCCCCAAGTCTTCGTCTAACTGTGCGAGCGCTTATTGGCTTTCCAACCTCTCCGGACAAGCCAGCATTGAAGAAGTTTTCATCGATTCTCGTATCAATTTTCTATCCTCGTGCTTCGTAGTCACACGTTTCCTGCCTGTTTTTGGTTTATTATAATAAGTACCAGTCTGAGCAAACCGTTTGACTGCAGATTGTACAGCGCAACGCGAATTTTTCACCAACTTGGCTATTTCTTTTTGCAACTTCCCTTCTTTAAATAAAAGTTGTATTTTTACTCGATTTTCATAGCTAATTTCACTCCTTTTCGGCATTTTTTAAAGAATTAGATGTTAATGTAGTTACTTAAACAGAAACGAAGGGTGGTTAACTCTTTAGATGGTAAAATACTACTGACCAAATATTGACCGATAAGACCGCAAGAAAACACAAATCCTTTGTTTTCGGTTACCAGGTGTTTTATGACCTTATGAATATGCCGCTCACCTTTCCAGGTAATGGTTATGATCCCAAAATATTATCCAAGAAACGAATTTATTTATTATTACATAAGTAAACATTAAATATGCATTTTTAAGGGGTGCCTAATACATTTGGCCAAGGCTGTATAATGTGTTTTTACTACATTTTGATGACACCAAAAATTTAGGATTGTTTTGAGTAACAACAATTATTTTTTTTTATCATACTACTACATATGGAGTGTTCTAGTGTGTCATTTATTCTATGTTGATATTCTCATGTGAGTAATAATAGTCATTTCGAATATCTTGGAACTGTTTGTTTGTAGTGGTACTGATAACTAATCATACACAATGAAGTTTAAAATTTAAAGAGTTATCTTAAAAAAAGTTAATTTAAGATATTTAAGTCATTGCATATTAATTCTCAATTAGATAACAAACTAAACACTTTTATAAATTAGTACACAATTTTATTTGCTTTTAATTTGTATCTTTATAAATGACTCATACATAAAAAAAAATATGAGTATATAAATACAAATATAAGTTGAAAATTTATGATTAAAATGGTTCAGTTAATTAATGTAATTATATGTTTCAGGCTCAGAGGTTGAATTCGATGCTGGATCGTCAAGAGCAAGGCATGTTCGACCACCAGCAGCCTATGGTGAGTGATTGCTTTGTATTAACTAGAAAAATATATGACTATCATACAATATATTGACCTGCAAATATTCAAATTTAATTTTGAATATTGACATATTATAATTAATTATGTGATTGCATATTGCAATTAATATGACAAATATTCTCATCGCAGTAGAACTCACTGTTGCGATAAAAAGTACTCACTGATGTTATAAACATTTATTATTCAATAGGAGCGTAATAAGTAATGTGTGGAAGCGAAAAAGATGTTTTTAGCTGTGCTACGATAGCAACTATATTATATACTATAACGACCTCGAATAATTGAAATTCTCAAATATTTACTCAAATATGCGTCATAATATTATATTGTATTCAAAGAAGCTTTATGAAGTTATACAAACAATAATACACGCAATTCGATTATTGATCTACATTTTCTTTTAAAATTGTCTTCATATTGTTTGAAAACTAGTTATTTAATCTGATAAAAATGCTTCGATTTAAAGGAGTATTATAAGAAGGTTGGGTTAATAAGGTCACATATTACACGCGACTTCTGACGTCACGACACAACTTTTTGACGTCATACGTTAAAATATTTAAACGCGGAGCTTATATGAATAAAGTTTATAATAGTTTTACATACGAAGACCTACTTTCATGACTGTCGATATAAGAGTATCTCTACTCAAGATGTGATTTGTACAGAGGTGTTATTATACAAGAGATAGAGTTAAGTGTTCAAGGGTTCTGAATACTAAGGGATTTAGTAAGCTTGTATCTTCGACGAAAGCATACATTTACTGGCGTTAGGGCATAGGTTGTTTGCGTATGAAGTTGAAACATGTGTAACTTCGCAAAAATTGGGAAGGTTTCCGAAAATGTGATCGGGACTTTATTTATGGAGGGGAAAATAACTGTTTATATCATGAGAGTAAGGGACGAACTGATGAAATAGTTTGACATGGATTGAAAATAAAATATTTAATACTTTTACATTACTGACGTTATAGATTTTTAAAATATAAAATAGTTTATATTTTAGTCGAATATTTTAAAAAATATTTTATAACGGAATACATACTAATATTATACTATTTATGAATATTGAATGTGAGATAGTTATCAAAAAAAACATCTTCACACAAATGTTTTTTATTTGGTACTGTTTCAAATGTTCTCATTTCCTTCAAATTTCACTATTACTATTGAAAACAATCCTTTAATATGAATTTACATAATACGGAAAAAAAAAATTGTATATCAGTAATTAGAGAGAAAGGTTAACGAAATCTTCGATTTACATAAAACCTTAATAAATAAATATCATCTAATATATGTAATAATGAGTAGCCCCTGTGATATATCTTAACTATTTACAGTGTACACATTGAACAACTGATTAACAATACGATATACTCATGTTTTAAGGATTGTATAGAATAAAACTTAAGTATCCATTATAATTTTGAATCCAAAATGCATTTTATAGGGCACATATTCAATTCTATATTTACTGACATCTACTACTTGGCTTTAGCTTTTTTATCAACAATTACGTCGATTGAAATGAATCAATATATATACATATACAATAAAATTGCTTGTGTATTTTTTTTAATGAATTAAACGATATCAATACCATTACAGATATGATTAAATAAGAATTCAAAAATATATACCAATCGATATACACATTACATGTGTAATTAGTATTTTAATAGATTGAAATTTAGGCCATCACTAACCGTTATATTTATCGTAATATGTGAGTTCTACTGCCCCAACACCATGCTAATATATATTTACGATTTATGAACAATAATATTGAAAAATTATAATTTTACAAACGAATTCTGACGTACCCTAGTGTCACCGCTCATTAACGTTTCAAAATGATTATAAATAACCGATCTTAATTATTATACTTCATACGATTAATATGAATTTATATACACGTGGAGAAAATTTTAACTAAAAGAATATGATTAAACTTAGTGGCTTAGAACTTGCTATATGTATTTTGACTACTTAAATTTACATTAAGACTTAAAACAGTGTTATTGTATATGATAATTAGTTTCTATTCAACAAATGACTTCCTTGAATCGATTGCTTTACAATTAACGTGACAATCTCCTACGGTAATCGGCCGACATGCGGGTTCCCTTACCTGATAACACTACCGTTGTCAACACATGTCGATGACGCGTTTCAAACATAATATGTGGCAATTACTGTGAATACGTGTGAAAAAGATATTTATTTATACTAAATTTGATAGTATTCATAAGAGGTATATATTTAGCGGGATTATTCTACAGAAAGTTATTTATAACAGAAAAATTCCATTGAATATGGTTGATGTGCAACATCTACTTAAAGAATTGTAGTAGCATTGATTTACAATTTTGTATTTCAATTTACAGCGTCCGATATTGTAAAGAATTTGACTTCTTCCTTGGAATCTATAACTAACCTTCATATTTTCGTTACATGTGTTAATTACAATAATAATTTTGAACTCGCCTTGTATCCCGGATGCCTACGTTTTGGATTACGCATATAGTTACCTATATTACATATCTTATGAAATAAACTTAAGTTTATAAGACTTAGTGTAATCGAATCTAAAACAATGACCCAATATCACATTGATAAAGGTTTAAGAATGTTACTGAAATTATTCTGTCTACGACGGACCACCTATTTGGTTGTGGTCAAAATAATTCAAATTCCCTTTCAGATTCAAATATATATTAGATGAGAATTCAAACATTTTGTTAATTTTAATGATTATCGAAGGATACAATTTTGCTATTCTGTTTGCGTGAGGAAATAAAATGTTATCTATTGGTCTTCACACGAAGAAATATATAAATCTGTGTATATTTTATGAACTAACATGTTATGTTCCTAATTCTTATGGCTGTAATGTATATCTACAATAACAAATAAGACATCTCGATAAAATTAATTGAACACTTGAAATTTTAGTATAGTTTACATATGAAAGTAATTATTTACTAATTAATATAAAAACGTTATAATTCTTAGTAAGCTGGATGCCAAGTATAATTCTATTATGTATTACAAAGCCAACGAGGCGTTACATCAGCGGTGACACTTCATGTACTATAACTTGATCGATTACAATTGAAATAACTTGTAGAACTTCTTAAACTTACAATAAATACTATTAAATGTAGAACGGACTGAACTGAAAAATCTTGACTCAAAAATATCGTATAGCGATAAGGTTGTATATTATTAGTCGTTACCTCGCGAGTGTGAATATGTCTCGAAAGGCTTTGAAACACATGTATCGTTACCAGGTATCGTTTGTATCCGTTACGTACTATAATGTTGATTTTGTTGTGTAACATAAGAAATATTGGCCAGTTTTTATGATTGCTCACTTTAGGATGGAGGCTTCAGAGAGCAGTTCGACATGCCACGTGGAGGGTATGAGGAGATGGCACAGAATCGCGGTTGGGACGGACCGCGCCAAATGGATGATTTTCCTAATAAAAGACGTCGATTCTAAATGAATAACTGATTTACGAACAGCTTTCAAATATTGGCTTCCCCTTAACATACTGTTTACGACCATACGACCGTCAGCGATGGAATATCTTGTATCTGTTATGTTCATAAGTAAATTATAAGAGAAGCCCGTATTTGAAATTACAAGGAGATGAAATAAAGATTTAATGTGCATAAGCTCTACCGAAGCGGTTGCTGTTATAACATTCTTATTATAATTTAAACATTTTATTGACACATCGTGCAATCCTTATAAATTTGTTAGTATGAGATGTTGTGAAACAATTTCAGTATAAGCTTGTGCACTTGAAATTGGTTATAAATTAAGAAATCAAGGTTAGTCGAGTTACGTTTAGTCTAAGTTTCTGATACTAATTTGAATCTTAGAGTAGCCTCGTAAGATATATTTTAGTTATCCAATAATTATATGTTATATTGTTAGAGTTAATTATCAAAACTCCGACTGCCCCAGGGAGTGGTAGACGTTTAAGGAATTAGCTGGTTTTTGAGGAAGATACTTTTCATTTTTAATGGAGACTCATTTTCACTTGCTCTAATAATCTATAGGTTTTTTCAAGGAAAGCTATGAATCTTTAATTTTTTTTACTCGTTTTATCATACGTGTTCTGAAAACTTTGGGCATATTCTTTGTATATAGATCATTTCACATTACACTTTAAAAAATATTTCTCTTGCTGCATCTGATTTAAACTATAATAATATTCTCTAGATTGTTTAGATTTAAGTGTTTCGCAATTTTTGAATATTAAGCTCTCAGAGTTGCTAGAAATTTCTGAATAAATAAACTGTACCCATTATTTTTCCATAAAAACTTTGAAATCTTCATGCGAAGGTAACTTCTATAAATGTATATTTTACTTACGACTAAATTCATCTATATATTTTTCAATCATGACAACATTTAAAAGTAACATTGAATCGAAAAATGGATTTAATGGATTTACATGCAGTTGGTCTATTTTCTTTGAACAAATAAGTATCTTTTCCATGTTTATTTTTGTATACATAATATTTATATTAAACTAAATGCTTGTCTGTCTGTGTGAGTGTATCGAGTGATGTTTGGTACTTGTTGTATGATGTGGTTAGCTACGTTAGTGGAGTGTCTACATTCATTATTATACACTTAACTTGGTCTATTCATGAACACCTTGTAATTTTACCTTTATATAAAATAAATAATTACTTTGTAGATATATATTTTTCTTTATGAACGCTGCCATACTATCAAAACTTATTATTACATATCTCCTTTCTAAACAAAACTTGAATATTTTTCGAAATATTTCGATTTCAATATACATATAACTAACTTCCTTTAAAATAAGTAATATTTTTGATATATGTACTGTTAGAAATAATTCAGGCAGTATTTCCACTATTTATAATATTCCAAGGTAACATTTAGGTGAGGGTAGCTTATAATATTGGGTGCTAATTCCCCTCATAAGGGTTTCCATTAAATAATATACAAATGGCGCTAGTTGACTGTCATAGGAATTCCCAACAAATATTAGAATATAAATAACTTTAAGCTTAGAATTGTGAAGTAGAGAACAATTTAAATCATTATAAATAATTATTATTACTAACAGTACATACATAACACACACGTGTTGCGTACATTTCATGGAAGTTAAAAGTAGGAATTTAAGAGGGATACATCATAAAAATAAGATATGTATTCTGTAAAATAAAAGAATAAAATCAAGAAAAAAATACAATTTTAATTAAAAAATTACCTATTACACTTATAAAAGTATTTCTACGTACTGGTGTCGTGTATGAAAACGGTTTGTGCATTATTTTGTATGAAAAAATATAATTTGTACTTAATTATTATGAATTGATCTATTAGAAACTCGGTGTTAATATGTCGAAAACTTCGTAAAAAACTTGTTTTTACGATAAAAAGGTTTTAAATGATATTCATGTGACAAACAACGAAAATATTTTCTTATATATTTATATTAGAATTTCATGGAAATACAATATAGACGCGTATACTACGTAGTGTCGATGTATGGGCTCACTTGTCCCTGTTTAATATTAATGTGTAACAAAACATGTATAATATACTCGACTCGAAGACATTGTTTCTTTGAAAGAATTATATGAATACATGAACTAATTTTAAAATTTAATATTTTACATTTACAACAAACAATAACATTTTTTGAACTTTATGTCTCTGGGATACCTGGTATTTTTTGTTTAAAAAAACTAGTGACAAGTTAATATTGTTGTATTGTAATGGCGTTTAAATAATACTTATAGAAACTTTTTTGTGGGATATCACGATCAACAACGTTACGAACGAAAATACTTTACAGTAGTAGTTTTGATAACTACGGAATCTACAGATTGACTCGTTTAATGACGGTAAGATATTACACGGACCGGAAATAACTTGCGAGATCATGGTCCTTGTGATCATATCATGGTGCTATTACAATTTAGTACTAGATTTACTTCTACTGATTTCTAGTGAATTCTTTTGTAATACAAAAAAATATATATATGCTTTTATAGAGTTATAACAACCTCCCTATTCTAATTTTCTTATATATTTTTAATAATTTCGATTCCAATTTTATTATGATAGTTTTTTTTTTATATCGATAAAAAAAAATTGAAATTTGAGTCTACGTGGATTGCAATAACTTGGAGAAAAATTTAGAGACATTGGTATGTCTCTCGCCATGCTTAAAACCAAAAATATTATAATTTTTACATTTCAGGATCTTTTCTAGGACAACCCTACGTCGCTCAAGGAACAGGGATTGTGATTGTAACAATTATTTACACTAAGGACTCCGAGATAACTTAACACAGAGTTCTTAGACGTTTTTTTTTGTATTTTATTTGTATCTTTATACATCAAATCGTGTTTCTTCCTTCAGTCTTCTTTCTTTATTTTTATCTTTTTATCTTAAAACAAAACATTACCGCCATATTTTCATAGTTTTAAGTGTTAATCTTTAATTTGTATTGTTTTTCAACAATTGTTACCACGCAAATTTTTAAAATAAAATTTGAAGTCGACTGAAACCAGTCAGTGCTCTATGTATAGAAGTTAACTTAAAGAATAAATATTATTAAAAAAAAACCTGCATCATATAGATTTCTTGTAAGGATTCTGTTTGATGTAACTTTTACTATATTAACTTTCACTGATGTAAAAAAATATCCTTAATTACGAAATTTATATTATAATAATTACGAAACCTATATTTTTCTAACAAAAAAAAGAATACTTAGTTAATATTTTCACCTTATATTTTGAAACGAAGACGGAAGGACACAAAATGAGAAGATCAAATAACTTGAAGTCGGACAATTTGCAGGGAGGTATTGGAAAGGTTATGTAAAATAAAACAGGGGCTGTTTGATATAAACAGTTCCCAGATATATTGAGTGGTTTGAAATATTAAGATGAGACGACTTATTAAGTTACGATCTATTAGCGTAATTACATATGCCATAAGCTTTTACCTACGAACCATTCAGCTAGTAGACCTTATGAGACGAATAAATAGACGAATTATTTTTGTGACCGACAACTATTTGTATATTACGTTCTCTATAGGAAAATATTCCTTGTATAAATGAAGTAAACTCTAGATTATTAAAGTACTGGATTAATTAAAAAATAAGTTCCGACATCGTATTTAATACATACTTACATAAATTCACTTTTTACAGGATGAAATATTCTATTCTGAAATTTATAGATTTCAGAAAAAGCTCACCTCAGTCTTAAAAACTTTATAAAGCAACCAACCTTTTGTAATTAATAAGTCTTGACTTTTGTTTTTCAGATTTTTTTTACTTTTACGAATATAGCAATTGACGATATTATCACGATGTTTTTGGTAAGGATCTATCTTATGTTTGTAGTTACGAAAGTATATATAAAGTATATATATTTTTTTATTAAATACACGATATTACATTATCTTTAAAAAAAAATCCAATTTGACTTCATTAGAAAAATAACAAAATACTCTTTGGGTTTATAGCCCTGAAAAGAAAAAAAATTGGTAATTATTCAATCATTTCTTGAATTTAGACTTGTGCTCCAGCTACGAATGTACAGTTGTTTCACATTTATATGTGTACCAGCTTGTCTATTTTCTAAATACAATACGCCGTAGACTGTCGATGTAATTCAAATAATGCATCATAAGAATATTTCGACGTTTGATTACCCAGACGCTTTCTAAATATTAAATATTATGACACAAATATTTTACTCAACTTTTTCAATTAAATTGTCTTGGGTGTACCATTGCTGACGAATTTAAAAGTTTAAAGTTGAACATAAAGATCCAATTTAAAGGAATCTTTGATAAAAAAATTAGGCTGTTAGGGAATTTACTAACCGTTGATGTCGGACGAGTGCAAGAAAGAAAGAGAAAATATAATTTGTCTACATTAACATCGCTATAATACTATTTATGTGGAGCAAAACTTCCTTACTGATCACTACAGTGAAGAGGTCAACCTGTCTTTTGACATCGGTAAGTTTCGTGAGAGTTGCAAGTTTAAAACCTATTACGTATTTACATTTACTTTATTCTCTAGAATTCTATCACTACGTTTATGTGTAAGACACTTGTAGATTGACGGAAATGCGTCATTCGTCTTTGAGTATACATACTAATATATTTCTATTTTGACACAATACTGAAATTCTTTGTTCCTTAAAATTTTCAGGAATCTAATACATTCTATAATAAAATGGTGATGATTCTTAATCTAATGACATTTATTTCTTATATAAAAGATTTTTATCTTACGTACATACCAAATCATTTGAATTTATGATGCGAGCGTTTTACACGGTTAAACAGTTTGAATGATCTGCACCACAATATTTCTCTTTTGAATATATTTAACTATACAAATAGAATTTTATTAAGAGACTTATACGTAGTCTGTACTAAACAGTAATCTTGTATTATATTCCCGTATCTCAAATTCTTAAGAAATCTTGAATTTTCTTCGTTTGAAAACATGACTCCTATACGCAAAACAGCAAAACGTCTGCAACGATTTTCATGATAATGTAATTATATTAATGATACGAACAACTTGTTTCACCAGGAATTATATTTTTCTTAAACTAAAAACAAAAAATTAAGTGAAAGATTGAATCCTATTTTTCCTGAATAAATCGAAACATGATATTGTCTGTTGAATATTTTATTACTAAACAAACATTTAATATAAGATTTTTGAATTCAATTCTGTCATATGGAACAAAGACAAATTTTTCAATACAATTTTAACAATATGTAGTTAATAACAATTGTGGTTATATTAACACAAGAATTAATATGTTTTGTATATTTACAGGTGTCAGTATTTAGCTAGACGTGGCTGCTGTTTTTTATTAAAAGGCAAGCATTTAATACTGATTTTATATATTAAATCGCTCATGAATATTGTATTGATGTTTTTTTTTATTATCGACAGCTGGCTTTCGAGGCACTGACATGAGGAAATGGCTGGGAGTTCCTGGAAAATGGTAAATGGAATATATATAATATTCTATAGTAACTTGAAGTAATATTAACGCAGCATAGTACTATATTATGCTATGTCATTATTGTCGAAGTTAAATACTTGTAGTGCATTTTTTGTTTGTATATTATTTTTAAGTAATGCCCAAAGATAGAGATTGTCTCCTTTATGATGAATTATATATTTTTTTTGTCTTCTTTTCCCGACTGATGGATAATGATGCATAAAATGATTAACTGACAAGGAGATAAAATGATAGAAAAGTTGTTATAATGTTATATTTTTATCTTGTTTTTCACTGTTTTCTTTTTATTTCCAGAGGCTGTTGGATCGTAGTGCCTTCGTGAACTTTATCTGTGGCAGATAATCTCTGCATATATATTTTATAAAAAATATCCTTTATTTGTGATTGTCCGATCCTATTAGGAGGAATTTAATGTCAATAGTAATTTTATAATTGTTAAAACATAACTATATCTTACATTAGTTGTTTTGACACGATTTAAATACTTTTCCTATGATATAAACTTGCACACATTGTCTCTGAACAAGTTTTTCATTATTGTATGTGTAAAAGAAAATTATAATTCGTCCTTACATGCGTTGTAGCGTCCGTGAGGTGTAGGACGGTGATTTATTATAAGCAAAAACGCTTAAAAAATTATATTATAAAGATAGAACATTGTTAATAGTTCAATCAAATTAAATGTCTGTAAACTGTTTAGTGTTCCGATACGTCATCTTCTGGTATCGTAAATGTTTAAATGTAATTTCAATACAAAACTGTAATCAATTAATGAATAGGATAATTATTATATATTTTGTACCATGTACCCACTTATTCAAAGCCAGCCAGTCGGTATGCAACGGAGTTAGAAAACACGTCCATTAGGAATGCAAACTTTGGCCAAAGCAGAGATCATTACGCGAGTCAAATTCATAAGGTGAGAACTTCTATAGCACAATTTATACGGCGTATAAACAATGATTTTATGTGAAATTTATCCAAAACATGATGATTTATTATCTTTTTGTCTTCTTTTCCCGACTGATATATAATGAAGCATAACCGATTTAATACTGATCATATATAATGGAAAATTTACTGTGATTAATTGAAATTAGATATATTAAAATGTAGCCTGTTTTGTTTCAGATTGGCGCGGCACTGTTAAAGATATTTAGTTGTAATTAGTACGAAACAAAAGTATTGTCTATGTTCCTAAAAAGTATATTCTTGTATAATCATGATTATTTTTCTATTGATTGTATATTTTGAACTACTGCAAAATAGTTGTTAGTTTATTAAACAGATTTGTTTATGAAACGAGTACTCGAAAAGTAAAATGAAAAGATTATGTTACAATACGACTTTTATTTGAATAAACCCAGTTACAATAGTGTGGTAGGTTATAGGGAATACTTGGATTCATTTTTTGTATGTAAGTAGTAGTCGCCTCGGCTCTCGAACCCAGACAGGTATCCCATCGCAGTGGGATTTTCAGTACATTCGCCATTTTCATATTTTTCCCAGCTTGAACAAGGAAAGGAAATAAAACCGACGTTAGATTGATACTCGATAGATTCAGTGAAGTATTCATAGGCCCGGCCGTGACTGCATGCAGCTGTAAGAAAAAAATTATTAAACATAATATCTAACTTCAGGAGTTCGGTACAGCCTACTTTGTTTTGTTCTTAGATATAAATAGTTTTGTGTACATCGCAGTAGTAGTCACTATTTAGGAAATGTTTTTTTGCTACTTATTAATATAGGTATTCATTAATTCAATTATTTTCTTGAAATCTGTATCAGTTAATAGTCTTGTGGAGTATATATGATCACCGTTCTAAGGGTACTGTTAGTCTTAGACCCAGTTTCACCAATCAATATTTGTTTAGTCTAATCATAGCATTTACTAACCAACCTTCAAAATTATAAATGTCTGTTAAAATATTTACGTCCCACGATGACAAATTAACAACGCATTATTAAACGTCATGTCTAATGACCGACTACCAAATTATTCGTTCTTGTTATAAGACGACCAAGTGGAAACTATAGCGTTTAACACGGCACATTTGCCAAGATGCACCACTTTATACTTTGATCGTATATATCCCTCGATACGTCACTATATTATATCGTTGGTTGCATACATTTAGCACACAAAAAGCTTTCTTTTCAATTGACTAGGTGTTACTTGTCAAAATCGTGTTGTCAATAAATTGTGTTATATGTTATTGTGTTATAAATGAGTCGTATAGAATCAAAGGCGGCAATCTACACTTAGACTGAAATCAGAGAATTGAACATTTTCGGTTTGTGTCGTCCGATTCAAAAATAATATTACGTAACTTTATTTTAAGTGATGTAAGTATTGATGCGCTTAATATTAAACTCTCATTGTGTACTATAACAATAACAATTTGAAGAAATTTAGAAAAGAATTTTGCAGAATGCCGGATTTGAAACCAAACATCTGAGAATGCCGTATTTGATACCAAATTATGTCGAGATTGCCGTTTATGAAACTGACTAAAAAATTAACTCGTTCAGGGTTGTCAAAAGGATATAAAAAAATGTTATAAATTTCTTTAAGTATAAGTGTATTTTAAAAAAAGCTGACAATTATAATTTAAAACTGTAACTTTTTTTCAGATTTTGTTCAGGAATATTAAAAGAACCGCATGAAAATCCATTCACACATATACGCATAGTATAGTGGTCAACTTTATAACACTCATCTTTTGTTAGGGTTAAAAAACATAGAATACAGTCGTGACGTGACAGCCCTATACATTTTACTTGAGTTTCTTCGCCAAGTTTTGTTTCCATTTTTCTGAGTTTCTCTGTCGTTTCCGGGCAAACTTATTTATTACAGGCTTAGAATGTACATCCATGATTCAATTTATACATATATTTTATAACAGTAATCACAATAAATAAAATAATTCAATAAAACACGGACACAAATTCGTTAGAAACTTCATACAGACGTCATTAGATCACGTGACCTCACGGACGCTTGTGATTGGTGGAATGAGTTAGAATGCCGGGTTTGATTCTTATGCTGTTAAAGATTGCCGGATTTGATGCTAAACCTGATTTTCAAAAAGGATTTCACTGCGAGATAGTCGTTTTTGTTATAAAGTAAATGAAGTACGTAACGTTATTTTAAATTTCCTGTGTGTCCATATAAAAATCTCTATTTTGACAAAATATGCAGATTGCCGCCTTTGATTCTATACGACTCAAATATAGACATAAATCGTGTTCAAATTATAAGAAATAAAAAGAAAACTTAATTTGCAATGTCATAGAAAAGTTGGAGGCAAAATCATCATACTAAATGAAATTTTAATTCACTTAAGTAATTATAACAGGGAAATAGTCGAAACTGACAAAACAGATGACGTACTATGGTTACAAGAAATCAGGGCTGTGATTGTACAATTGAGTTTTGACAATGCCATTAACATTGGGTTAGTCATTTGGCCGACCGCTAGAGCAGGAATTAAAATTAGTGGCTGGTTAAGATATTTAAACGGACATTTGTGTGTGGTGGAACGCTGGATACATCTAACAGAACATCAAACGCCATAACACGATGTTACTTATTTATCATTGATTGGTGAAACTGGGTCTTAGTCACCTCTTGGTGATTGATATAAAATATTGTATTGGAGATGATACTAACAATAAATTATTATAAAGATGCTATTGATAACATTTGATATGTTGTCTTTTGTTATAGGTGTGTATTTATACCTGCGAACTTTTTTTCACTACAGCCAGGTTGAGGATACGTTCCGTTGTTAGGATAAAAGTCTGCGTGGCCGTGACTCTCCCCGTAACCGTAAACTCCGCTACAAGTGTGTATTATGTCAACATACTTTGCATCACTATAATCTAATTTAAAGTCGTCCATCATGTCAGGGACTTCAAACAAGGGCCGTGCTGGATCGAGACCTTTAAATATTAAAATTATGATCATTTTTTAGCAATAAGTGCATCCACTAGTTTCGGATACATCACCTGTAATACGGGAAACCTTTTCTGTGCAAAACATGCCCGCGTAACCCATAACATGAGCTCCTAAACTGTGTCCGATTAAGTGTATATTGTCACCATTTACATTAAATGTTTTTATTAAAGCGTCAAGGAGCTTAGCAACCCTTTTTCCGACGTATCGTGTACTACAAGCGGCGAAGGGATAAATTATATTTCTGGACAGCTCATTCCAGTCGACGGTTATAACATTCAATTCGTACTCTTTTAGGAAACTATTTTTCATATTCTGTAGCCAGGTTACATTCTCTCTGGTGATCCAACCGTGAGTGATGACTCTTATGTCATTTGATTTGTTAAAGTATGTGCTTGTCAATAATGAATTTCCTTCAGGAATTTCGAGTGGCTCAGGATTCATTGGATTACGCCTATAACAAATCGTTGAGCAAAATGTAAACCATATAAGTATTTAAAGACGTTTAATTCGACAACTAGCTTTACTTTCCATATGTGCTGATTTAGTTTTTTTTTCTAGTTTGCATTTACCTATGTTGAAATATTGCGGTTTATTACAATGTTTTTTCTTTTTAGGGGCTGTCCATTAATCACGTGAGGCTTGAGGGGGGGGGGGGGGGGGGGGGGGGGGGGGGGGGGGGGGGGGGGTTTGAAAAAAATCACGAAAATAACACAAGGGGTAGGGGGGGTGTAGTAAGATATCTCGTGTATTTATTTTTTGTCTAACGCGCGATTTTTAAACAAATATTAATTTATTATGGTCCTGAATTTCAGAATAAAATAAGATTATAGTTTATACCTGTATTTAAATTAAGATAATATTCAGAAAATTTTAAGATTCGTTGTAGGTACTAAAAATACACGTGATGTTGAGAAGGGGGAGGGGGGTGTTCTTAAACCTCACTACGTATCACCAATGGGGGCGGGGGGGTTAAAATATGCTAAAAAAAGATCACGTGATTAATGGACAACCCCTTAGGTATTGAAAATAAAATTGTGATATTTTATACGTTACCAAAATATTATGATATCAAATCACCTTGTATATAAGTAGAAATATGTGTCGCCTAATAACATCTCGGTCGTGTCTTGTGGTATTTCAGAGAAGTTCATTACATGGCTGACTCCGTTTTCGTCCACGTAGTTTAAACTTTCATCATTGCTTTCGTCTGAAGATTCTGTACGAACCTCCAATATAGATCTTGCGAATGTACATAGAATATATAAAATTATTCTCTTTTCCAACTGCATTTTCGTGATAAATATTTTAACTAGAACGAAACACTCATGAAAGGAATATGTTATATGAGACGAGTGTGGTAAAATTGTTTTACATCGAGGTAAGTTCTTTTTCTATCAGATAATAACTTCCGTTTACATCTTCGTTTCATGTTAAAGACTTCAGTAACATGTCATTATACTATTTCGATACAAAACTAGGTGACTTTAATAATTGTTTAGGTACTATACAGGTATCAAAGTATTGGTATTAGTGTAGTGTTATGCTAAGGAGAGGGTATAATAATAAGACACACATGAAATCATAGCAACGTTATTGTATTTTTTGAATTGAATCTTTTGTGTGCTTACACAGTAAACACTGATCTCAACACTTACAACTAAAAATATTCTATAAACAAAAACGAAGGATATTTAATAATAAAATGGTGGCTGGTGCAATGGTCGTTGAACCAAAGCGAAGTATAACTACTACAGTTATTACCGTTTCCTTGGAATATTTTAAAAGTGCTAGAGGTAGTATACCATAAATTTTGAAATAAAATGTCACTTATTGTGCTGAGATATTGTGCATTTGCCTTAAGTTTTCAATATTGGGTGCCCTGTTTCACCGCCTCATTTTGCCAATGTGCACTTTAATTAAATCTCATACGTTCCTTTATACAAACTGATATATACGATAAAGTTATAATATTATTCTAATGTATTGCTATCTTTTTCCTTTTAGTCTATAGAAATTGTCAACTGACTTTTAGTGCTCTATTTATATTAATAATCGTTTGTTATTTCCTTTAAGAATGATATAAAAACAAAGGTTACATAGAAATATTGAAAGAAATATAATTTTTAATGACAATAATAATTCTTAACTGTTAAGATTCTAGTCTTTGAACATGTAAATAATAATTTAAATTTAACGAAATGATAAATATCGCTTCCACTACCTTCAAATGGAGACTAGATATCACATGGTTTGAGCTATATCGTTATTTTCGATTCTTATTTTGTTTCTACAAAACACTGTTAAAAAATCTCGTGGGAAAAAAAATTATAATTAATTTAATTATTCAATCATATTGAGACTCAAAATTAATGCGATTCAGAGAAAGTAGAAAAAAATCAAACATTAAACATACATAAATTACATTGAACAACGAACAAATTTCATTTATATAAATAAAAAAGTCTACAGTCACATAAATTGAAGGCAATTTTAATAAAAGAAAAATATAATTCAAACTCATTGATAATTTTTAATATTTCCGTAACTATAAATAATAAACAGACAATAATGGCGACGCACAGATAATACACAACAACAGTTACTAAAAAAGAAACATGAAATGTCAAAAAGGGAAATTATATTAACCATGCATACTTGAATTTGAGTTGGTCAGTCAAAATCATTGAGCACACAACATAATATATAACGTAATAATTGTATTGAACAGTGGGTTTATTGCACATACATTTGTCACTAACAATCTAAACGTATCGCGTACCTAGAAAAAACCAAATAAAATAAAGAAAAAGTAATATTTTTTTATCCTACTGAGTGACGATTTATCGCTTAATCTATTCGACCGGCAGTGACCTCAGTTATGGCGCGCGTGTGTCAAAACACAACACAACATACATCACACGGCTAACTTTCGTGACAGACGCACACGCTTACACTACACCTTAATAAACTACCTAACTAATATTATAAGTTATTTTTAATTTCTTTAAAGCGTACATTGTATTCTTATACCATAGGAGGTTCTTAACGATAATGACATCTTTAAACATTCTCCCGAAACAAATTTAATATATTCAAAATCGTGTAAAATCATCCATGCACGAGATATATTGATTAATCAATATACATTTTGTAAATAATACTAATATAACTAACAACAGTCTTAATGTCGACTGCTACGTAAAATAATTAAGGTTGTCAGGTGGGATAGTTTGAAACCTAGTGGGCGTGCTATTATAATCTGTATGTTCTAAATTTGGAAATGTCAAATCATAAATACTTAGAATATAAATTACTATTTTCGATAACAAAAATTAAAGTTTTATCATAAAATATATGAAGATTGTTTTGGTCAGAACATGCGTTATTCAATATTTGTATGAGCACCTTTTGTCATAGCGTTGTGCCACATGGTTTAGTTCAGTATAACATTAGTGTACGATGTTATTATAACGAACGTCTTAAATAAAAACGACGCTAGTGCCTCACGAGTACTGGCTAACTTCATAGAACCCCGTTCATACAATACCTAAATAAATAAGTGTATAATATAATATCTAATATGTTTTTACATATGTACATTTAAAAATAAACAAAGGTGTTACATAAAAAAAAAAAAACAAATAAAAAAATTTGTACTTGAAATAAAGTCCATTTAAAACGGTCATATCGGTTGCTCGATCTATATACTAATTCTAACTAAGATTATTTGTGTCGTGTATATAATATGATGGCACACGTTCGCCGCTTCACTATTCATTCCCAAATCATCGCGTTCAAGGACTAGCGTCCGTTGGAGGCCGGAGTGTTCCGCGGAATGATTAGAGCGTCGAACGCGCGTGTCCTTACTAAACATTAGTTGTACGTAATTAATAACTACAATATAATATTGGTATGAGCGGCGTCGTGGATGCTCACCCGCTCATACCTAAAGCGTTTATGTGTACGTATCACCGCACCGGCTGCCCGCCCTCATGGGCGCCACGGGGCGTGGCGCATCAAACAAAACGTCTCGGAAGCATTTACTCTATGATAATAACATCGATATTACACTGGCGAATATCACAAACCGCGATCACGATAAACAATATGCACGGAGCGTCGCGACGGCGAGGACGCGAGCGCGGTCACATCTAATCGTTAATTGACTTTAATATACGAAGGAGAGCAGCCGGTGCGGGACAGAACGCCACTGCATCCACAAATACACGTATGTACATACAGCCCCAGTCGACCGGCGTCGGACTGGACGCGTCACTTAAATATTATTACATAGTAGTAGGTTGGACCAGCGAGGCTGGCGGTAAGGTGGGATCAGAACACTCCTCTCAGAGGCAGGAGAAATAAACAACTTGTTGAGACGGACCGACCACGTCTCGTGTGACAAGTATGTCGGCCGTGTATACGATACAAATATTTTAATAGTTATCAAAAACACTCTAATATAAGTCTGACAGACCACCATCCTTCCGGATGAGTGGAATAAAGCAAAGTTTGAAGGAAAATCAAGCTTCTGCTTGTAACTGAAATAAATTAATAAGGTACAATATAATGCTTAGGTGTTCATCGTATCGTGTTTAACTATAAGTAATTAAATAAAGTTCTTACATCAGTGCCGCGAATGTCAATGATGTACGTAATATGTATCATATCATTAAACCTCATTCGAGAATCAATACATCCAACTCCGTCGCAGAATATACCACGTCTATATGAAACCTACTCCTTCTATATAAATATGAGACCGCGACGGATCGTCGAGGCACGGCGTCGGTGGGGGGTGGTGATGAAGGGCGGCGGGTCAGCACACGGTCTCGGCGGGCGCCAGCGAGGACAGCGGCGCCAGCGGGGACAGGGGCGGCGGCGCGCCCAGCGGCTCCGGGGAGCGGCGGCGGAGCGCCTGGCGCTTGCGGAACTCTAGGAACTCCTCCTTCATGGCGCGCACGCGGGCCTCCACGTCATCCCGCGAGGGCCGCGCGCGGGTCCGCTCCGGCGTGGAGGGGGTCGGCGTGCGGGTCGCGCGGTCGAACTCGTAGTGCACGTCCACGGAGCCCGCGTCCGCCGCCTCCAGCCGGCCCGAGCCCGGCCGCGACACGGGCGGGGGCGGCGGCGGGCGGTACGGCGGGGGGCGCCACTCGGCCAGGCTGCCCGTGCGGCTGCTGCGGTTGTGTTGGGACGACGACGCGTTCTTACTGCCGAACCCGCTCGACGACGACCTGCTCTCGGGAGAGGCCTCGTGCGGCGGCGGAGCGGGCGGCTCCACCGGCGGCCGGGGCCTGGCGTGACGGACCGGCGGCCGGGCCCGGGGCCGACCGAGCACGCACACTCGCGACGGAACGTCGAGGGAGACGCGCGGGGGACGGGAGCGGAAGGAGGGGGGCGTCGGGAACGAGCCGTCCGCTGAACTGGGGAAGGGCACCGAGCTGAGGTCGGAGATGTGGAGAGGCGACCACGGGGTCCAGGCGGGCGCCCACACCGGCCACGACGGCCAAGAAGGCCATGGCGGCCAGGACAGGGTGAGGGCCGGCGAGGACGCGCGGAACAGAGGCGGCGCGGCGGCGGGGGACAGCGGCGCGCGCAGACGCGGGAGGAACCCGCCGTCGTCCGAGGAGGAGGGTGCGGCGGAGGGTGCCGGCGAGGGTGCCGGGGACTCCGCCAGGGACGCCACGGGCGCCGGCCACACGCGGCCGCCCCACACGCGGGACTCGTCGCCGCAACGGGACGCCGGCCACACCCAGTTCGCAGTGAATCGCAGACATTGTACTAAACTCGATATTCCGCTTTCTCTAAATCTGGTAGAAATTGAAAAGATACATTTTTATTACACGTCCAAACGAAAATGATAAAAAATGTGTTTTACGTTAGACTAACCTGACTTCCTGTTAATTAAGCGTGAAAACAGTGTAACTTGTTAATGTAAATAAAACAAGGAACATATTGGTTATTAACGTTATTGTTAAAGACGTAATCGTTCATATGTAAGTGTATGTCTATCTGTTTATGTCGACTTACTTCTTAAAAGGCACTTGAGTGCTGTCAGCGGCGCGCAGGTCGGTGAGGCGCGCGGCTACCATGTTGTATGCTGTAAACGAATAATTTCTGAACATTAACGCGTGCAGACGCCGCTCAGCTCGTGTGTCGGCCGCTGCCCGCCACCACTCATCGAGACTGACCATCACCTCCCCAACCCTCACAAACCCTCAACCCATTTTAAACACCATATTGTCAACTTGAAAGCAAAGCTTATCGAAAATGTTAAAAAAACTCCTTAGAATTCCATTCTATACATTACTATTATTTATTTTGTCAGTCGTGCGTAATAGTTGTTTAAATTAAATTTAATGTTTTTCGATAAGCTTATAACAGTAACATGTTAAATAAAAAAAATACGATCGTTGGATCCATAAAGCCCGTTGATAGGTTTTATTATTAACGAAATCTGTCACAGTTCTCAAATTCTGTCATTGATAGTTGACAGGAGATGTCAAAAACTTTGACAGTTTTCATTACATATAATGCTACTGGTTTCTTTAAAAAAAATGTCAAAAATAAATTCATATATAAAAACAAGTATTTTCAAGAAGTTACAGAAGAAAAATAAATTATAAATAGAGGTGGTAAATATTAATTAAGTTTTAAACAATAATTAAATAAAAAATACTTTTCTAAGATACATAGTGAACAGCTACAAATAGCAAAAAAGCCCATAGTGATATTATTACAGCACAGCAATATATGAAGCAGTAAGCTAATGGGAATTCACACAACAGGGATCAATTGTAATTACATTCACAACACACGCGAAACTAATTCAATTAGCTAATATTGTATATAAAAGTGTAATGTTTAAATTTAACGTGCTTGATACGCAATTGTTGAATTTGGGATAAAAAATATTTAAATTACGATATTCATAAATCATTTTTAAGTAAATATTTTTTTTTATTTCAAAACCTCAATCGTGCAGGATGCGAGCATGAAAATAAATGGTGTATATTGCCTCAAGACAAACTAAAATTAATGATAACTAGCTTCTTCACCGACAATATGGCCACACAAAGTTTTCTATCTCACACAACCAGAGACAGAAAACTCTAGTATATCTATCTAAGTCACTGTCACAGTTCTATGTCGTGTACAGGGGTCGTTGAACTCGGATGCTGGGAGCGGGCTGGCGGCCGCTTCTCCCGTCGATCTCACCTTTCTCCTGTTTGCGGCGCTTCCTCTTATTGCATATCTTGACGGCGCAGACCGACAGTATGATGGCCACTATGAAAAACAATATCCCTCCGACCACCCCGGCCGTTATGGCCTTGTGTTTGACCCGCGCAGGTACAGGAAACTTCACTTCCTCAGAGCTCTCGTAACTGGTCGCGGAGTTGGCGAGTACGCGGAAATAATACGTCCTGCCTCCGACTAGATTCTTGACTGAAATATATTTATTACATATTAAACACTGAATATTCATTTGCTATAATCAGAAGTCTAATAACTCACCCAAATAGCTGGTCTCCTCGGGTCTTATCTGTCCTCTATTGAGTGTCTTCCACTGAGCGTCTGTGCGGTACTTGATAGTGTAGTACTGAACCAAGTGAGACCGCTCCAAAGGCGCTTGCCATGTTATCAAGAAACCATTGTGGACCTCGGTGACTGTCAAGTTGCGAGGGGGTCCGGATTTTGGACCTAGAGAACACTCATATTAATAAAAGAATTATATTATAAACAAATGTATTAGAGGATTTTAGTATGAGGATGTATTAGTTAGGTTCAGTTAGTACCGGAGCCTTCGGGTGCGTTCTGAAATATCTTTTCATCTACCGGCCCCGCGGCGGTAGGGGCGGCCTTTGGCTTGGCACCTACGTCTATAAAGGATATTTTGTTAGTAAAATTATTGTGACATGTTAGTTGTTAGTAAGGAATATGGATTGAATATTAATATCACAATTAACTCACCAAGAGTCCTTATAGTGATAGCCTTACTCATCATTCCTTCACCGATAGTATTCTTACTGTTCACTTGAAACTCGTAAGTCGTACCAGGTTGGAGACGGTTTATTGTGACCTAAATAAAAAAAAACTAATTATTATTACTTTGTTTGGCATGTATTGATGATTCATGGACTATCCTATGTACTTTTAAGCCTAACTTTAAAGACTTAATCGACTCACCGAGGTAGCACCAGATGGCGTGACTGGTACTTTAGTCCACTCCGAGAAGCCAGCCTCTCTGTACCATATGGTATAGTCCTGTTTATAGTCCGGTCCGCCCGCGTACCCCGGCTGCCAGCGTAGTGTCACTTGGAACTCAGTGGCCGTGCCTGACACGTTGTACGGCGCGTGAGGCTGCGTGCCCTCTATAACTAGTTGAGTGTCCGCTACTATCGTTGCCACCTAAGAAATGATGGAAGTTAGTTGCTATGAATGAAAGTATAATTGTGATATAGCCATCACCAAATAAATATAGTTGTTCTTAATGAAAACGTTTGTTATAAATGGGTCTTACGAAAAGTTGGTTAAAAATAGTTCCTATTTTATTGGAAGTGCATTTACATGGGTTTGAAGATAGGTTAGTTGATGTTTCCTACCTCGTTGGACGCCACACACTGGTATATACCGAAGTCCTGTCTCCTGAGCGTGTCGATGGTGATGTTTCCTCCTAGCGCCCTCACTCGACTCTTCTGTAGCGGGAGTCCGTCTCGTCTCCTCCACACTACGCTCGGCCGCTGCGTTCCTTCAGCCTCTTGAGCCTCGCAGTGCATCTCCACTGATTCTCCTACCTATATACAAGAAGTAACAGTTTAAATTTTCTATTAGTAAATGTTAATTTAAATTGGCTAATAATGAAAGCTTCACTCACTTTTCTCTGATACAAAGGCTCGGGTTCCACTGTGAATACTGGCGGCTTACGTACCAACACCTCCATAGGACCTGGGAAAAAACAAAAAATATGGCTTACAATGGCTTATAATTCAACAGATTTCTTTATATTCTGTTTTTGTTCTTAAACAATAAGAGATTTAAATAAAAAACATATTTTCGGATGTACTACGTTTTCTATTATTTAAAACTGCATACTTCAGTCGTTTCGGTTACTTTGCATCAACCGTGATCACGGGCAGACGGGATAAAAAAACTCGAGTACATTCGAAAAAAATGTTTTGTTTAAATGAATTCTCGCGAAAGTCTTAGATATCATTAACCAGAGATTTTGATATTAAAACAATTTAGTCCATATTAATTTGAGAAGTAATATATTCCTAATATTTTCTTTGCAAGCCCTATTTATTTCATTACCTGAAGATCCTTGTGTTCCTTGTGCGTTATACGGCGTACAAGTGTATCTTCCCTGATGGTTCTGATTGACGCGTGTGAACAGCAGCGAGCCATTGTTCATGATAACTATGTCCTTGGTCTGATACGGCTCCAACAGTCTTTTGTCCTTCGTCCACGTGACGTACTGAAGGGGCGGGTTGGCTTTTATGTAACACTGAACTACACCCGCCAAGCGGAACGGCAGGTATTGTACTGTCGGCGTAAAAGTCACCTTCGCTGGGTCTGTAATACATATTGTATCATTGAATACGGTATAACAACTACAATGAATATGTCATCTATCTTTATATATATTGTTAGAAATGAAAAACACGTTATGATTTTTAAAAAGAAACGGTCGCCGGCCAATGGTCAATTAGTTAATATTCGAGACTAATTAGAGCAGAGGTTCTTCTCTTAACAATAGTTGAGAACAAAAAGTGTCTGATTGTCAGTAATGGCTCTCCTTATATAGGTGGCTTGAGGGTTGCCAGTTTAATAATTATTTAACAATATAATTCTTCTGTGAGTGTGTGTCACTGAATTTCTCTCAAACGACTGGACCGATTTTGACGAAATTTTTTTGTGTGTCTTCAAGAGGATCTGGGAATGGTTTAGATTCACAATTTCGTCCGCTGGACAATGTCTTTTTATTTAATTTATTAGTAGTTGTTGATACAAACTTTTTTTTTGACATTAGATTTGATAACTAACTAATATGTCAATCATTCTGTCGCACTTCAAAACACGGAGATATATGGCTTTAATAGGTAAACTACAAATAAATATAAATAAAAAAACGTAACAGATATTTCTTGATTATAGGTTACGAAGTTCGCCGGGACTTCTAGAAGACTATACAATTCTGTTTAGTTCTTTATTACCTCATTGTTTTATTAACAATATAATTTTTATGTTATACATACATTCGACGTTGAGGTACGCTGAGGCGCTTTGAGGATCGCCGATGCCGTTGGAGACTTCACACAGGTACTGTCCGGAGTCATCTGCGGCTACGGGGTTGATGACTAGGGCTCCGTCTCGTCTGATAGTCACACGGGTCTCCAAAGCCGCCACTTCAGCCACCGGCGCCCCCTCGCGGAACCATTTCACAGTTACATTCCCCGGTAGAGCCTTCGCCTCGCAAGAAAATTGCACCTTTTCCCCTTCCAGTTTCGTTTGGTTCGTTGGTGGCATCTTGGGAGAAGAGAAGAGAAATTTTATGTTTGTTATGTTTCAATGAAAACTATATTTTATTCCTAATACATATACGATTCATTTCAGATTGTATTCTCACAGTAATGACAGCTCCTCCGGCGATGATGACGCGGGCCGTGTGTGACACCTGCCCCTCCCCGTTCCTCGCTATACATGTATAGTCTCCAATGTCCTCATGTCGTATGTTGCTTATCCTCAGTTCAGTTCCGTCGTTGAATATACCAACAGTTCCCGAAGGCTCCACTGGGTTCGCGTCTTTGTACCATAGTATTTCGGGAGTTGGTGTTCCTTCGGCTTGACAGTTTAGGATTATGGCATCACCTACAATTTATTCTCTTAGTAGCTATAGGATATAAGTATTTGAATGGTATGAATTCCTACAGACCTAAATTGACGTATATAATGTCTTCCGGTGTGATGGAGAATCTAGGTGGCGCGTGTACGTCCAGATGAAACCAGGTGCCATTCTTGTGTTGGTTTGGAGATCGATTGAGGAACACCACCTTGCACTCGTACCAACCCTATGGTATGGGAATGTTATGAAACCAACTAATATATTCATCTCATTCCAAATAGCCCATCACGGAGTTTAGCTCTTTGTTTAATCTTTGGAAAAGATAGGTATAATTCCTTAAAATGCAAAGACAGGCCAAAAGTAGGTATATCGTATGACTGCTTATCAATTACCTGATCCGATTCTCTAATATTAGTAAGGTTGAGGCTGGCGGCTCCGTAGGGCGAGTCGGGAGCCACTCGCGACACTCGGCCCTCGTAACCTTCGCCGCTGTGCGTCGGATAGCTCTCATACCAGATATAGATGGGAATGTCCTGTCCCTACAGTTAATAAGAAAGTTAATATCCACTAACAAACTGGCGCGAAAATAGGTCTTCATATACATAGCGCCTAACTACATACTTAGCACATACATGTAGATATAACTACTTACTATTACGTCTCAATAACAGTTTACATCGAATTATCTTGTACAGGTTATCATAAACAGTACAAGACAATAACCAAGCCATAAACAGAAGATTCACATATCTACAAACATGCAATGATTACAACAAAAAGTATGAGATGCAAATAGTACCACGCAGACTGAGACACATTCAGAATTCGTCAAAAGAATTGTTCTCAAGAGTTCAAGATAATATAGGAAATTAATGAAAACGACATGAAACATGCACAATGATAAAATAACTGAATGTACGATTATGTAACATGCGATAGACATTATACCGGTACGTAGCGTATGTAGCGGTTAAAGTTAATAATAAGTTGATTGCATGAAACTAAAGTTGAAGTCGGAAAAAATGGGCGATTTCCATAGCCACAGGAAGAGAGAAACAGACAAAACCTCCGCCAGTGCGCGAGGGAGTGCGCGTGCCCCGTGACAGCGTGAGCTAAGACGTGCGCCCCATACTATCATAGATAATAAACTGGTGCACCCAAAACAAAAGGTTTAGGCGTAAATAGCATTATAGAAATAATTATGTCATCGTATAAAATGTGGTAGTGTCAGTGTCTGTTTAATAATGAACGGGGGTCTGCTGCTCTCTGGGACTCGTTTCGAAGGCCTTTATCACTGTGGTGGTAGTCGTTATCAAGTAACAGGCGTCCAAGAGGCGGTTACATAAGGCGTGCGCGGGGGGTGTCGCGGGGCGAGGGCGGCGGGGGGGACCCTCGGCCCGCGGCGCCCGCGACCACTAGCACGGGACTATACGAGGTGTCTGACGCGACACAAGCACGAGATATACTTTACATTCCGCGCGGCGCGTCGCCGTGACGAGCCGACCTTTACTGAACAGAAATACACACACGAAAGATGAGCAGCGTTGTATTGTAAGAGTGGAGTGTTGGCCGTCGTACCGTTTCGCCTACCTTCTTCTCCCACTGCAACACGTACGGCACAGGGATGTCTTCGGGGAAGTCGACCTGGCAGTTGAATACGACGCTCTCTCCGAGGATGGCCGTGATGTGTACAGCATCTTGATGATCTTGATGGCAGGTGACTGGACAGGAGGTCACAGTTAAAGCATGGACCATAGGAACAAGTCAAGTTATAAAGCGATTCAACGTATTACAGTACCCGGCAGGTAGACTAGCAGCAAGAAGAGCAGGCCGGCGGCGATGTGCGGCGGTTGCTCGGCGCGCCAGCCCATGCCTGCGCTCCCATGTCACGGCCGCGCGCGGCGACTCATCCTCGGTACATCACCTAACAAGAACATACACCATTTATAAATAATATCATATAGCATCCTATTGTATGATAATAAAACATATTTTGTCTATCAATCGTCACAAAGCAACCAAACTAGGAGTAAGTAATTTCCTACATTGCTCATATTTTCCAGAGAATACCTTTAGTTTCCTTAGATATTTCAGTTTCAGTTTTATGATAAAGACTAGAAGATTTATTTACGATGGATTCAAACTTCTTATTATTATGTACTATATCATGATCGCAAACAAATTGAAACAAACATAAGTATCATATGAGGTTCATTTTGAATGTGTTACTGGAGTTTAGAACTGTAATATTAAGTCTTCAGTAGCCACTGCGCTGCATTCACTTGGATAACAATCCAGTTTTAAGTGGTCTATTTTTATTACTCTGTACCATACCAGCGTGCCAAGTTCAAAATTTTAAATTCATTCTGGTTACAAAACATTACATCTTATATTTTAAAATTATAATGTTTTTCACGGCTCGAATCTCCGTTGTAATTCAATACTAACTGCTATCAGAAACCGTTAAATTGTTTTGAATATCCAGCTTACATTTGAGTTCATCCAATTGAAAACTTGAACATACAATGAAGCAATGTGAAAGCACTACGCAACAATACTTCGCAGTTTTCACTGGTGATTTTTTCAATAATCAGCTTAACAAATATCGTTTATAAGAGCTTAGTGAATATTTGTGTTGTATTCCTAGTGTAATTAGGTGCATAGCCTTATGTTACAGTATAATAGTTTCGTCCTTGGACTATTTTCCTTGCTACAATAATTACACTGCATCACGATAACTGCGCCCCCACCACCGGTTCCAACCCTTGCCCTCTACAGAACATTCGTGTTACCGTAATCAGCTTATTGATTTTGTTATTACGCGGTTTTATAAGCTACTTTTAACTAAAGTGTGACCGCGGCTAGAGTTTTGTGAGTATTATTCATCCGATAACAGTTCTCGAAAGGCCCACTTAGAATAACTTCCTTTTAGCAATATAAATATGCCATTATTTTTCTGTTTACTCTTGTAGAGTGCATGCCATCAAATATTTTTATTAGCTAGAAATATTGGGGAATATGTTAATGGAAGGATTTATATGGTTTTTGTGTGAAAATACAGTAATATAATTCACATGTTGTTATTCTATAGCCTAAGGTGATTTTGGATCAAAGAGACGCTGATATAAAATATTTTTTTTTATAAATCTAAATATATTTTATAGTTAAATTTGCAATTACTATTTTAATTTTTTTAATCCTACATCACTATCTATGGGAGTTTTCTATAAGGGCCAGAGTTTTTTTTTTTAGAAATATTGAATAGAAATAAATATCTACAATATTTGATTATTTTTTTAAGAAACATGGTATAATAATTTTATATAAGAAATTGGACTATGACGTCATAGAATGACAAATAAATGGTGATTGGTTATTTTTAAAGCTCCTATGTACATATTTCATCAGTGAGGATAGTTCAATGAAACAGCTAATATTGTAGGTATATCAATTCATTATAAAATATTTAACGAATATACAATTCTATGTAAATAACGTTAACCTCATTTCACAAAATGAAAGGAATATTGAACATGAAAAGGTTCTAAATGTATCGAGAAATGAAAAAGGGAATTCAAAATAATTATAGAATACGACAAAAAAATGATTTACAACGTTGTAAGAATGTTTCGTCTTTTGTGTTTTTCATCTGATTTTAAATAATTTGATAATAAATGCTTCAAAATATATGTATATAAGACTAGCTGCTAAAACGTTGTTTTTCCATATAAAAAAAGTAAAAATTTTGGATAAAAAGTAAAAATAAAAGAGTAAAAATGTTGGATTGGATGTATTTTAATCCTAAATTATTAAAAAAAGAAATCTTCGTCCGAAAAAAATTATGGGTGAACAACCCCTACCACTAAGGGGTATGAAAAATAGATGTTGACCGATTCTTAGACCTAATCAATATGCTGACAAAATTTCATTAAAATCGTTCCAGCCGTTTCGGAGGAGTTCTCTGTCTAACACCGCGACACGAGAATTTTATATATAAGATATTATATCCACTATTTGTTGATGACGATTGTTAACATTTAATTACTTAAAAGTGGTAAAAAATATTTATGTATAAAGGTAAACGTCCTTTTTCCAATTAGTATAATTAATGTAACGTTTTTAATAGTCGTATTACGTTTGACATTTTTTAACATTAATTAATAATTTGTATGAGGCATTCTTAAAATAGTTTCGAAGGAGAAGAGTTTAAATTGTTAACTTAATATCAATTTTATTTAAAATATGTACCTGTAGACATTTTATTTGTTGTAATTGTTAAATGTTTTCAAGTTAAAAATAAGATCTTTTTTTTTAACTCACATTGAAATCGAGCAGATTTTTTATTTTAAAATCTATCTGTTTAATAAAATAAAACTGCAAATAATATAAAAAGAAAAAAGTAAGTAAAAATTAAACAGAAAATAACCATTGGTTTATTAATCTTTTTAAACACATGGTATATAATATATATTAATAATAATTAATCGGTATGTAATAAACCAAATTATACGGACGAAGTCTGCGGAATCATTTATAATAGTAATTAAAAACTAATTTAATAATTTATAATGTCTTTCTTAATATAATAAGCGATACTTATTGTGTTTCAAAAGTTAGTTATTTTGAACAAATTTAGAAAAAATATAATATAGTGAACACCTACTTATATATTTTGTTGATGGTTAAAAGTATTTGGAAAACTAATAATGTTTTAGTTGAAAGAAAATTTCGAAAACAAAAAAAAATATGTTCCTAATTTAATAAATTATTATCAGCTACATTACTTTGACAAAATTAAGCATCCTTTTAAATGTTTATGCTTTATTTGAGATATAATAGAAGATCGTGTAGTACGTATTAAAAAAAACTGGAATATACTAACTGAAAGTTACGTACATACGTGTTTAATTTATAGATATGAAAAAAAATTGCAGAAAAGTATCTCCATTTTGAATAGTATTTTTCGTTTGATGTTCCAAATTGACTTATTCTGCATCCTTATTATTTTTCGGCATATTCCAATTATTTTTAAATTAAAATAAATCTCAATATGATTGATTAAAAACTAATTGAGAGGTATCCAATAAATGTAAAGAGACTCCTTTTAGTTATAAATCTGGCCTATAACAATATAAGTAACTTTTTAAACAAAAAAATAATCATAGAATCTGTTTAAAATATATAAACATTTTATTAATTGTCTCAGTAATTGTACTGATCAGACATGTTCAAGAGAATCATGAATTAATACTTGCATATCTTATGTATCATAAAAGAAGTATATACAAAAAGAAGTGGATTATTTTAGATATATTTATAATAAATAATTACCAATTTATCAACCGGAGTGTAGAGTGTTGGTTATTTAACATATGGTGTTATTTTTTTAACGTAACAGCCTTTATAATAAGTCATATAAGACTCGGAAGTTGAACAGATGTGTTCATTTCGGTTCACTACAAAATTAAGTAGTACATATTATCAGCTACTTCAAAAAAATATAATCCTTTTTTTCAATGACAATTATTGTAATTTTATCATAAATCAATATTTTTTTAAAGGACAAAAATAACAATAATTGTATAATAATAGAGATATAAGTTTAATATTAAAAGATAAAGAAAATAAATTCCTTTTTTTCGTGATTTTTTATGATAATTTTCTTAAACGAGCAAGTTACTTAAGTATACTTAATTTTGGGCGTTTATTAAACTCACATATATATCGTATAATTTTAATATTTAATATTATTTTCTATCTTAAATAATTATGAGATAAATAGTGTGTGTAAAATCAAAGTCATATTACAATTATTTTCCTATTTTTTTTTATAACACCGGAATGATTGAAAATTCAACGTCTGTTTCTTTGATGTCTTCAATTAAATTAAGATTTGATGTTCCTGAACAGTAAAATGTTTTATACATCGTTATACAAGCTTAATCGCCTTCTTATTCGGAATATTCTTTCTTAATAAGAGGTTACATTATAAATATCGAAGTACCATATTGTTCGCAGTATGCTTGTTAAGTCTTGCATGTCACAGATTCGTGCCATTTGCTGGTGATGCTGAATTTTTAATATAACCAGATCCATACTGTATATCAGCGTGTCTGAGGTCGTGATGTTAATCGTTCAGTTATTCAGTGATTACCTGGAGCAGGAGCGTGTAGCGGTGTGCCAGTGGGTGCTGTGTCTCCGTAAGGCGCGGGCGGGCTCCGTCATCTGTGTCAGGTCATGAGGGTACACGTCCGGCCGGTGCGGCGTCGGGCCGGGCACTGCCGCTCGAGCTGCCTATCGATCGATGCGCGCGCAGCCGCCGCCCTCGCACATGAATGATCCCCGGCTCACGTGTTCTTAACATCACCAGCATTCGACTTCACCTCCATATTCCTTTTAATTATCATCTTTATATATAAATTCTTCGAGGTTTTCGTCAAAACAATGGTATTAATTCCTTTCTTCCGTTTATGTTATGAGGTGTTCGTATTAATTTGTTTTAATAAATGCATCGCCAAGGTGTTGCAAAAAGCCTGACGCGTCGTGACACATGGCTCGCTACGTAAATCGATTTCTTGTCTCTGTGCCGAGAAAAGGTTGCAAATCTCAAGTTATTGCCGAACAGGATGTATGGCCGTATACCAAATGCATAGAGCCGTTAGCCACATTCTCCTCTTTATTATATTCCTTCGCTACATTTTATTAAATTCATATTTTCACTTCGACTTCGTGATATTTTTCATTGAATATTACACAGAACATTTACGTCTCAGCGTGTTCAGTGAGACCAATTAGTTTATCAATCCGTGGGGTCAAAGTACACGTAATAAATTATAAAGATAAAGAGTTTGAAGTGATTAAACTAAAATGA